TTCCAAAATGCAATAGATATTGAGCTCATAATCAATACTAACACTTTGTCTTGAAAAATCGTCATAAAATATGCTTTTGATAAATATGCATGATGTATCAGTGAATAAACGCGTATTTCGACGAATCGTTTTGGTATTTTTTAGTTTGAAACATCGAGCGAAAAATTCGAAAATAGGGTAATTAATTAGCCTAAAATTAGCTCTTCAATATGGATATATCAAATCAGTGAAAAATATATTATTTTAAAAATTGGCTCTGCTGAGTTTGCCCGAAGCCAGCAAAGCTACAGGTTTCTTTTAAAAAATATGTAGCAAAAAATTCCAAAATGTGATAGTTATCAAGCTTACAATCAGTAGGAACACTTTGCCTAATGAAAAAATATGCTTTTGATAGAAAAACATAATGTAAAGTGAATGACGCATATTTCGACAAATTGTCCTGTAGTTTTTCTGTTTGAAACGTTGAGCAAAAAATACGAAAATTAGGTAATTAATTAGCCTTAAATTAGCCCTTTAATCTCAATATATCAAATCGGTGAAAAATAATAAATGTTTTCAAAAATGGCTCTGCTGAGTTTAGCCTATAAGCTAGCAAAGCCACAGATTTTTCTATGATAGAGAGGAGCAAGAAGATTGGGAATAGGGTAATAAATTAGCCTAAAATGAGCACTACATTCTCACTATATCAGATATTCAAAAAATATTGTTTTTCAAAAATGGCTTTGCTGAGTTCGGCCGAATAGCTAGCAAAGCCACAGATTTTTCTATGATAGGGAGGAGCAAAAAATTCGGGAATGGGGTAATAAATTAGCCTAAAATGAGCCTAAAATTATGAGATGTGTCTCATGGTGAAATTCGAAAGTGGCTTTGCTAGCTTCATTGGTATGGATCTTTTGATATAGGTGAATAGAGTTGAGGTCACACATACTGAACTACCCTCAAAAAATGGTAACTCTATGTATGGTTGAAAACCCTTCAAACTAGTAGTCTTAATTCTATCCGGGATATATATATATATGCTGCTTCTTTCTGAAAGGTTATGTTTTCCATCCTGACATGTAGAATTTGTATTCTTTGGCCTGTAGCTACAGCTAATAGAACTGCCAATTTTCCCGACAATTCTAAAAAGGATAAACTCTCATTAGTACCCAATGAAGATAAATGATCCAACACTTTTTGAGGCTCCCATGTGATGTCATATTTAGGTATTGGAGGTCACAATCTCAAAACACCCTTGAGAAATCTCCTTATAAGGGCATGTTTTCCAATTTCCTTTTGAGGAATTAGATAGTGTGCTGACCTATGCTGGTTGAAGGTTCCATATTTTGCCCTAGAACGACCCAACTCATATTGCATGAATGCCAATATAGCGAGTGGTAACTCTCCAGGAAGAATGTGTTCACCAGACTTCCAATGACCAAAGACTTCCAAAGACTTGCAAAGACATCCAAAGACTTCCAAAAGACATCCAAAGACTTCCAAAGACATCCAAAAACATTCAAAGAGTTCCAAAGAATTCCAAAGACTTCCAACGGAGTGTACACCAGACTTCCAAGGAGATTTACCCCTAGCAATATAGTGGATATTTTTGCTTTAAAAGGATCTGCTTCAGACAGAATGACCACCATGCCTACAAGAGGAATTTTACTGTCTCATTGTTGATTCAGATATAGACTGCATCAAGGTGTGGATTGTTTCCTCTGAATGGCCTTTTCTTAAAAAAGCTTGCCGGACAATTTGCCTGCCACCAGGAAAAGGGTAGCATGCAGTGGATGTGTTTTCCTGAAAGGGGAGGAGAGTAAATACTTATTAGGTTCGAATTTGACTATCCATTTTTCAAAATTCATTGTGAAACCTGAAGAAATCAATAAATTCATTGACTTTTGTACATGCTCCTGGCAAATTTCTTCAGAAGATGCCATTATACAAAATTATCTCTATTCCTAGTTGAATATGAGTGGATATCCCAATGTCATTTGAAGTCTACTAGGTTCAGTTTTATGTGGATTAGACAGCAAAATATAAAAGTACAAGGAAGTGTAAGGAGTCTCCATACCATACAAGTGAATTCATATAAGGTATCATTTACTTTTGAAATGTAAATATTTCCTAAACTTTTCATGGACTGGTATATGTAAATAAGCATCCTAGAGATCAAAGGTTGCCATATAGTTGTTTCTCTTAATCAGCTTCATGACTGTTCTACTGTCCATTTTAAAATGGAGTGGATTGAGTTCTTTTAGGTTAAGGATGAACCTTGCCTTACCATTGGATTTTTTTATCAAAAAACATGGTGAGACAAACTGGGATACTGCTTCCTTGCATTCAACAAGCTGCTCCCAAATCAAGAAGGTGATTTACTTCTAACATCAATTCCCTGCATTCATTTTCAGAATGATTCCCACTGTGTAACAAAGCCTTTGGCTTTTTAACAAAAGGAATCTTGTTACCAGATATCCATTTCAGGATTTCTGGATGTGGTGATAGGATGGACTTCCATTGATTTTTGGAAAACCTCAAACTACCTGCAAAGAGAAAAAAACTTACCTTTCTATCTACTTCCAAGTGGGAGGCTGATGATGTTTTTTGGTTTGGAGATATTACCCCTTCTGTCTGTGATCTCTCCTGTATCCAGACAGGCCCCTCCAGTCTAAAGAATCACCTCTTTTATATGTACCACTACCTGATGAGCTTGTACTTGGTAGTTGATTACTAGGCTTCTTGAATACATATCTGTTTTTGGTTTGAGATCTATAACTGATCTCTCAACAGCTTTTGCTGTTTTTATATGCTCACCCAGGTTTGATCCAAATAACAGCTCCTAAATAGGTGCTGCACTAGTCAGCTCTTTGACAGTTTTACTCAACATAGGTGTAATGAGGGCTCTCCTAGTCAGTTACATATTGTAGTGAACATCTGTCAACAATTTTCCTGACTCACTAAGAAGGCCGCCAAGAACTGTGTTCTTGTTTTCTTTATCCTCTTTCTTCAAGAGGATGTTGATACCAGCCCCTAGGGCAGCAAGGCCCTTTCCTAACTGGCTCTGGTTCAGCTGTTGTAACTTGTCTTTCTTATGTGTATTTGAATGCATAGCCTTCAGAATTTCAGGGTTTATATCTGGGGCCCTCAACAATGTTAAATTTGTTTGAGGCAAATGTAGCTCCATTAGCCTTTCTTTTTCTCCTTCATAAAGCCCTTCTGTGAGTATGGTTTTCCATCTCTTTTGGACTACTGAGTGTAGTTCATATGTCTTCTTGGTATCCTTATGAAGGTCTTCCTCCAATGCTTCTAGGATGTCATCATCTAGCTTGATATCTTTATCGATGATGACAACATTTTGTTGTATCCCGTGGATAGAGAGTCGAAGAGGAAATTAAATTACTTCACTTGAAGATATAAATTATATTTCATAAGAAGAAAACAATTACCAAAATCAATAATCTGACAGTAACATAACTTGATTACATATCGTCGGCGAACTGACAATACCTGCTAAGTGCAATATAGTGCAGAGCAGGTTTTTTTACAGGAGATGAACAAAACATAATCAAGTAACAGGTCAAGTCGATAGCAGATATTGTTTCCCTTGAATGAAGTAAACAAAGGATTCATCTGGAGGTAGCAGTTCATTTCAGATTGTGCGCAATGAATATTGAAAGCTATAACTGCATGAAATACCAATATTTGAAAAAAATGTTACTTAGCAGGTATTGTCAGATCGCCGACGATATATGAAAATACAACTTCAATATAGGGTGTACTACAATATACCACAATACCCCTGATCATAAGAATCGAACAGGCCGTTTCAATGCAACTCTGTTCCTTAGTTGATATTGATTGTTTTCTATTCCTTCTGCTGAAGAAGATGTTCTGTTTGGACTTGGAGGAAGTGCTCGACTTGATTCATCAATTAAATTCGGAAAATCTGCACTAGTTTCTATGTTTGGTGTTTCTGCGTGTGGTATCTCTGAGTGTAAGGTTTCTGTATGTGATGCCTCTGAATGTGACGAGCCTGAGTGTGATGTTTCTACATTCGATGCCTCTGAATGTGGTGAATCTGAAGCCGACGAGACATTTGGTAAGCTAGATGTATTCAATTCAGTATCATTCATTATCTGATTTCCAGAATTGATGATTTGGTCTAAATGTCGTTTCCAAACCAAATCCTCGTCGATTACCTTGCACATATACATATTTTCCCCTAAAATCTCATCAATAATGCACTTCGTCCAGGTCTTACAGTATGGTTTTCTATAATCCCTGCAAAAAACTGTTTCACCAACAAAAAATCTGGTATCTCGTTTACCATTATGATGCATCCAACCCTTTTCTCTACTCTGAGGATTATATTTCAAGAGATCTAATCTAGTTTTCGGTTTATTTTTGAAAATAATCTGAGATGGAGTTCTACCAGTAGTAATATGCACGGAATTTCTATAACTGAACAAATATCTATTAATCAAAGTCTGAAAAGATACAGCTTTGTTATTTTTATCTCTCAAAGCTTTCGATAAACCCAATTTAAAACTTTTAACTGTATTTTCAGCTTGCCCATTGCTGGCAGGGTGGTAAACAGGAGAAGTCAAATGCTTGATACCATTGAAACTAAGGAAATTAGAAAATATCTTTGAAGTAAAGGATAGGACCATGTTATAAATTGGAACTATTTTGTATAGTAAAATCAAATTATAGATCAATGACAACTACACTTTTTCAATGTCTCAATTCCAATCTCTGAAAATCCAGTAATATTGCAAATGGCCCCATTAACCACAGTAACTTTATCACCCATCGTGAATTCGTTCAACACCTTCGTCGCCAATTTATGTTGTATCCCGTGGATAGAGAGTCGAAGAGGAAATTAAATTACTTCACTTGAAGATATAAATTATATTTCATAAGAAGAAAACAATTACCAAAATCAATAATCTGACAGTAACATAACTTGATTACATATATGAAAATACAACTTCAATATAGGGTGTACTACAATATACCACACATTTTGTGGTATTTCACATTCCATAGGTGATGGTGGTGTTCCACTAATCGGAGAGGAAGGTGGTGTGCCACCTTGGGAAAATTCATTTGAACTTTCTGGACTCTCCAGACTATAGGAGGAGGCTTGGCTATAACTAGCAGCTGATTGATTACTGCGAACGGAGCGAGCGGTATTCCGCTCTATTTGGGCTTTCAGAGCAACCAATTCCTTAGAGAGATGCTCCATTCTAGGAGGGGATCGCGATCGCGAATGCTTTCGCTTTCGGTCCCTCGGATCAGTTCGATCGCTTTTGTTATGCTTCCCCATTTATCTAAAAGAGGAAAATAACAATATAAAATTAAAAAGATCAAATATTTCAAAAAAATCAAACAAGGAAAAAAATGTGGTGGCACCAGCACAAAAAAGCGTAATGACAATGACGTACACGGTCCAGTCGGTAAGGAAGGGTGCTGTATGATAAAAACTCTTCTTCTTACTTATTACATTATGGCATCAACCGTACCTAAGACATATAATTCGTTGACAATCAACTGTTTTTCCTCTAGGGTGAATACTGTGATATATCAGCTGATTCAATGACGGCTAAATATCTAAACTGTGACGGGTTCTAAATATTTAGCCATCATTGGCTGATTTTTTACACGTCCCTGAAAAGCAAAGGAGCTGAGAAAGGAAAGAACTTTGAAAGAACCTTAATTTTTTTTGTGATTGTATTTCATGTTTTGATTAGTTTTGAAGTTTGACAGTTTTTGAAACATTTTTTGGAGTTATTAACTTGAGTTAACCATGAAAAACTTCAATTCTTTATTCTTTTCATTTACAAATATAGGGTTCTAAAAAAATTCACATAGACTGATGCGATGTCTAAAATAAACGTATCTGTGGTCGAAACCGGAGTGCAACTATTGGCAATAAAATCAGAAGGCTGCCTTTGAGCGCCGATATCTCGTAAACTGTCTGTTCAATCGGGCTGATCATGGTCTCATTCGGTTCAGCGTGGCATTTTCTACTGGGGAAGCAATTATTCGCGTGAATTTCCGCTGTTTTCTGGCACTTTGGGCTGTTCGAAGATAGCTCGGTGACTATATCGTACTGAAATCTCAGGTGGGGAAATGGAAATTTTCATTTGGCCTATTAAAAATAAGAAAAAATTCACATAGACTGATTCGATGTCGAAATGAACGAATAGGTGGTGGAAATTCGTGAATTTCAGAAAATAGAGACGTAGTAGCCTACCGGAGTGCACCTATTGGCAATGGAATCGGAAGGCTGCCTTTGAGCGCCGATATCTCAAAAACTATCTGTCCTATCGGGCTGATCATGGTCTCATTCGATTCAGCGTGTCATTTTCTAGTGGAAAAGCAATGATTCGCGTGAATTTTCCCCGTTTTCTGGCACTCTCGGCCGTCCGAAGATAGCTCGGTGACTATATCGTACTGAAGTCTCAGGTGGGAAAATGAAAATTTTTATTTGGCCTATTGAAAATCTGAAGAAATTCATATAGACTAATTCGATGTCGTAATGAACGAATCTGTGGTGTAAATTCGTAAATTTCAGGAAATTGAGACGTGGTAGCCTACCGGAGTGCACCTATTGTTAATGGAATCGAAAGGCTGCCTTTGAGCGCCGATATCTCGAAAACTATCTGTCCTATCGGGCTGATCATGGTCTCATTCGATTCAGCGTGTCATTTTCTATTGGAAAAGCAATAATTCCCGTGAATTTCCGCCGTTATCTGGCTCTTTCGGCCGTCCGAAGATAGCTCGGTGCCTATATCGTACTGAAGTCTCAGGTGGGGAAATGGAAATTTTTATTTGGCCTATTGAAAATCTAAAAAAATTCACATAGACTAATTTGATATCGAAATGAACGAATCTGTGGTGGGAATCAGGAAATTAGAAAAAATGGAGACGTACTCGTCTACCGGAATGCTCCTATTGGCGAAAAAAGCGAAAAGCTGACTTTGAGCGCCGATATCTCCAAAACTATCTGTCCAACGGGGCTGATTATGGTCTCATTCGATTCAGCAGGTCATTTTCTATTGAAAGAGCGAAAGTTCGCGTGAATTTCTGCCGTTTTCTGGCACTTCCGGTCGTCCGAAGATGGCTCGGTGACTATATCGTATGGAAGTCTTAGGTGGGAAAATGAAAATTTTTATTTGGCCTATTAAAAATCTGAAATAATTCACATAGACTGATTCGATATCAAAATGAACGAATCTGTGGTTAGAATCGAAAAATACTGAAAAATGTAGACGTAGAAGACTACCGGATTGCTCCTATTGGCAACAAAAGCGAAAAGCTGACTTTGAGCGCCGATATCTCAAAAACTATCTGTCCTACAGGGCTGATTATGGTCTCATCCGATTCAGCGGGTCATTTTCCACAAAAGAAGCTATAATTTGCGATGGTTTCTGCCGTTTTCTGGCAGTTTCGGCCGTCTGAAGGCTCGGTGACTATATCGCATGGAAGTCTTAGGTGGGAAAATGAACATTTTCGCGAGATTCGTCCAGAAATGAAATGAAAAAAAAATATTTTTCTCCAACAAAAATTCAAAAAAATTGATGAAAATCAGAAATGTCTAAAAACGCTCGTACACGTGTCGAATATTATTTGAGTCTCTATAATATGACATGAAAATCTCGATGTTTTTATTGCTTCTTTTTGCAATCCAAAAAAAAAAATATAAAATTTAAAACAATGTCGAAACGCTCGAACCCGTATCTATCATTTTCTATTTCTCTATCATATGCAATCATGAACTCAACTTTTTTTATTTTCGAAAAAAAACCAAAGTCCATATTTTCAAAACGGCACGGTAAAAGCACTCAGATTTTTCATCAAAGATGGACCTCAAGGTCCTCTACTCACGTATCGCACTCCCATTCCGATCCGCCATTAAACATGCTACTTACCTAATCCAACGTACCTAACCTAAAACAACTTTGGATAGGTTACCAGATCTAGTAACATATCTTCGAATAGGTTACTAGATCTAGTGACATATCATCAAACCCAACCACCGGATATGTTACCAGATCTACTAAGAAAACTTCAAACCCAACCACTGGAAATGTTACCAGATCTAGTAACATAACTTCGGATAGATTACTAGATCTAGTGATATTTGCAATTATTGCATTATTTGCCAATTTCTGCAATTTTTTGCAATCTTCGCATTGTTTGCAATTCTTGGGATTTCTGTAATTTCAGCATTTTTGCAATTTCCGAATGTTCCAATATTTGCAATTTTTGCAATTTCTGCAATTTTTGCAATTTTTGCAATTTCTGCAATTTTTGCAATTTTTGCAATTTTTGCAATTTTTGCAATTTTTGCAATATTTTTGCAATTTTGGCAATTTTTGCAATTTTTGCAATTTTTGCTTGCAATTTTTGCAATTATTCATTTCTTGCAATACCAGGGGTAACAACTTGACCCAAGTATGCTACTTGTTTTCATGAAAACTCGGAATTGTCAAGTTGTATCTTGAATCTCGTAACCTTTGAAAAACACATCTCAGCCTCTCTAGGTGTTCTTGTAACGATGCCGAGAAAAAGGTTATATCGTCCAAGTACACCAGACACTTTTCGTTTTGGATTCCACGACCACGTGAGTCCCAGGCAACCAGATGACGTTCCAGTGACGTCATTTTCACGTCATTTGAATCACCAAGGTGACGTCAGTAGTTGACGTCACATGACGTGATAATGACGTGAATAAGTCACAGCCCAATGACGTCATATTACTCACGTCGTATTGACGTCATTCACTCACCAAACTGTGACGTCCGACTGACGTCATAATGACGTGAAAATGGCGATGATACGTAAAAAAGAATCCTTTAACATGGTGTGATAAACACCACTGACCTCTGATGATATTATATAATATTGATTATGCATTATTGTTGAGTCGGCGAGATGTAAGCAAACAAATAATAGTTTGATTGCAATGAAAAGGATGTTGTTAAATCCGGCTTCACTTTGTTGAATAATGTATATTGATGCATTCTTTGTCACCCAAAAATAATTTAAATAGCAAATTATTGAAAAAAATTCTGGATGACGAAGCTCACCAAATTGGTACGTTACACCGACGTGATTTTTAGACGTCATAGATACGTCACTGCTACGTCATAAGAGTAAACGGTTCCAATAATATAGGCATACCTTAACAATAAGTTGTATTTATACATAGCTTGTTGGTTTCCGAGATATACAGTGTCCCAAAGTTTTTCAGAAAAAAGATTTCTCCTACTTTTCGGGTATATTGATAATTCCAATAAAACTTGCATGTTGATTTGCTTTCATGAGTCATACTTCTGTTTCACATATCAGTATCCATGGTTTAGAGAGGGGTCTGGGAAAAATGGACGTCGACAGGACGTCCCTGCAACGTCATGAAACTGACGTCTCTTTTTACCCATCTAAGTGACGTTCACTCGACATTTAAATGTTGTCCATCATTCTTTGAAAAGTGGCTGGCGCGTTTTTGAGCCCAAAGGGCATGCGCAGATATGCATAATGCCCGTTTTCCGTACTAAAAGCTGTTTTTTCTACGTCCTTGTCATCCATCTCGATCTGGTGAAAGCCACTGGCCAGATCAAGGGTCGTAAAATACTGACATTTTCCCAGTTTATCAAGAAGGTCAGTTATGTTGGGGAGAGGGTACTCATCATCGACAGTTTTTTCGTTGAGCTTACGATAATCAATCACCACTCTCCACATTTGTTTTCCCGATGCATCAGACTTTTGTGGTACGAGCCATATAGGCATTTGCCTATTCTGATGCACATTCTGAAAATAATGTGTATTATTTTCTTGGATAACGAGTTGTAGGGCCTCGCATTAAATCTTGTACTTTTCTGCCTAGTACACAACAAAACAAATAACTATTTTATATGTCATTAGGGAGGTACTTCAATGTCATTCAATACAGAACTTGAATTTTTCAATTATCTTGTCAAATAAGCGAAATATTGCATGTATACGATAATTTAGGACACCTGGTATACCATTTTTAGTAAGCGGATTATACACTGTTTTTTCAATTCGACCAGCAAAAAAAAGGGATCCCAATCTCTCTGTGAAAAGTGTGGGTATTCAGTGATTTTCGGTTTATTATAGTTTACCAATGTCATCCATTTGAATAAGATGTCTGGTGTTGTGTTTATCATTTGTGTTCCCACTGAAACTTTTGAGAGATCTGTACAAACACAGTTGAGAAAAAAAGTTACGATAAATGAACACCCTAGAGTAATCCAACGACAGTATTCAAATTATGAATATCTCAACGTTGAAAATGATTTTGAAAACGAGAACTCATGGGGCTGCAAAACAACGAACGGGAAAGATTTCAAAATCAAGGAAAATCTGTCAATGGAAAAAGTGAGTTCAAAATAATTCATTTTTACTTCATGAATACATGCATCAATGTCTCTATTTTATATGCAAAAATAATATAGATTAGGGCTCCGCGATATTAGAGTTCACATATCGATTATCGATCAGTCAAAACATATTATAGTGGGTGTGTGTCTACTGAATTTTAACAAAATACCATCGAAAACAATCTCAAGGAACTGAAGAAGAAACATTCCATGGTTTTTATTGTTTGAAACGTAAGGGAACCGAATTAGCTAGGTACAAAATGAAGACGTATAAAATCGATTATCGATCAGTCAAAACCTATAGTGGGTGTTTGTCTACTGAATTTTAACAAAATACCATCGAAAACAATCTCAATGAACTGAAGAAGAAACCTCCTATGGTTTTTATTGTTTGACACATAAGGGAGCCGAATTAGCTAGGTACAAAATGAATGAGGATTTCTTTCAAAAAAACTTTTTTTGTTGGATAGGTATTTGAAATGCCCATCCAACGAGAGAGTGATCTAATTCTTGGACGTCGTCATGGCCAACTACGACAAATTTCAATGACCCATATTCCAGAAAGTACTATTAGGGATTTTTTTCCACGGGACTTGATGATGGAATCTGAATCAGTACCACTTGAAATATACCTGTACCGATTTTCATCATCATAAAATACAGGGTGTCCGAAAAAACGAATCATCATTTTCTTCAAATAGGTGATCAGCAAATGTAGTTCTGTAGTTTTTCTAGAAAGAAATAATCACGAATTATCATTGAGGATTATTTCAAATATACCTGTACCAATTTTCTTCATTTGAATATACAATGTGTCTGAGAAAAAAATTAAAAAGGATAGGTAAGCAATATTTCTCATCCTGATAATAATTATTCACTCAAAATAAAAATATGAATAAGGATCACTCAGAACATACCTGTACCAATTTTCATCATCATTAAACACAGGGTGTTCGAAAATTCAAAATAATATGTTTTTTTAGTTGATGAAAAAATATTGCCTACTTTTTCTTTTTAATTGTTTTCTCATACACATCGTATTTTTGAATGACGAAAATCGGTACAGATATGTTCAAAGTGATCCTCAATAATAATCAATTCAATTCAATTCATCGATTCTATTAAAGAAAAAACATAATTCGTTTTTTTCGGACACCCTGTGTTTTATGATGATAAAAATCAGTAAAGGTGTTTTTCAAGTGATCGTGATTCAGAATACATCATTGTTTTTTGTGAAGAAAAAATCCCTAATATAGTACTTTCTCAAATATGGGTCAATAAAGTTGGTCGCAGTTGGCACCGATTACAGTTCATGAGTGAAATCACTATCTTGCTGGATGGACATTTCAAATACCTATCCAACAAAAAAATTTTGAAATCGGTCAGATAATAACAATTTTGCAGGGGTGGTAAGTCCTTAAGGTGGACACACTGTATATAGGTTTTTAGACAAATCAGTGGGGTACCATTTTTTTCTCCAAAAGATTGTAAGTTCAAGCCCCGTACGGAAGACACAGGTAAAAATTTCAAAAAATCTTTTGCAAAACGTTGCCAATTATCAAATCATAAACCCGAAATTGGCCTGCCATACATCAACAGCAGATACTTCGATCAGGAATTAGAAAAAAAGTTTTTATAAACTTGGGTCTAAAACTGCTTTATATATAGCTGCAACAGCCACTTAAAGGTGAGTCCCTGAAGATGGTTTTCATTTAATATCTCCGAAACCAGTTGAAGCAAAATGATGAAACTCTTCACATACTCAGAAGATTTCATGCAAAATAGGAAGGGGTCAAAAATTTTGGCCGCAAGTATAGGCCGGGTCACTTTGGGAAAGGTATAACTACCCAAAATGTTTTCTGCATGTTTGTTTTTTTCGAGTCATTAATCTTTTAATACGTTAGTTCTGGCTATTTTAGATGAAATTGTAATGTAATGTAGAGGTAATGTAATTGGATGTAATTGTAATTGAAAAGGAATATTCTCAGATAAATTATGGACATACAAAAATGGATATTTATTTATATGAAGCAATACATTGAGAATTCGGATTCTCTATGTGATGAGAATATCTACTCTTTTTCAGTTTATTCAATAGAAAACAACTACTTTCCTGGCTATATGCCACGACGAACATTGAATAATATCTATTGAACACACACGATAAGAGTTTGAAAATAAAATGAAAAAAACTTATGAAATTGAGAATCTGCATTCTCCTTCAAACAAAAATATGTATATGCACACATCATTCTGAATATTCAACAGAAAACAACTACTTTCCTGGCTATTTGCCACGTCGAACATTGAATTATATCTGATGAACATTCAAAAGGAGAACATGAAAAATAAAAAATAAAATCCTTCTTTGTCAAATCGGATGAATAATATGATCTATAATGATATAGAAATATAACTTACCAATATATTCAGCATTGGAATGAAAATTGGAATGTATAGCAAAAGTGTACTGGCATAAACTCTGATCTTGATGAGCTTGAAAACTTACAAAAATAATCATTTATATCAGTGATATGGGAAATATTATCTCTCACACAGGTTATATGATTTTATTGCAATGAAACCATTTCGGATTTCTGAATCCTCATCAGTAACCATGATGTCCACTTATACTTACAGCCATTCTTCATGATATACACAATTTCCATCTCTCTATAATACAACTAAAACCGAGTAAAACTATAACAAAATGACATCTGAGAATAAAATTTGTTGACATTCTATTCCTGTCATTGTAATGTTATGACGTACTTGTAATGTTCTCTTACTTTGTATCTGACTAGTCACTATTTATGAATTTTTGTAGTTAACGTGATGAAATGAATTTACTTTACTTTACTTTACTATGGCAGGCTCATTTCGATACATTCTGTATAGATATACTACATATTAATACAGGCATTTTTTTTCATCTCAGGTTCTACAAATTGTTCTATCCGAATTGAACATCACAAACTCGACGTGGTGTAAGAGGGATCAAGACAATTATTTACAAGTAATATTTTCAGTGGAGTCGAGTGATAGATGCGAAGAAATTTTGGAGATTCTCAAAGAAAATGAGATCGGTCAAAAATGGAATTCGATCGTCAGTGTTATCCCATGTACAATTCAGTATCACGGTAATGAAGGTTCCAAGCTCATGGAAGACCATACAGAAGAGTTAGTATTAGTATGGTATTACACAGATAAAAATTTTTGTTTGAAACTACAAATTTTTTGTAAATTCAACAAAATCTGAGTGTCAAATATCCACGACAAAATATTTTGTCACCGCAACAAATGTTTTTTGTCAGTTCTCAATTCAAAATGCATTTGAATTAACTCATTAATGATTCAAATCAACAGCAGGAACTGGTTGAATAAACAAAGACTATTTTGTTCCTGTAATACAATATCCTGCTCTTACGAGCGATTCTGTTGATTTAAATGATTATATCATTTCATTCAAGTGACAAAATTTACAGATTTTCAGAGAGTGGATATGTTAAAATAACAAAATATATTCTTCGATCATCAAAATTGTATTTAGAATTGACGAAATATCTTGCTGAATAATAAAAAAGAAATCCAATAACTGAATTTCGAAACTAAGAGGAATTAGAGATCAATTTCCTTAGTTGATTCAAGACTATTAGCTTGTATAAGCATCATAAGAAATTCTAGGACAGCCTAATATAATTATATAAACGGATGTTTTAGGTAGGTATATGTACACCCCAATCGAGGCGAGCGTAGGAAGGTTGGAAGATACGCCACCTGGTGGCAAAAATGCAACTAGATAATCATCCAACAAAATATTTGTTTGATATAATGTTCTTGTGGGTTCTGTTCAACAAACTGATTTGTTCGAAATAACAACTTATTTCTTGATGATGATGTGGTGAATCAACAAAATATAATGTTGTCATAATCAATTCAATTTTGTCGAATAGAAAAAAACCTTTGATTGGTTGCACAATGAAATGATTGTTGACTCAACAAAATATGATGTTGTATTTAGTTGAATATTTGTCAAAATTAATTTTGTTTTATCGAATAGACAAAATTCATATGATTGATTGAACAATGAGATAATAGTTGGATCAACAAAATTTGTTTTATGTCAACTATAAACGTTGTTGAATGAGATGAAACTTTTGTTCAAGTAAGCAAATATTTCGAACAATTTTTTTGTCTCTTTGAATAGGTTGCTCATTTGGAATGAATATATATTTTGTTGATTCCGCAAAATTGTGTTTAATTTAACAAACAAAAAATGACCAAAATTATTTTGTTGGTGCAACATAACTTTTTTTCCGTGTACTCACTATTTTATTGTGGTATATTAGTCTCTAGTAAGACATTCAGCCACCATCTGAATAATATATTTTGTATATGACTATCATAATATTTACTATTTGCAGCGACCACACTCATAAGAATACCGGGTGGCATCAATTTATCACCTCTGTTAGAGCGAGACTCACAGTAGCCCAAGTAGTAGAAAATGTCAAATCACATGCAGCATTAACTTTCGATTTCGTGTTTCTGATACTGATTTCAACGTAAGTCAATGATATTATATTATTCGAAGAAACAACAGACTAACATCTCCTATTTTTTTTGCTCACCTCCTGAAAGTAATATACTGACTTCATCAAAACTATTCAAAACACAGGTCACTGTGATATATTTATTTTATTTCAGAACGATGTGTGCTATCGGATTAGTCGAAAATAGTAATGTATATCTTTTATCAAGTATGGTCATGTGCCCAATGATGGTGAGTGTGAATATTTTACACATCAGGGATAGATTTTTACTTTGATCGAAGTTACAAGTTACTAGGTATATTAATGATGCTGGGTTTATAGATTCAGTTGAACTCACAATTATAGGAATCAACAATTACAGGGTGATTCAGGTTTTAGAGCACAAACTGAAATGGGAGGTAGATCTCATCATTTTAATCAGAAAAGTTCATATATACATCAGTTCGATCTCGTTCAGTAGCGGAGCTACAAGGAGTCAAAGTTCAATTATTTTTTTCTATTAATTGAAATATCTCGCTTACTTTTCAAGATATCATTTTAAAATTTGGTGTGGTCGATACTATTTAGAATTTCATCATTTCAAGCCATTTAAAGATTTTCTAAATCTACAGGGTGATACGGTTTTGGGGGTAGAGGCTTCTTTATCCCCGCCAAACTTTTTCGTAGTATTCTCAACGAATTTTGTCAAAGAATAAAATTTAAGCGAAACATAGCAAAATTAACATGTCTTAGAACGTATATGCTCATTTATCTCAAAAACTGTTCGTTTTCTCGAAAAGAATTAGAAAGCAAAAAAAGTCTCTAAATTGAACGATCCACACAATTTGATCAGTGAAAGATGCCAGAGGCGTACGACGAAAAAGTTTGAGGGTGATAAAGAAGCCTCTACCCACAAAAACCTATCACACTGTAGACTTTGAGAATCTTCAAATAGTTTGAAATGATGATCTTCTAGAAAGTATTGACCACACCAAATTTCAAAATGAAATCTCAAGAAGTAAGCGAGATATTTCAATTAATAGAACAACATTATTGAACTTTGACCCCCTGTAGCTCCACTACTGGAAGAGATCGGACTAATGTTTATATGAACTTATCCGATTGAAATGATGAGATGTTTCTCCCATTACAGTTTGTGCCTCAAAACCTGAATCACCCTGTATATCTGTTATTAATTGAGAATTAAATGTGGAATGTATTTTGATTGAGGATCAAAATGATGTTAAAAAGTGAATTTAGTCTCCACAACTCAAGAATCCATAAAAAATATTCCAATTCAATACCAGCAAACTCGACTTGAACAATAACAAATCCAATCTTCATGTTCTGTCTCCAGAATTTCCCAATTCTTAGTTGTTATATAAGTAGGAAGTTGGCCAAAACTTTGTAATTCTTAAAATACTTGACTTAAATGACAGATGTAAATGTATATATAAACCTTCATAGATGTTTCCTTGTATTCAACTTATTATGTTCATAGTTGGTAGTTTAATTCTTATATAGTTTAGTTGAATCTATAAACCCAGCATGAAATGTTATATACAGTGTGTCCCACTTACCATGCTCACCATGGGTATCTTTTTAACGGTGAGAGATACGAGGTCGGTTAAATGACACCAAATGTGGAGTTTGTCAGGGCCAACTATAATGTGAAAAAACATTTTGATAAAATCTATTCGTTTTTGTTTTATATGCAAAAAACAGATTTTGATCATATTCATGTCTCCTCCGTAACTTCTTTATTTATGAAAATATTCAAATAGGAATTTCACATTCTTGTGGCAGTTTTTCAAAGTGATTTCGAAAAAAATATGAAATTTATACCAACTCTTCTAGAATTTGAGATATCAGCACCAACTTTAGATTTTCAAATGTAGGTCATAGCTCACTATGACTTAGTTACAAATAACTTTTTTTTCTCTTCCAGATGATATGTAGCAGTAATAGTTTTGTGCTGATAACAACGGAGTTATCGTCATTTATACACGAACAAAAAATTATTTGAAAGCCGCCATCTTGAATTTATAAATTTTAACAAAAAAATCATGATCTCCGACCTCAAAAACCCTCACTTACCAATTTTGAATGGAATCGGACCAAATCTTGTCCGCCATCTTGGAGCAGCCATTTTTTTCAATTTCGACAAAAATTCCATAACTTCGATTAACTTGAAATTTGACAGGTGTTCATAATTTCGGTGACAATATACATATATATTATATATAAAATGACTATATTTTTCTCACACCATTCGTCCCTGCGTATCTTGTATCGAATTTGATAAATTGGTGAAATTGTCAATTTTATATATCCATTGTGGATAAGTGCAAATTCTATGCCCTGGTTTCAGGGTCCCGTGATGGCTGGCACTTTCGGATCCGTCATCAGGCATAAAACGTTGACGAAAATCGGGATTCGCAACGAGTTAATCGGAATGGCAATAGCAACACTCGTAGGTTTCTGTTGCGGTTCCATGATATGCACCTTCACAGACAAATACGGCAACCAAACTTGGCCCACCTACGAAATGATATCTAGGTAGGTATACCTACTCTGACTCTAAAATCATATCTCAGTTCGATCAGAACTTCTCAATAATTAGGATATTAACAAATATAATTGATAAATTATCATTAGCAATAATGTTAGTTTCTTCAAAAACTTTACTACTTTTTTATGAAGATTTCTGAGGAAATGTGATGGCCGACAGACAGACAAAAATTTGAAGTCATCACTGTGCTCTGTTATACAGGGTGTTTCAAAAAAACCTAACCCCCTTGCTGGGGTGGGTAGAACATCGCAAAATAAGTTTGCTCCCTAAAAAAATATCGTAACGCCATCCGTTTTCGAGATACAAGGTGTTGAAAAAATATTTTTTTACACATTTTTTACGAGTATGTTGAAACTACTGGCACCATTATGATGAAATTTTGTATGGATGTTTCTTGGAATCTGACACATCGCATGCATTTGTTTTCATATCTGACTCTCATAGAGGGCGCTAGTTACACGGTTCGTAGCGAGTAGTTTTGAACATAACTTTTTTGAGGTTAGATTTTTCAATCCAAATTTGATGTGAACCTGAACATCTTTCAATTTCACACCAAAAAGGTACTCTTGTTGAAACTCGATACCGTGTTCCGTTTTCGGAATATTTCGATTTGAAAATGATGAAGTGGTAACTGTTGCTGGTATAAAGCTATGTTATATTAGAGTGAGTATTATGAAAAAGTATCACCTATTTATTGAAAAGCGAAAACAACAATACATTTCTGATGCAAAACTCATTGATTTAAAAATGAATCACAGATTTCAAGAATTTTTTCAACACCTTTTGTATCATGAAAACAGATGCCGTTACGAAATTTTTTCACTGAGCAAACCCAACTTATTTTGCAATGTTCTACCTACCCTAGCAAGGATGTTAGGTTTTTTGAAACACCCTGTATATCGAGTTATTAACACCGATGTTATGAGATCATGACGTTGTTTATAACTCAATAAAATAAAGATAGGGATAATTTACCTCAGATGACTTGGTTTTTATTAAAAAAATGTGCATTAGAAGTCCTATATAAAAGTGGCCTTCAATGGGCGAGTGGACTGATGATGATGAATTATATCATTGGCATTCAATTACTCCACTGTTTACAGACCTAAATTAATTTTTGCAACACTCCTCACGCTTTTGTTGAATTTCAGAGCTCATTTCAAACGTGCCGTCATGGCCGCCATTTGGCGATACGTCGAATAAATGGTGACGTCATAGTTTTTATGCTGTATCGTCATTGGACAGATAATCTTCCATTCCCACTGATGAAGCAAGGTTGCCAAGTCACCAATTATAATCAAGTTATCAAAAACTTCTCGAAAAATATGAAATTCAATGGTATTTGAGTGATCGATTCTATTCGAGCCATTCGAGAAATAAAAAAATTTAGTCCACTCGCCTCTTCTTCCAATGCTAAACACTATTTCATATTATTACTATTTGAACGAATTTTTTAGGGGCGAACTTCGATCTTTATGGGTAGGATGTTTGATAGCTTTATTATCAGGAGCTGTTGTCGCCCTAGGAATTTTGAGCGATAATATCGCTTCATTAGTAGGGGTGGCTATTTCTACCTCAATTACCCCACCAGCAGTAAATGCAGTAAGTAACCAAGTATATCCACTAGCTTCATTATTTGTAATTATTATAAAAGGTCCAGAAGCAAATAATATGTATTCAACTGATAATACTTTGTCGTTCTTGTCCATTTGCAATATTTTCACTAATATCACGATTGCTTCAATTATTTTCGGAAAGTTTTTCGAGAACAGGGTTATTTTGAAATTTCTCAAATATTCGTGTCCGAGAAGAAATTCCCGGATATCAATTGAAGCTAAATGTGGTATTCGGTAAGAAAATTCCACACGAAACATTTTAGATCAATTTAAAGCTAAAAGGAATTTCAACAGCACATAAATGATTTAGTTGAAAATGATGGCTGTTTGTGCTGAAATGTAAGAACTGAATGAATGAATGAATGTCTATTTTCAAAAATAATAATCATAAAATGGTTCAACAATGATTACAATAAATGACCACAGAAGTTGTAGAGGCAACTTGTACGTGGTAACTAACGTATATATATAGTAGGTACCTAACAACATGTGTTTTTGTAAATTTCGAATTTGAAAGTATACCTACACAATATTACATGGTTAACTGTTGATAAAAATCATTTCTCTACGACTATCGTATTCTACATTGATTACATATAGGTTAGTAATTGATGAATGAAGATGATTCCAAGACACCGTGGATCCCAACTCATTATTCAACGGCACTCGACCAATCACAGATTCAGAATTTTCAGGATCCACAGCAACTGAAAAGGTTAGACTAATGAAAAACCAGCAAATCTACAAAACAAATTTCTCAAGAAGGCTCTGCTTCATTTTACGGGTCACGTCACGGCTTGACTTTCGCGAATATCAGATTGACTCATAGAGTCTTTTAAGTTTTAACTTTGATATCTGGAGGATATAATAGAGGCTTGCCGTTCCATAGACATGTACTCTATGAATATTGAAGATATTCAAGATCTTGGATCTCCATGGATGATAACTATTCCTGAGACCAAAACAAAAATTGTAAGAAGGTTCACTGTAACCGGGAAATTTTATCAATTTTGTAAAAAGTACATTGATATACGAGCAGCAAATGTTGGGATTTCCAATTTTTTCATGAATTACCAAAAAGGAAAATGTACTCTTTAGAAAATTGGAATTAATAAGTTTGCAGCAATGGGAAAACAAATAGTTACATTTTTGAAGCTACCAAATCCCGAGATGTACACCGGACATTGCTTTGCTTGTCAATGCAGGTGGAGGTATAACAGCATTGAAAAGACATGGTGGCTGGAAGAGCACATCGGTGGCAGAAGGATTTCTAGAAGATTCCATGTTGAATAAAAAAAAACGGCAGATTCGAATTCTTCAATGAATCGAACAATGTTCATCATCATCAAATAACAGTTCCTTCACACAAAAAACATCAACTAGCAATATGAATAAAAATGTCAGTGTTGATTTAAATGCAACACCAACAGTAAAATTTCACGAATTATGAGAATATCACTAAAAGTTTAGTCACTAAGTACGAGAAACATAATTTACTGACCTAATAATTATTGTGTTGTTTCATCATTGAGTTCGTTGAATATCAAAGATTCCTGTCAATTGTATTATCATATCATTAAAATTTATACATCAAGTATATTATTTTCATAAATAATAATTAGATTACATTAAATTTCTGACTATCGTATAGTCGTAGAGAAAGTATAGTCTTCTACTCGCGTATAATAGCTATTATTATACGCTCGTTGAAGAATATACTATTATTTATTGACTTATAGAATGAACTCGAAATAATCTTAAGTTGAATGTAAATGTCATTTAACCTATAAACGTCAAAAAATTTCCAGTGTAATTTCATGCTCTGTCCCCCAAGGAGGACGAAAAAATTTCCAAGAAATTTGTTTAGTTGCTATGGTAACGATACGAAATAGAGGCTTTAAATTGATCGAAAATGTTTGGTGTGAAATTTTCACAACAAATGCGCGCTTTCTGGGATCAAATATAATTTCTCTATGGCTCTAAAGAGGAAAAGTGTTGACTGTGATTTGATTTTAAGGGATTGTTCTGGTCCATGGCGTCGGTATATTACCTGAAAGGAGATCGTATGGACCTACGAAATCTTACACTCTACAACTATTATTCGAAGAATCCCATTGCCGAACTGCTCGCCTTAGGTGCCATTAATATTTGTTTGACATTTGCGAATATCATCTGTATTTATGCTGCTGCCATCCTAATTTTCAAGGTGAATTCATCAAAAACTGTTCCAACTAAAACCGACTGTTTCTAGAAAAACTCGAGAGCAAAATTCGTATCACATTCATGACATAACGATTTTTTTGTATTTATTCACTTAAAACAATTTTTGATAATAAGTCTCTGGTAAAAATACAAGTTATCAATACACCCAGTATAATAAGCTATAGGCACCGACAAATAATTATTGAGAAATAATTATTCCTGTGCGGTATTCAGTTCAGTAGGTACCTGCCTTTCAATATATCTCCAAATAAAACTCAATAGAATGATTTTTTATGTCAAATTGCACTGGAAAATTATCAACCTTTTAAATTTTCAGCAAAATTCATCCCAAAATTAGTTTAAACTGGCGTTTCACTTTACTGACACAATGAAATAGTTAAAATGTATGTTGCCATGCGACACTTTCGGTGCCTAGGAGTTAAATTTCTAGGAACTAAAAATAAATCAGCTGACAGCTGATATACAGGGTGTCGTAGAATAACGTTCGTATACTCCTGGAGGTAATTCTGCAGATGAAAATGAGAAAATTCATATTTATCAACAGGTGTCCGAAAAGGATTCCTCAGCAGAGCACTAAAGCTCTTTGATAAGGTTGGTTTTCAAATCCATCTTTATTATCATTGATCCTAGAAGCACGTTATGGTACGAAAAACATGATCCAATATACAGGGATGTGCGAAACTCGTAACCGATGCTATATAAATATGCTCCTTTTTTTGTTCCAGGATTTATCTCAATTCTACTACCAGAATATGATCCCTCAAACACTCCTATATGAAAAAGGTATTCTTGTTGGAAATTCGTATCATCATCATCATTTTGATGTCCAAAAAAATTCACAATGATGTTGAGCGTGTATCCTTAAGATAAATTAGTACTTGATAATTATAATATTACATCTTCAGTTACCTACTTTTGCTCCATTAGAGTCAATTATGATGTTGATATGTTGAGAAAATATCATGGACATGGACATCAAAATGAATAATTACCCTTTTACTTGAAAACGTTTCGTTTTACGGCATTCCAACAGGAATACCTTCTTCATGTAAAAGTGTTTGAGAAATTATATGCTGCATGGTAATAGAAGTGAGATAAATCTCAGAACAAAAAGATTTGAGGCATTCTTATAGCATCTATTACGAGTTTCGTACATTCCTGTATATTGAATCACGTTTCCCGTACCACGAAACGATTTCTAAGATCAAATCACTCTAATAGGTGCAAAATTTCGTGCTTCTAGGATCAATGATAACAAAGATAATTGAAGAAAACTACATTTGAAGACCAACCTTCGGAGGGCTCTAGCGCCCTTAGAAATCATTTTCAGACACCTGTTGATAGGAACATTTCACCTCCCGGAGTAAACGAACCTTATTCTGGGACACCCTGTATAGGATAGCTGCTGTCGCTGACATACTCAAGTAAATCAGAAATTACTAATTATAGATATCAAATATTTTGATGCCATTTTCTGATGAAAGAATGACTCGGTCTGCTTTTGACTTATTGCAATCAACTGCAACCCCAGCGAGCACAAAAACATCTCAGAGATGTTAAAAGTACGAGATTTCGAGACATTGAACCTCCACTGCGATGTTCTGTTCACACATGAATAGAACAATTATAGAACAGCCAATATGTCCGCCGCATCAGGCGGCAATTATCGAGATGTCCTTGATATGTCACAAAACTACCTTCTCCCTATAGCTCTTTTTAAAGCCTTTTCATGGACACAACAGAACATTTTTAACGCGTCTTGCGCACATTAAATCGCTGTAAAAAAAACATTTTCGAGGTACTTTTCTCTGAAGCCTTTTTTCAAAATGAACTTTTGCATTAGGATTCCCTTGAATGAAAAAATGCATTAAAAATCGATTGAACATTAAAATATTTTCTTGATATGAAATTACCTTCTTAATCGGTTTCTGAGTAGTGCTTACTACACACAGACATATAATTGGAAATATGTTTCCCAATTTTCGAAATGTTCTCCACAATGCATAATTTTGCAACTGCGGAGAAGCTGTGTATTGATAAATTCGTACTTTTATATATTGATTACACTGAGGCACCGAACAACACATCTTGCATCTGATGTTCATTATTACAAAATAATTAAGTCTTCTAACACAATAAACTTCACCAAATTCCTTTCTGTACGTTAGCAGCATGATGTAAGCGTGACACGCTGCAAACGCGAATGCCAATTGCGAGAACAAGAAGAACAAAATCGAAAACAAATCAAAATTCATCGTATTGTGACGTAAGCATGAGACGTTGTGGTGGGGCAAACAAAGAAAGGGCACAAAAGAACAAAAACAATACTTTCAATATCCTTCTAAGACCTCTTTGGGAAGTGCATATTACGCCTCAAAAAAACATCCTCATGCCTACATTTCTAAAACATCCCAAAACATCCCAGGGATACCTCTCAGTAGGCAAACAAAGAAATGCCACAGAAGAACAAAAAAATACTTCAATATCCTTCAAAGACCTCTTTGGTCAGTGTTGTAGATTGTTTTAATGAATTAGTTTGATATACTTTGTATATAATTTGGAATTGAAGAAGGAGGCGTTGAGTTGTTTAGAAAAAGTGACATAAAATAAAGAAAGATATAAAAGTCAGAAAATTGGGAAAATCATTTATTTTTGGAAGTAATAGAAATACTGAGTCTATTACATTTGGTCCTTCGCGTTCAAAAGACGAACTAGCACTGTGGACAGCAGTTTCGACGAATCGACTAAAGTTGACTTATGACCGACTCCTCCAGGAAAAGAGAAACAGCTGGAATAAATAGAAATCTTGACGAGAACTATTTGTGGCCCAAAAACTTTGGAGAACCTAGACATAATATGGATGACAATGCCAAAAAACCAGAAGGTGACATCCCTGATGGTAGAATCATCTCCGAAGCTCAAGTCATGGGCGACAACAGCTCATCTGTTTCCCGACATTCTATTCCAAATAGGACGAATACATCATCTAGACATTCTACACGTACTAAGTGTTCAAATACTTCTAAGGCAAGTGTCGATCTTCAACGTATGAAAGTTACGTTGGAAGCCGAAAAAGCCAAGCAGGTTTTGTTGAATGAAGCCTTGCAAGAGAAATTGAAATTAATCGAATTAGAAAAAGCCTATCGTGAAGCTGAGATTCTAGATCAGGACGAGCGACGATCTCGAATCAGTAGTCGACATACAGACTGTTCCAGGCAGAGTGTGATAGATATTTGTCACCAGTCTGTAATAAATAAACAACCACCAAGACAAGCCGATGGAACATATGTGGCACAATGGATTGATCAGTGTCCTTCCATATACGAGGATCCTGTGATGATATCTTCTCGAGAGATGAACTATCTCGATGGACAAACGATTGCAGTACAGAAAAATCCAGGAAAATCGTCGTCTTCAAGTACAAAAGAACCGATTATTCAAATGACGACAGATCATATAGACAAAATTTGCCAGATCATGAAAAGCAATTGTGACAACAGTAATCGTATTCCAGGACTTGGAAAGCATATGAGCCTACCAATATTTGAAGGCAATCCTGAGGAATGGACACTTTTTTATGAACAATTCAAGAGAAGCACAAGAATTTATAATATATGTGACGAAGAGAATATGTTACGTATACAAAAGTGCCTTCGTGGTAGAGCTAAAGAAGCTGTGAATTCACTTCTGATTTCATCATCTAATGTTTCGAAAGTCATAGAAACACTAGAAGTAACATTTGGCCGTCCGGAGTTCATTATTTCCATGTTAGTTGAAAAAGTGCGGAAAGCTCCTCCACCCAGAGAAGGAAGATTCGAGACCTATTTACCCTTTTCGAATATCATTGAGAACTTAGTCACGACCATGGAACTATTCAATAATACTGGTCACATGAATAATCCTCAGTTGCTGAATGAAGTTATTGTGAAGCTACCTCCATTTTTACGATTAGAATGGGCGAAGGCTTCCATGACAGGAAATAATTTATCATTGAAAGATTTTTCGGTATGGTACAGAAACATTGCCTTAGCTGCTTCAACGTGCACGAATGTAAATAGTCTGGAAAAAAAGCAAAATGAATCTGATCATTTCGAGGGAAGAAAGAAGCGGGAGAATGTATTTTCCACCAGGAAATTCCATGAAGAGAAGAAATCGATATGTCCATGCCAAAAAATGTATCACCCCGTAGAAGATTGTGATGTATTCAAGAAGATGACAGTTGACGACAGATGGGTCTATATAACGTCACATAAACTTTGCTTTTCGTGTCTGAAACCAGCACATAATATATTCAAATGTAGAAGAAAACAGAAATGTGGGATACCAGGTTGTGACAAATTCCATCACAAAATTCTACATAATCCTGGGCGAGCTATCAACACCGATGTCGAGCCAGGACCATCGATGGTATCAAGTTCAACAGAAAATCATCAATTAGAAGTGATTCACCATATTCAACAGCACGAAGATAGAATTCTTCTACGTATTGCTCCTGTGAAGATACAAAATAATGATAAGCAAATCTTGACTTTCGCATTATTCGATGAGGCAGCAACAACAACTTTAATAGATGCAAGAATCGCTGAAGATCTTCAACTACACGGACCTGTCGAGCCTTTTTGTTACCAGTGGTTAAACGAGGTTAGTCGAAGTGAGGATGATTCACGAAGAGTATCATTTTACATCTCTGGGACTGAAGAAACTTCGAAAACATTCAAAATAGCTGGAGCAAGAACAGTTAGAGATTTATGTTTACCAAGACAAACCATTGATGTCGAAAATTTGTCGAAGTCTTACCCCTATTTGAAGCAAGCAACAGTATCTTCCTTTAAAGATGCACAACCAATGATTTTACTCGGACAAGACCAATGTGCTTTGACAATAGCAAGGAAGTTCTATCATGGTACTTGGAATACCCCATTTGTATCCAAGACATTACTGGGTTGGGTTATCCACGGAAAGAGTGAACAGCCAAGAAAACTAGACAGATCCCTAATTTTTCATTTATGTTGCAAATCTCAAGAAGAAGTTGACGACGAAATCCATAACCTTGTCAAGGATTCTTTCAAAACGGAAAATTTTGGTGTTCGACATGCCGAGGAGAATGGAAAATCAAAAGAAGACGAGAGAGCTCTCACGATAATGGAAAATACTATAAAACAAGTTGGTACTCACTTTGAAATTGGCCTCTTATGGAAAAATGATAAAGCAATCCTACCAGACAGCAAGAATATGGCAATGAACCGATTAAGATGCATCGAAAGAAAAATGGACAAAAATTCAGACTATGCCAAGCGGTACTGTGCAAAAATCAGTGAATATCTACAGAAAAATTATATTAGGAAATTAAAACCTGAAGAGATTGAACAAAATAATGATAGGATATGGTACTTACCTCACTTTGGTGTTGTCAATCCCAAGAAACCTGAGAAACTGAGATTAGTTTTTGATGCTGCAGCAAGATCTCATGGTATCAGCCTGAATGACTTACTTCTTCAAGGTCCAGACCTGCTGACCAATTTAACTTCAATTTTATGGAGGTTCAGACAGAAGAAGATAGCATTCTGTGGAGATATCAGAGAAATGTTCCACCAGGTGTGGATACGGGATGAAGATTGTCCAGCGCAACGTTTCTTCTGGAGAGGCATGGACAGATTACGAAATCCAGATGTTTACGAGATGAAGGCAATGACTTTTGGAGCTACATCATCACCCTGTATGGCCCAATATGTGAAAAATAGAAACGCCACTCACCATTCGTCCGAATTTCCAAGAGCAGCCACTGCAATCATCGATAAACACTACGTAGATGATTATTTAGAATCTACTGATACGGTGGAAGAAGCGACAGAGCTGATATCTCAGGTTATTGAGGTACACAGAAGAGGTGGTTTCGAAATTTGCAACTGGATCTCTAACTCGAAAGATGTTTTGAAATCAATTCCCGAAAACTTGCGCTCCAAAACACAAAAAAAACTTGGATTCATTCAGTCAACACCATGTAGAAAGAGTCCTGGGACTATGGTGGAACCCAGAAACTGACAATTTCACGTTCTTTCTAAATTGTCATAAAGTAAATCCAGACGTGATAAACTGTACCAAAATTCCTACTAAGAGAGAAGTATTGAAATTAGCAATGTCATTCTTTGACCCACTAGGACTATTATCACCGATGATTGTAAAATTCAAGATTTTTCTGCAGCAGATCTGGCGTTCAGGTATTGGATGGGACGATACAATCACATCTGAAATGGAGACAAAATGGTTTCATCTGATGGGAGAGTTGAACATGATCGAGACAACTAGTCTTTCACGTTGTTATGGACCCAACTTATTCCAGAGCTCTTTTGTGGAACTGCATGGCTTTTGTGACAGCAGCGAACAAGCCTTTTCTGCAGTCGTATACTTACGCTTTGGTATTGATCTGAAGAATGTTCATGTATCTTTCGTCAGTGCTAAGACACGAGTGGCACCATTGAAGCCAATAACTGTACCACGGCTGGAACTTCAGGGAGCAGTAATGTTGAGCAGATTAGTGAACACTATAAAGAAAAGTCTAGAGGTACAAATATCTGCAATACATCTATGGACTGACTCAAGAATTGTGCTACATTGGATCAGATCTGAAGTGAAACGACACAAAACGTTTGTTTCACACAGAGTTGGTGAAATAACCGAGTTAACTGATGTATCCGATTGGCACTGGGTTCCAGGAGAACAAAACGTTGCAGATGAGAGTACCAGAGAAACAACTAAGAGTCCTAGAAGATGGTTAGATGGACCAACGTTCCTGCAGTTTCCGAAAGAAAGCTGGCCAATTGAAGAAAAAGTGGATATAGATGAGGAAGAACTAGAAATCAGAAAAGAAAGATTGTTACTAACAATACAAGTCGATGACTATTTACCTGACATTACAAGATTTTCAAAATATAGAAAATTGATTCGGACAACTGCCTGGATGATTAGATTCATGAAAAATTGTAGAGCACAAAAGAGGACGTCCATAGATTTAGAAAAGCAAGAATTTGAAGAAGCAGAGTACACCTGGTTGATACACGTTCAGAAGAAATGTTTTCCAGAAGAAATTTCGGATTTGAAAAGAGACGGAGTGGTGGACAGAAGAAGTAGACTTCACACTTTACATCCAATGCTCGATGAAAAAGGAATTCTTCGAATAAAAGGCCGACTACACAATTCAGAAGATTTAGATTATTTCCAGAAACACCCTGTAATATTGGACTCAGGTAACACCTTCACAAAATTGTTGATTGCAGATTACCATGTGAAACTTTGCCACCAAGGACAAGAATTGGTGATGAACGAGATTCGACAAAAATTCTGGATTCTGCGATTAAGAAATGCTGTTCGGAAGTGTAGAAATGACTGTTTTTACTGTAAAAAAATAATAGCAAAACCATTAGTCCCAGAGATGGGTCAGCTTCCAGACTATCGACTGAAGAGTTTCGTACGACCATTTACTATTACTGGGATGGATTATTTCGGACCTATATCCGTTACCATTGGAAGACGTCACGAAAAGCGGTATATTGTTCTGTTTACATGCTTGAGTGTAAGAGCCATACATCTGGAAATAGCTAGCTCTTTGAATACAGATTCTGCTGTGATGGCGATTAGAAGATTTATTGGAAGAAGAGGTTGTCCTCAGGAAATTCACTCAGACAATGGCACAAATCTCCATGCAGCAGATAAGGAACTGAAAAACGCGTTGGTGGAGCTCAATAGAGACCAACTTTCCATATTTTTAACCTCTAAGAATATCATTTGGCGATATATACCAGCAGCCAGTCCACATATGGGGGGGAGCTGGGAACGTTTAGTCAAATCTGTAAAAACCGTACTAAAAGTTACTCTCAAGGAAAGAAGTCCAAAAGAGGAGGTCCTGCAAACATTAGTTGTGGAGGCTGAAAATATAGTAAACAGTAGACCATTGACCTATGTTTCTGCCGACCCAGATGATCCAGAGAGCCTAACACCGAACCATTTCCTCTTGAGTTCATCCGATGGAGCAGCACCACTACCAGGGAAGTTTCGAGAAGATCAAATCCATCATTTGAGAAATCAATGGAAACTATCACAAGCCCTAGCGAACATATTCTGGAGAAGATGGGTTAAAGAGTACCTTCCTACACTTAATAAAGTTGGCAAGTGGCACAGGAAAGTTGAAAACATCAAAGTTGGAGATGTAGTTATTGTCGTTGATGATACAACGCAAAGAAATAATTGGCCTTTGGGAGTAATTCAGAGAGTGTACACAGGAAAAGATGGAAATGTGAGGGTAGCAGATGTGAAATTGAAAAATGGTACACTCAGACGACCAGTGGTAAAGATCTGTAAGTTACCTGGAGTTAACAAAGAAGAAGAATGAAGAGAAAGGAGCGACGAAGAGATTCTTATAAATTTCAAGAACAGTTGATATTTTGGGAAATTCTGAAATATTCTGAATTTTGGGGGGAGAATGTTGTAGATTGTTTTAATGAATTAGTTTGATATACTTTGTATATAATTTGGAATTGAAGAAGGAGGCGTTGAGTTGTTTAGAAAAAGTGACATAAAATAAAGAAAGATATAAAAGTCAGAAAATTGGGAAAATCATTTATTTTTGGAAGTAATAGAAATACTGAGTCTATTACAGTCAGTGCATATTACGTCTCAAAATAACATCTTCATGCCAACATTTTCAAAACATCCCAGGGATGTTTGTGCTCGCTGGGACCTATGATCTCAATAAAATAATATGAGTAGGTACTATTTTTCGACAGGTCAAAGAAGTGGCTCATGTTCCGTCCAAAGACTACCACCGCAGAAACTTCTGGAAACACGACATCAAAATAGCAAGAGACTATAACAAGACGCTCCAGCACGGAGAAGGCGATTGCTTGATATCGAAATGGACTCAGGAGTTGGCGGCCTATCAAAGACGCAATTACGGCGATCAGTTATTCCATTCGACCGATCTGTCAAACAAGCCATCGAAAGTGACGAAAAAGAACACCGGTTACACTTGGTCGCCCAGCATGAATTCCAACGAGGAGTTCAAGAAACTCCGCGGGCTCTACGAGAGACTGCTCAAAGAGCCAACTTCGACGTACGGTTCCACTCATAGTACTACCAGCAGTACCAGTTCCAGTACCGTTCGAAATGAACGCCATCGGCGCTTATCCCAAATATTCGTGCAAGAAGAGGACCAGTTGAACACGATCGACGAGACTTCGTCCAAGAGTTTCAACGGTTCCGGATTGAGCAACGAATCTGGGAAGAGGAAGGCGAGCAAGCAGTTGTTTTGCGGAAAGAAAAAATTCACAGTCACGCCATGTAAAATTGATACTTTGAAGCCGTAATAATTGTATGTTCAGATTTTAGTTATTTTTAATAAAAACATTATTTTATGAAACGATTGCGTTTGATGGACCAAATTACCAATACCATTTAACAATGATTGACAATTCAACAAACTGACCTTTCTTCACTAAGTGGAGTACCTACGGGGGGGATATATATGTCCCCCCCTCGTATGCCGATAAAAGACCACTCTTCTAATTCACGTAATAATAATATCTATACATTTTTATTGCCAAACACTATGTATAAAAGTGATGAAAGATTTCATACAAGAATAGGTCACAAGAACCCATCCAGGAACAAATCTCTAAAAATAGAGCTACAGAAATAGTTATTTATTACCTATACAAGGGAAAAAACTAGTAGATTTTAGCTCCAGGTTGTGTTGTCTCCCGACGCGTAGCGGAAGGAGACAAAAAACCGTGAGCTAAAATCTAATGTTTTTCCCGTGTATAATACACTATTTTTTTCTGTGACAGAAGAAAGGACGAATCAATATTGAATCAATATTACATTATTTTGAAATCTGAAACTTATCGACGTGAAATTTTAAGACTTTAACAGTAGGGACACCTGCGTTGTAGGCATCTTTGTCATTCTTTTGAAGTAATCAAATATCTGATGTCATTTCTGTCAGTCTAATTCTGTGATTCGATTTCAAAAAATTGCGAATTTAGTGGTTGTTCAGTAATATACGTAACCGCGAAGTCGAATGGAAGATAAAATTAAGGACTTGCAGTTCTTTCTTGGAGACGGTATTATTGACTCATTTCTCGGAACTATAGCACAACAAAAAGCCATCAAAATCCGAAAAATTTTGAAAAAAATTGGGAGCATGGAGAATTTTCCAATATATCTGGAGGATTTTTGTTTGTCACTAATGTCACTTGAAAAATATGACATTTTATGCTGTAAGGGTCGAAGAAGTTGTCCTTGTCAGTGGCGTACCCAGAAGTGTACCTTTTGGGGGAGGATACCTTCACATTTTTTTGTGAAACACATTTTTGTTTAAGATCATTGATTACAACAATAATTTTGAGCATTACAGAATGAAATCTGGGCTCCTTGGCTTGAGACCAACATCATCAATTATTTCTTAAATAGATATATGACTATATAGGTACCTCTTCCGTGTCACATTTTGATATTGGCTTTGATATAATAATTGTAGGAATACCATTACAAAATTTGAAGATAATCAGATTCATTCAATTCACACCAGGTCGAGCTTTGAGCGTAATTTCTGAGGGTGGCAGTCATTACATACATAATTTCATTATTTGACGTACTTTTCAACTCCAAAACTCCACGACAAGTCGATGGAAAATCTGATGTTGCAGCATTTGAATATTTCTGATGCATTTCGATACGAAAACTTCGATATTTTTGATACCATAATGAAAGAAACACCACAATGTTAAGGAAAAAATATCGTATCTCTTTACCAATAGTTACTTTTCGAAAAATAACGAAATGATTTCAAGAAAACCTTTCTACCAACAGAGTATATGGTTATCATAAGTCTTGAAAATTTTTTTTCCGCTAACGGAAGACATTTCAAATTGGGGCTATTTTTCACACCATCATTCATCACCCTATAGTCTTCCAGTTACAAATTTTCTAATCGACCAATTATAATCTCTCGAAACCCTATAAAATTATCATTTAGGAACTGAAAACGAAATGAAAATCTGTTGGGTCATTCAGAAATTACGAAGCTTTTAATAAGAGTGAAATTATGCATCGTTCCGTTTCAATTGTTGAGCAGTTTACTTGAAATCGAATTTACTATATAGTCGTATGCCGATAAAAGACACCACTTTTGACAAATAAAAATACATAGCAGATTTCGGAAAAGAGTTTATTAAAAAAAAACAATGAAAAATGCAATTTCTCGAAAAACCGGCGTCCGAGGTGGAATTGAATTTTGACTAAAAGTATTACCAATATTTTTGAATTTTACTTTGCACAATGATCATGAGGAAAATCTATTTTATATACAGTATCAATAATTCTACTTGACAAAAATAAATTATCAAAACTCACAACACAATAATTACTAAATTATAAATATTTGTCTCAAAATGTCCTCCTGCAAGTAAATATCCATGTCTGATGAAGGTCACATTTTTCATCCAATGTTTATTATGTGTGTACAAACAATAAACACGAGTGTACACGAATGAAAAGTTGAAATGTATGAAGTGAAAAATTCTAAAATAGAATCAGTCATTTACTCTCACTATTCCGAACCAGTTGAGCGTTTTACTTTACGTTGCCTGGGGCTGAGCTGCTGCTTGGGACTCTGCTGTTGCTTCGCCTTGGGTGATTTTTGCAATTTGTCCTTATCTAAAACAAATAAGATCAACAATGAGTGCATTTCCATTAGCTGTCGAGAATTGATAACTTTCATCTTTTTGTCTTCATCATTTAAGTACCACTCTATCAGTAAACAAATATTTTAGTTTTTCTATACAGGGTGTCCGCTAAAAGGAGGTCAATCCATTAACCATATATTCCTTGAACAAAAATAATATGAGTTTCTAAATACCATTTTTCATTTTAGCCCTTCATATTCGATATACAGGGTGTCAAAGTTGAAAATTAAAAACTGTTTTTTTTTAATTACTCGCGTATTTGATAAGATATTAATCTCAAAATAGGTACATTACTTCAGCACAAAGAGTTACATCGCGTGAGGAAAACCAAACAGAAAATAACTGTCAAATATTCAAGATACTGGGGGTCAAGTACACACTTACCCCCATATTTTTTTTGTACGTGCGCTAATGACTTCCTATCTATTTTCCTTCATGTGTTCAATCATTTTTGAGTATTTTTTGTTTCCTGTAAAATTTCGATTGAATCATTTGTTTTTAAGATAATTCGAAAAGTACTGGTTATTGTTTGATGCCTATGCGGCTTAGGTAATCTCATAATGTTCACATACTCCTATTTATTTCGTCGAAATTGAAAGAGGGCGTATCTTTTTACGTACGAAAAGGTAAATATGGAAATACCGGGTGCTCGGAGCAAATGTACTAAAATAATTTTTACAAAAAAAAAAATTTAAAAAGTGTAAAAATTATTTTAATACATTCGCTCTGAGCACCCGGTATTTCCATATTCACCTTTCCGTACGTAATAAGATACGCCCTCTTCCAATTTCGACGAAATAAATAGGAGTATGTGAACATTATGAGATTACCGTAAGCCGCAAGGCATCAAACAATAACCAGTACTTTTCGAATTATCTTAAAAACAAATAATTTTATCGGAATTTTACAAAAATCAAAAAATACTCAAAAATGATTGAACACATGAAGAAAAATAGATAGGAAGTCATTAGCGCACGTACAAAAAAAATATGGGGGTAAGTGTGTACTTGACCCCCAGTATTTTGAATATTTGACAGTTATTTTCTGTTTGGTTTTCCTCACACGATGTAACTCTTTGTGCTGAAGTAATGTACCTATTTTGAGATTAATATCTTATTGATTACGCGAGTAATTAGAAAAAAACAGTTTTTAATTTTCAACTTTGACACCCTGTATATCGAATAAGAAGGGCTAAAATGAAAAATGGTATTTAGAAACTCATTTGACTATTTGAAAACAAAACAGGCCAGAACCGGATTAAAAATAAATAGTAGTTCAACTCACTTAATGAGGCGAGTGTTTGTGCCGGCAACCAATCGTAATCCACGTTGTTCGGGTTGCTGGTTCCGGTCTCGACGGCGGCGGACTTTTTGCCGCCTCCGCTGCTGCCGCCGCCGCCTCCGGTGCGTTTCTTGCCGACCGAAAGAAGAGTTTGCTGACCGATCACCAACAGCAAGACCACTCCGGCTGCCAGGAACACGTACAGGAAGAACGTCTCTCCATCTAAACCTGAAAAAAAAGGAGAAAAACTCAGGTTTATCCCAGCGTTTATCAGTGGCGGCTCCTCAGAGGAGGCAACGGAGGCTGAGCCTCCTCAGAGATTCTCCTTAAACCGATATTATCAATATTTTGTCATTAAAAGGACACCAAAATACATGGATTTTGATTTTATTTCCTGTTTTTAGGTAAATATTTTTGAATGGGCAACAGTGCTTGCCCACGCATCACACGTTGAAGTCTGCAAATCACGCGTAAAATATTCAACTTGGCAACATCTATAGGAGGCTAGACTCCTTCACAATGCGCAACCCACGCGCGCATTGCAAATGCCCGAATACGCCCGAATAGCACGTGTTTGTGTTTGTCGTGTCGCTTCGCGAATTTCGGTATGTTAGGTTAATGGTTAGGGGCTCTATAAATTCCTGAAAAATGAGTGTTTTGAACGATTGCGATTTAGTGAAATATTGAAAATGAACTGAAATCTATTTCAGAGTACAGTATTTCCAGTTTTTGATGCTTTTGTGTGATATTTCAGTTATCTTTGGAGATAGAAGCTTGCAGTTTTCGCGGTCCTGTGCCACTTTTTTGTGAAACTCAAGATGACCTAATCAGATTTTGCATAACTGTTTCCGTTCACGAGATACAGGGCGATTTTGAAAATCCATACTTTTTCAACCTCCTCTATATCTACAAAGTTTCTCATGTCAAATTAAAATCTTTTCCTATAGAGAATTTTATGCAGAATCCAGTGGCCCACTCAAATTTTTTTTCTGGGTTTGGTTTTGAAGACACGACTCAAACTTATGATTTTTCAGATGGAACAACCTGTATTTTAAAAGCTCATTGAATTCCTCATTTTTTCCTCTTCAAAATAATATAATATCTAATATATAAAATTCTCCTGTCCGGACCACCGTGTTAGTGTGGTCGAACTCCTCCGAAACGGCTCGACCGATTCGTATGAAATTGTTTGTGCGTATTCGGTAGGTAGGAGGATCGGTCGTAATCTATTTTTTAAATAGAAAATTCAAGATGGCGGGTCCAATATGGCGGACGAGTATTGTTATCCGATTTAATTCAAAATTGGTATTTGGGGTTTTTCGGGGTCGGAGATTATGATTCTTTCGTCAAATTTCGGAAATTCAAGATGGCGGATCCAATATGGCGGACGAGTTTTGTAATTATGGTCAGATTCCATTCAAAATTGGTATCTGGGGGTTTTCGAGGTCGGAGATTAAGATTTTTTATCAAAATTAGGAAATTCAAAATGGCGGATACAATATGGCGGACGAGTTTTGAAATTATGATCCAATTATATTCAAAATTGGTATCTGAGGGTTTTCGGGGTCGGAGATTATGATTCGTTCGTCAGAATTAGGAAATTCAAAATGGCGGATCCAATATGGCGGACGAGTTTTGTAATTATGGTCAGATTCTATTCAAAATTGGTTTCTGGGGGTTTCAGAGGTCGGAGATATGAATCATTTGTCAAAATGGGGAAATTCAAAATGGCGGATCCAATATGGCGGACGAGTTTTGTAATTATGGTCAGACTCTATTCAAAATCGGTATCGGGTGGTTTTCGGGGTCGGAGATAATGATTCTTTTGTCAAAATTTGGAAATTCAAGATGGCCAAGTAAAAAGAAGTATGAATAAAATAATGAAAGTTCTTTGATAAATATTTATGTAAAAACATTTTTTCTAGAAATGATGTCATGGCAAAACAACGTTTGCCGGGTCAGCTAGTAATGTATAAATATCAAATTTTCAAAAATGCTCCAAAATCCAAAAAATGTATGGAATGTTCAATTGCTAATATCTCCATTTTATTACAACTTTTATTGAAGCAATATTTGGTAGATATGTATATTTCAATGATTTCTACATCCTCTAGAAAAAAATACCCCATCTTCAAGAACACTCTGTATACAGGGCTATACACAACTTACCACTTACCAAACATCTTCAATCACATACCTATGCAATTTGCCTGTCAATTAACTGAAGACAACAACAATAAATACAATTTCAATCATAGCAAAAATTCTCACCTTCTTCAACTTCCACAATTTGTACAGTCTCATTGAAGACAGCATCATGGAAGGAGTTTCCGAAGGCATCCCTGTAGGCCAGGTCGATGTGCAGACCGAAGGGTCTTCCGGCGAAAGCCTCAGAGGGTAGAAAGCTGTAACTGAAGGTGGCCTCTTGTTCGGGCGCCACGATTTTGTTGTAACCGATGGCAGAGAAGTTCTGGATGAAGAAGTTGAAGTCCATGGGGTATCTGAAGGAAGCCTCCAAACTTTCTACCGTGAAGTCCTGGTCGCCCTTGTTGCGGAATCCCACCAAGAATTCTACTGGCAAACCGGCGGGAATTTCTGAAAATATATCGATGATAATGTGAATTATTTTTTCAATGATTGTGTAGTTACTTAAAATGCCATTCAGAGTAATCATATGGATGAAATAAATCAATAATAATTCTTTTTACTAGCATGTGAAGAAGCCCTTTTTATTTTAATAGTATATTATGTAACAAGTGTTATAAACGTCCTTTTAGTAACGAATATTTTAAGCACGAGCGGAGCGAGTGTTTAATAAACGAGTGTCTAGAAGAGTTTATAAACGCGTTACATACTATGATTTTTCAACGGATTCCGAAAATTACATTGAAATACCTGCTATTCCTGCTAACCTACAAAATAATTTGAAAGGAATGGGAATTGAGAACATGATACATGCAACTGCATGCAACCAGCGAGACACGTATAAGTGATATTGGTTGTAGATTTGTCCAGTCCATTGCTTACTAACCTTTGTTTCATGTTTATTAATTGTCATGCTTAGCGCAGATTGAATGAATAATTATTCTCAAAGATGGATGTTTCATTTTTCCACTTCTTGGACATATGCAAGTACCAGAAGATTCGATTTCACTCTCGTCTACATTTCGCATATTATATTTTTAATGAAGAATTCTGATACAAACGAATATTGTTTGAATGATTCTGAAACAGAATTTCAAAATAACAGTTGACAGTTAATACAATCGACAGGCCAGACATGTCTCAAATTATTGAAGCTGTGTTTAATGAACTGTGTTGCCATGGTAATGTGTTTAAGAAATCGTGTTGCCATGGTAATGTGTTTAAGAAATCGTGTTGCCATGGTAATGTGTTAAAGAAATCGTGTTGCCATGGTAATGTGTTAAAGAAATCGTGTTGCCATGGTAACTTGTTTGATATTTTTAATAAATCACAGATCGACAATCTGTAATCAATCGATCATTTAGCGTGGTACATATCCGTACTATAAATGCCATTTTAGTTATGTGAGTAGTATGTTAGTATGTCTGGCCTGTCGATTGTATCAACTGTCAAGTGTTATTTTCAAATTTTGTATCAGAATCATTCAAACAATATTCGTTTGTATCAGAATTCTTCTAAAAATATATGCGAAAAGTAGACAGTAGTGAAATCGAAGAGAATGTTCTGGTACTTGCATATCTCCAAGAAGTGTAAAAATTAAGCATCCATCTTTGAGAACAATTTATTTATTTTGCGCTGAGCATGACAATAAACGTGAAACAAAGGTTAGTAAGCAATAGAGTGGACACATCTACAAACAATATCACTTATACGTGTCTCGCTGGTTGCATGCAGTTGCATGTGTTATGTTCTCAATTCCCATTCCTTTCGAATTATTTTGTAGGCTAGCAGGAATTGCAGGTATGTTAATGTAATTTTCGGAGTTCGTAGAAAAATCATAGTATGTAACGCGCTTATAAACTCTTCTAGACACTCGCGTTTATTAAACACTCGCTCCGCTCTGCTCCGCTCGTGCTTAAAATACTCGTTACTAAAAGGACGTTTATAACCCTTGTTACATAATATACTATTATTTAACTTGCATTGTATGTTTGTATGGATGTATGTATGTATGTTCGGGTTCGGGTGGAATCTTTGAACTCAATTTTGAAGTAAAAATCTTCAACCGATTTAGCTGAAATTTTGTATACACGTTCAGTTTGGATGACAATGCACGATAAGGTGTGTCACGTTATGGCGGAATAGCTATTTTTGATATACTTTTAAAATAAGGGTATCAAATGAAAAGGCTCGTTGAGAGTTACTCGAAAAATGATGTGACGTCATTCTAAATCCAATATGGCGGACCATCCAAGATGGCGGAATGGTCATTTTCAATATACTTCTACAATATGGGTATCAAATGAAAAGGCTTGTTGAGAGTAAATCGAAAAATGATGTGACGTCATTCTAAATCGAATATGGCGGACCACCAAGATAGCAGAATGGTCATTTTTAATCTACTTCTTCAATAAGGGTATCAAATGAAAGGGCTCGTTGAGAGTAATTCGAAAAATAATGTGACGTTATTCTAAATCCAATATGGCGGACCATCCAAGATGGCGGAATAGCTATTTTTAATATACTTCTACAATATGGGTATCAAATGAAAAGGTTCGTTGAAAGTAACTCGAAAAATGATGTGACGTCATTTTAAATTCAATATGGCGGACCATCCAAGATGGCGGAATGGTCATTTTCAATATACTTCTACAATATGGGTATCAAACGAAAAGGCTCGTTGAGAATAAATCGAAAAAGCCAGCTAGCGATAACTAAAAATTAAAAAATAAATTGAAAGTGAAAAAAAACTTTTTAATAAAAAGCTTTTATTTAAACGCTCTAAAAAAAAGAAAATAAAATTTTTCCTAATAATTTTAACTATCAACTTATAACCTCATTATACACAATTTATATGATCATGAAAGCTTGTTGTGATGATCAATATTTAATTAAATTGTAATTTTAAAAATTTTATCTCAGCAGATTTTACATAATTAAATAAGTACTAGTTCATTCACACAAGTTAATCGCGCGACAAACTTTTATGTTCATATAAATTGTGTATAATGAGGTTATAAGTTGATAGTTAAAATTATTACGAAAAATTTTATTTTCTTCTTCTTAGAGCGTTTAAATAAAAGCATTTTATTAAAAAGTTTTTTTTACTTTCAATTTATTTCAATGATTGTGTATTGACAATGCCATTTAGAGTAATCATATGGATGAAATAAACCAATAATAATTCTTTTTTCTAGCATGTGAAGAAGCCCTTTTTTGGTAATCATTTTAGTGTTGAAAGAGTCACTTTTCCACACTAGCGAGGAAATCACTTTCAACTCTAAAATGAGTGTGGAAAACAGGGAAAAATAGTGTACCTAACACGTGTGTAAAGTGGCTTTTCCAACAAGCATGCGGAAAAGTATCTTTTCCGCAAGATTTTTCGTTTTAAGAGTTGTACTTTTCTCGAGACATTGCCGTACGATTTTCCTTTTCCTCACGATCTTTACTTTTCTGCACGAATTCTTATTTTTCCTCCAAGCAGCATAGAAAGTGGCTTTTTGATGACACTTAACAAGAATGATAGGTGTACTTTCTCTGTTTAGGCAGGAAAAGTTTGTTGCTATGCAACATTCCAATCCAAATATTTTGAATGAAATTGGTAATCAAAATTGACACTTGACATTGGGTGAATACAAAATCATGTAGTTTTCAATAAAAAATTACACAAAATTGGTTTTATAACAATTGGCAGCAATTGTAGATTGACTGACTACTACTTTGCTGCCTAGTGAAACAAAACTATCACTGCACTAGTGCTGTTAAGTTACTTTTCCACATGATTTTTGTATTGTTGAAAATGAGGAAATTTAGGACTAACTAAATAATGTTCTATGTAACTATTCTGTATTGCATAAATTTGTAACATTATTATAAAATTTTGGTTATTAAAAACCATTTTTTTCATAAATAATATGGACAAAAACAGGCATAGAGGCATAGGAAAAACATTGTACCTAACTCTTGTGGAAAAGTACTATTTTTGGCACTTGTTAGGTAAATAACTATTCAAATGCAATATAAAAATCACTTTTAAATGCCTGTACTGTTTTCAAATTTCCATAATATACTAATTCAGTTTCAACAGAATTTTTAGAAATCGCATATGGTTTCATCTCTTCCAGTTGTTAGCTTCTCAGGAAATTACTATTGAAATAAATTATCAAATACCAGCCAACACAATGCATATGAAAGGTGTTACCTCATTAAGTTTACAATTAAATAATATGGATATATTCAAGTAAGAAACAATTGAGAAGAGGTTCCTCTAATGTATTGCACATATTAAAATGATTATCAATTTTTGTGATTTAATGTATTTCAAACCTAGTTTCAAACTGAATTTAGATTTCAAAAAGTAATGGTTGTAGGAAATTACTTGAAAAATCATAAAACAACAAAACAAATTTCTTATTCAAAATCACAGCTGTACACCATTGATTGAATGCTTTTAGATTTAAACTTGATATTCACCTAATTGAGATGCAGTGGACACTGGTCGGACAAACAATAATGTTGTATCAGCATTTGGAGATGCCAGTGATCCTTCATCTTCTTCCTCCTCAGTGCCACCAACTTCCTCAATTTCTGCTTCCCCTTCAACTTCAGCTTCATCTTCAAGAGGATCTTCCTCAGCATATGCCATCAATTTGTTACCTGCAGAAGAATGAGTAATTATGTGATTTGTGTCTTTTCCTGTAACATATGCCAATGGTTCATGATATGTTCATTGGATTTACATAATCACAGGATTTTCAATGAAAAAAAAATAGTTAGGTCATACAAGCTTTCAGACTATATTAAATAAAAAAAGATGTCTTACCATTATCGAAGGTGAAGATCACTGCCGGTAATACAAGTAGGGCGAATAATAATAATTTCTTCATTTTGAAAATTTTTGATGATTTTTCAATTAATAAATGGATATTTCAATACTCCTAGTCCTAGAAAATAAACTTATACTAGCACTCTTCAATTCTCTTATGATGGCTGATGAGCCAACTCAAAATTAGTTCAAATTTCCTTGCCAACAACCTAAAAGAACCAACTTTCACAATAAATTCTCGTCTCGCAAACAATTTCTACGTGGAAGTTACGGTACACATGGCACCCCCCCTCTGTACAACAAAATGACGTAAAGTTAATAAGTACGTGACATCCACGATGTGTGACATCATGACATGAAGTTAACTGTCAGTTAGGTTTTGTCATTTGTGGTCCATTATTGTTTTGTGATATGTGGCAACAATGACGTTGACGACACGGTTGAGGTTTTACGAAAGGATCACGCCAGTTGTTGCCGCTGAAAGTGCTGATAATATGATGGCTGCTCATGTAGGATTTTTGAACTTCATAATTTAAAATGATTTCAACTTGTTATTTTCAGAGTCAAATGAGACTTGAATGAAAAATTGATTTCCCATTTCGTCAGATGTTAACGTCAATTCAAGTGAACCAAGAATATATAAATGTCTTCAACGAATATATAGTAAATGAAGTAAATATGCGATATAAAATACAGTGATGGTTACAATTTGCTCCAGATTATCTGAATAGTCAAGCAAAAAAAAATATCAAACACAATAATTTCTTAGCCTACTCTGCGATCACAAATACTCCAGCAAAATTGAAGAAAAGGGATGAGAAATTTTTTTCAAAAATTTTGATAATGGCAAAATCGATTCGGACTTGCCCCAAATACTCTCATATCAGTTTTCATAACCATAATTCATAATTAAGGGATGTATTTTGATCGAGAGTACAAAAATGTGAACTTCTTATTTTTGGAATGGTACGTATTAATTGCTGTTTTTAAAATGCATCCAAATAATGTATAGCTACACATATACCTAAAGATGACTTGGTCTCCTACCTATACTTCAATTATTCATCATCATTTTTCTTCAATGTTTAAATTTTTATTACTTTGAGAAAACTTATTAATAATCGATATAATAAGTATGTAATAAATTAATCTATAACTACTTAAATGTAATCATATCGCGCAGTCACTTGAACTTTGTAAACATGCACAGTGCCGGCATCGTCCAGCAATATTCTTTTAGCACCCACACAGCTATTACCTAGCACATGACCTATATAGCATCGAAGAACAAAAGTTGTGTAGGCGGTTTGCAACATATTTGCTAACGGTGTTATATCCTCGAACATTGTAAGATTATATTCGCATAGCACGATTCTGCATCCTTTGGAGTCTGTTTATTTCATTCTGATCGAGAAAAAAACAGAATATGGTAGAATAACCAATGAAATAACAATTTATTAAAAAATAACAATGATTTATTCAAAAAACTGATAAAATTTCACTTTTCTAGCATTTCTATCGGCAAACTCTTTTATTATTATTAAGTTATCAAAGTCGATGTTTTCAGTCTTTTCAATTTCGATTGACAAAGTTGTCAAAGTTTGATTAGATTCTTGTTCGGTAAAAAACAATTAATGGATGAATCGATGAATATATTATTATTCAACGATACTGAAGCTAAATTCGCAAACATATTAGTTACATATTGTTATCAAACTATTCCTGGTTTGGTTACATCTCGCTGACACACACTATATAATTTTTCAAATACGAGTAACTGATCTCATTCTGATAGATAGCGCCGCTGAAAAGACGATTGATTGAACAGGAGACCCCAGGGACCATCAACCAGTCACAACAACACATGATCAATATTAAAAGTCATCAGAAGTCAGTGGTGTACCTATATATTGTCACATCAAGTATACGGGGAAACTTTTTTTCATTTTGCTGCGGTGTCATCTCGCATGACATCGAAGTTTTACCGCAAAAACACATCGCTTTTTCATCATAAATAACATATCGCGATTACATTGCAAAAAATATATCGCTGTTATATCGTAGAGAGGACTCAATCGCACCGACGTCGCATGGATAAAACTTTGAGTGGGACAAAATAGCATCCTTCTGCGATATCTCTGTCACAGTTTAATGAACTGCGTGTCTCTCTGTGATGTAAGTTGTGTAAGTTTTATATTGTACAAAAAATACCTTCGAATAGGTAATAACCTACACAATCAACTGTTCAAATCTTCCATTAGCTGAAATTGATGTAGTATATCCCAGAGAATGTTGTGAAACATAACAACTTTTTCTCTAAAGGAGAAGGTATATAAAGCGGCGCCCATTTTTATTTGGCGCCCTGGGCGTTCGCCCTACCCTAACGCCGCTACTGCATGCAGATAAGAATGAATTATCTAATTTTCAATTCATGCATTCGATTTAGTAGGTATACCCATCAATTGTTGTTTCTTGATAGCAGGTGATGGAGAATCTGCTTTTGATAAGCATATTATAAAATCATGAACTCAGATTTACTTGTTCCTGGTACAGAATTATCAGAATTGTCATTCAGCAATGTAAGTAGGTATAGCATGACTTGTGAATAAATATTCTTCATTGAATGGAAAATACAATATAAATATTTACAAAATATGAATTATAAAATAGATATTTATGTAACTCTATGACGCGTTTCCTATAAATACGTACATTATTTTTTCTAATTTTGATGAAAAATTACGTGCTTGAAAAGATTACCATCAGTTCTATACATGATGAGTTCTCTACCGATTATTCACAAAATTTAGTATAGGCAAGTTGACATTGCCCGTCTATTTGAAAGATGCGTCAAACAATATACAGGGTGTCTGTAAAAGGTCTTTACAAAAACATAACACATATTCCTTAGACCAAAATAAGTCGATTTAAGTAAAATTACCTCAGTACAAAGTTGCATAGTTTGGGCTCCAGAGGGCCATGAAGTTACAATTTTCAAATCGTTTTTCCCATATAAATTTAAAACGGCATATGCGATTCTGCTGAAATTTGGTATATTGATAGAGTTTTATGTGGCAAAAAAATGGTATTAAATTTTTGTCCGATATTAATCCATAGGCGTCGAACTCGATTTTTTTTCAATAATTGCACCTTTAACAACTCCTTTATCTTCCATTCGACTTCGCGGTCACGTATATTACTAAACAATATAACCACTAAATTCGCAATTTTTTGAAATCAAGTCACAGAATTAGACTGACAGAAGTGACAACAGATATTTGATTACTTCAAAAGAATGATAAAGATGCCTACAACGCAGGTGTCCTTACTGTTAAAAACTTGAAATTTCACGTCGATAATTTTCAGATCTCAAAACAATGTAATATCTTCCCAATATTGATTCGTCCTTTCTTCTGTCACAGAAAAAGTGTATTATACACGGGAAAAATATTAGATTTTAGCTCACGGTTTTTTGTCTCACTCTTACGCGTCGGGAGACAACACAACCTGGAGCTAAAATCTACTACTTTTTTCCCTTGTATAATAAATAACTATCTATTATTTTTTTCAGTTTATTGATTGGTTTATCCATGTATCCGATATCAGAATCCACCTAAAAAACCAGCCAACTTACATTATTTCCCAGTTTGCTTACTTGGTAGGAACTCTTTTTACAATAACACATGGTGAGTTTTACATCGGCAATCTGATGGAATAGGTACCTATATAGGTACCGATTTTTAAAACGTCTGGACACAGAGTGAACAGGTGTTCCACCAACTATACAGGATGTTTCCGAAATTGGTGTGATGAATAAAATGGGGCGTTCTATGAGGCATATTAACACGATAGCTCACAAGAAAATATCGTTTTGAAAATGTTTCAAGAAATTTCCGCTTCCACCATAACTACATCGTTCAACTATTATTGAACGTCCGGCAACATTGCAAAAGCCATTGACACGTCCGGTGCTTGCATGCGATCTCTTCAAATGCAAAATGCTTGGGTTGGGTCTCATAAGATATTGGTCGTATAGATTTGAGAAAAAGAAATCATGATAAAAGTCGCTAAGAGAAATTTCTGGAAATTATTTTCGAGTTTGTCAAACGTCCGCTAGAAGGCGCAACAACCAACACCAAGTAGAAAAATGGGATATTAATAGAATTTTGTCTAATGAAAGTATATCGATGATATCATTTTCATATTTACTGACCATTTCCCTACATTTTTTGTCCAAAACGTTTTGTTCTATCTATCAAAATAAAGCGGTGGGGGAAGTTCAATTGTTTTTCTAAACAAACCAGATTTCTGCCGTTTATTTCGACCGATTTTAGCAAACTTAGGCTCATACGAAAGAGCATAATTTGCCCTACAAAACGCTTATTTGGTTTTGAATTTTTGACTCTTGCTGCCGTCGCTAGATGGCGTAAACTGAAATGTTAGCAAATTTATGAGTTTTTTTTTTTTAGATAAAAACAAATGTAATGGTATATTAATTCGTATATGTTTCAAAAGAGGATAAATTTCTCTATAATTTAATGAAAATAATGTCTCATCTACTTTTTAAATATAGGTAATTCTATTACATTAAAAAATGGCACGCCACTGTTTTTTATCAAAATAACAATCAGATTTGTAATCTCTTATTAGTTGCTAACAAAAAGAACCTCTTTACTTTCTTTCGTAAGACAAACGTTTTTGGATTGAAAAAATAAAATAGGTTTACATACTGTTCACAAAATTATTATAGATATGGGCGCCCCATGTAAACCTATTTTATTTTTTCAATCCAAAATCGTTTGTCCAACGAAAAAACGTCGAGAGGTCTTTTTTGTTAGCAACTAATAAGAGATTACAAACCTGATTTTTATCTTGATAATAAACAGTGGTGTGCCAATTTTTAATGTAATAAAATTATATTTTGGTCAATATCAACAGTTCAAAAGAAGGTAGATTATAAATTATTTTCATTGAATCATAGATGAATTTGTCCTCTTTCGAAACATATAAAATCAATATACCATTACATTTGTTTTTTTTTCAAAAAAAAAAAAAGTAAAAAATTTGCTAACATTTCAGTTAACGCCATCTAGCGACGGCAGCAAGAGTTAAAAATTCAAAACCAAATGAGCGTTTTGTAGGGCAAATTATGCTCTTTCATATGAGCCTCAGTTTGGTAAAATCGGTCGAAACATACGGGAGAAATCTTGGTTTGTTTAGAAAAACAATTGAACTTCCCCCACCGCTTCATTTTGATAGATAGAACAAAACGTTTTAGACGAAAAATATAGAAAAATGGTCAGTAAATATGAAAATGTTATCATAGATATACTTTCATTGGACAAAATTCTATTAATATCCCATTTTTCTACTTGGTGTGGGTTGTTACGCCTTCTAGCGGACGTTTGACAAACTCGAAAATAATTTCCAGAAATTTTTCTTTGCGACTTTTATCATGATTTTATTTTTCTCAAATTTATATGACCAATATCTCATGAGATATGGCCGCTCGGGCTCGCTACCCTCAACTGATCACCCTGTATATACACTGTTGATGGCTTTGTTGTGCTGTATAGTTCCGAAAAATATGCCAATATAACACTGTCTCCGAAAAAGAACTGCGAGTCCTTTTATCTTCCATTTTCCATTCGACTTTGTGGTAAATCAAAATTAAATCGCAGAATTAGACTGACAGATATTTGATGACTTCAAAAAAATGATAAAGATATGCCTGCAACGCAGGTGTGATTCCTGTTAAAATCTTCAAATTTCACGTCGATAATGTTCTGATTTTAATATTATATACTATCTTCTCAATATTGATTGGTCCTTTTTCCTGTCTCAGAAGAAAATAGTGCACGGGAATCGTATTAGATTTTAGCTCAACACAACCTGTAGCTAAAATCTACTACTTCTTTCCTTGTATAATAAATAACTATCTTTCATTTCATTGATCGCCTCAATTTCGGAAACACCCTGTATGTTAGCATCTTCATAAGCAAGTCTCATGGAGAACAAGCTTTCTCAAACTGATTTTTTAATCATGCTTTCACATTTTTCATTTGTTGTAGCACTCTATCGAGGAGGTCGCCTACCATACTTATGGTTTTCTATTATGCTTCACGGTCTTATCGTAGAAAGTATTTCTTATGTCCACCCTGACGTGGACAATTTCTGGCATTCCCAAACACCTATTATGTTCTTAGGCCGAAGATTACCTCTACATATAATTTTTTTGTGTAAGTGTATACAGCATAAGAGATATAATTGAAGACCTCGGTGCAAGAACCGGGTAACTCCATTTTATGCCGAAATTGGGTTATTGTATTTTACATATAGAATTTTTTCTTGCGCATCTTCTGGTGCTAGAATCAAGCGAATCCAACAATTGCCTATTAAGTTAACACGGGAAAGGATTTACCTGATGAGCCATTGAGGTGCTAGAGTCGGGCAACTCCAGGATTTACCCGATTTTAGCACCGAAATGTAAGCCATGACGGTGCTAGAGTATTCCAGTTGGATAGTGCAGGGAATATTCAGGTATGAATATTTCAGGAATATTCCCATCTGAATATTCTGTTCCTGTATATCCATGGAATATTTCAATAATATTCCCATGTGTTTCAATGAAATTGTGAAGTATGGAAATTAACCAATCACTATTTTATAGATGTGAGTCATTGATTTTGAAATCTGTGGTAGAAGTCCATCGTATTTCAAAGTGAAGTGGTTATATTACCAGGGATCAAAAACACAAAGTCGTCTCACAATTTTGATAGGTAGTGATTAAAGTACTCAAAGATCATCGTACATGTTAAGTTAAGAGCCCATATGGAACTGGAAGTGTTTATGATCCGCTTCTGAACAACGCAATGGGGAAGACCACTGAGGGAAGAAATCCGTGCAAATCTCTTTCAATCGACGAATCATGATTTACATTTTATGTACAATCAATATTATGAGTTGAAGTTGAAGGGAAACGAATCTATATCGTTTTGAAATCAGCATATTTCATTCGATATTTCAAACAGCCAAATATGATGGTGGAGTCGTGACGTATTAGTCCCGAACTGTAGCTATCTCTCTGATACCTCGTCATTCTGCAGTGTTACAGTGTAATTGGTCAGTTCAAGGACAATAGGCGTGTTGGGACTAAGACGTCGCACCAGTCACACCAATGAATTGATGAAATTCCAAATGGCGCAGGAATTGTGTGTTTTGAAATGGACATATACTAATTTATTTTTTTCATCGTCTTAGCATGAATGAAAAAATTCAAAATCAATTCACTGGTAGTTTTTCAGTATAGAGTTCACGATAATGTCGTTTTAAAAAATCAGTGGTCTTCCCCATTCAATGAATTGTTATGTACAGTATTATTCAACTCGATTACTGGCCTAGTGGTTAAGGCGTTGATCTGAAAGTCCCGAGTTCGAGCCCATCTTGGGTCAGCTTTTTTTAATTATGAATATGTATCAAGGAATATCCCTAGAATATTATAGGTACATTCTGAATATATAGGGAATATCCCTTGTGTAATATTCCGGGAATATATAAAATTTTCCCCACCAGCACATTCAGGGAATATTCCATAGATGACATGTATATCCCTGGCATGTTCATGAATATCGCAATATCCAAAAAGAATATTCTATGAATATTCATTGAATATCTGGTGCTGTCTGGGTCAAGTAATATATTCTGAATGCCCATGAAAAATACTTCATTTTTGCCCATTTCTGTAAGATTAACATTAAGATCATCTTCAGGAAGGAATGATTTTGAATACAGGGCCATGATCAAGTATTTATATGGTAATGATTTGATATTTTACAGATCCATGTTTTCTTTATCAAAGTTCCATCGGAGTGGCAAAAATGCGATTGCCGAAATGGTCTGAACCCTTTGCAGTTGGTTTACTAGTAGTTTTGATAGATATTCCGTACGACATTGTTTCCGTGAGATTCTTGCACTGGACTTGGCATGACACGGACCCGAATATTTTCGATCGACATTACTGGGTTCCCTGGAATTCCTACTATTTCCATGCCACTTTTGCTGCCAGTTTTACCTTTTGGTTTCATTTCTTCAAAGATAAGCTATGCACGAGCGATGGAAAATGGATAGCAGATAAGAGGTACCTATTAATCACCTGGTATAATTATGCAGATGGCTTACCCAGAAGTCCTGAATAAAATCATTTTTGTAGTAGGAGAGCCGCCTGCAAATTTCGACCGTCATCTGATGGCTCTGCAACGAAATAGCGCGTAACAAAACAGCGCGTGACAAAACAGCGCGAACAAAACAGCGCGTTACAAAACAGCGCTGTAACAAAACAGCGCGTGACAAAACAGCGCGAACAAAACAGCGCGTTACAAAACAGCGCTGTAACAAAACAGCGCGTGACAAAACAGCGCGAACAAAACAGCGCGTTACAAAACAGCGCTGTAACAAAACAGCGCGTAACAAAATAGCGCTGTAACTAAACAGCGCTGTAACTAAACAGCGCTGTAACTAAACAGCGCTGTAACAATATAGCGCGTTCTGAAGTAGCGGTCATTTCCGTTTGAACAAAGCTGTTCCAGTAATTTATTGCCTCATGCGTAATAAAAAAGAAGACAACTATAAGAGGATATTCTCCCGATTAGTTTATTTGGAGCCGCTTTTGAGCCCTTCTTCTGTATTATCAGATTTTGAATTAGCATCAATGAATGCAGTAAAAAGTACATTTCCGAACGCTGAAATTGTTGGTTGTTTGTTTCATCTTTCCCAAAATTTGTAGAGCGCTATTTTGTTACAGCGCTGTTTTGTTACAGCGCTATTTTGTTACGCGCTGTTTTGTTACAGCGCTGTTTTGTAACGCGCTGTTTTGTTACGCGCTGTTTTGTTACAGCGCTGTTTTGTAACGCGCTGTTTTGTTCGCGCTGTTTTGTCACGCGCTGTTTTGTCACGCGCTGTTTTATTGTTACGCGCTATTTCGTTGCAGAGCCTCATCTGATAACGATATAAACTACGCAACACTAATTTCGTCCCACCCCAAAATTTTGCCTCTGTTAAAATATGAACCTTTGCTGTCGAAGTCGAAAAAAAAGTTTTTGGTCATTTGAAAATTCCGAAATTTTTCACAGTTTCAGGCAACACCCTGTAGCGATTTTATATAAAGAACCTCATGTTTCAAAGAAGTACGAGATTATAGCCGAAGCTCGCACTACAAAGGTATTCTAAATCCACATGTTGAGTTTTACACTGGTCCATCGGATATTATCTTTAGACGAAGCGGCCACTAAGTTTTAGCTCAGTTTGTATATTCGCAAAGGGCACATTATCTCATTTCATTTGCTTTTTGTTTCAACTCGTTATCACATGACGGAAGTATGTCCGGGATTATGAAATGAATCGCTGTGCCGTGTACCATGCAATTGGTATCGGATGGCATAATTTTTATCTCGTTATCAAATCGCGAAATTGAGTGCAAATTACCGCACAGGAAAGTGCCGTTTTCAATCATTTTGATGACGGTCGAAATTTGCAGCCGGCTGTTGAACTATTATACCTACTAATATCTTTCAACCTAGACGCGAAGACTATAAATTCATTTAGAAATCGTCGAAAAACTCTCAACCCTCCTGTATGATCTATGCTCTCAACTTTCATAGCATCACCACAATAAATGCTCGGTGATATAAATCACTGAAAACTATCAAGAAATGGCCCATAGTAAATTAAAAATGATATAATGTTTTTCATAATAATTATAATTAGTTTTTCTACTCACATAACTAAAATGGCATTTAGCGTATGGTTATGTACCACGCTAATCACGCTATATGATCGATTAATCACGGATTGACGATCTGTGATTTATTCAAAATATTAAACACGTTACCATGGCAACACGATTTCTTAAATACATCACCATGGCAACACAGTTCATTTAACACAGCTTCAGTAATTTGAGACATGTCTGGCCTGACAATTGTAGGAAATGTCAACTGTCATTTTCGAATTTTGTATTAGAATTATTCGAACAATTTTCGTTTGTATCAGAATTCTTCAATGAAAATGTATGCGAGATGTAGACGAAAGTGATATGGAAGAGAATGTTTTGGTAATTGCATATCTCCAAGGAGTGTAAAAATGAAGCATCCATCTTTGAGAACAATTTATTTATTCGGCGCTAAGCATGACAATAAACGTGAAACGAAGGTTAGTAAGCAATGGACTGACTGGACACATCTACAACCAATATCACTTATACGTGTCTCGCTGGTTGCATGCAGTGGCATGTATTATGTCCTCAATTCCCATTCCTTTCGAATTATTTTGTCGGTCAGCAGGAATAGCAGGTTTGTTAATTAATGTAATTTTCGGAGTTCGTAGAAAAAGCATAGTATGTAACGGGTTTATAAACTCTTCTCGACACTCGTTTTTCAAACACTCGCTCCACTCTGCTCCGCTCGTGCTTAAAATACTCGTTACTAACTTTAGTAAAAAGACGTTTATAACACTAGTTACATAATATACTATTAAAAATGTTTGACTTGACCTCCATTTTTGCATTTTTGCAGACACCCTGTATAACAAAAAACTCATATTTCAGGAAGTCAAGAGAAGTTCTTTGTGCCATTTTAGCAGGACTGTTAGGCGCACCTGGAGGAATCCTGATGTTCATAGCAATATATCATCCTTTACATGACATCTACCAAATTCACAGTGAAGTGACATTTTTCACAATATTTGCAATATTCCTACTTATAATTTGGGTTGGTGATAGAAAACCAAAATCAGATAAAGTTACGAAAGAATTATCACATGAGACCCATTGGACCACATGGGTACTTCTTGCCCACTTAATTTTACATTTTTTCACCTTTCTTGGAATCACTATTTTCTTCAACCCGGAAAATGAAATATCAACGGGCATCAGAGAAAAGTTAGGACCCTGTGATGAATACACTTATGTACAGAGTGCATTAGGAATGGTGAGTATACTTTCTGTAAAACTTGAAAAAAATTGGGGGAAACTGATGTCAATAATCTTTTTTGGACATTGGTATTCCCAATTTGAAATATTACTGTCCGTAGAAATACAGTGTGTCCCACTTATCATGCTCACCATGGGTATCTTTTTAACAGTGAGAGATACGAGGTTGGTTAAATGACACCGAATGTGGAGTTTGTCAAGGCCAACTATAATGTGAAAACATATTTTGATAAAAACTATTCGTTTTTGTTTCATACGCAAAAAATAGATTTTGATCATTTCCATGTCTCCTCAGTAACTTCTTTATTTATGAGAATATTCAAATAGGAATTTCACATTTTCATGGCAGTTTTTCAAAGTGATTTCGAAGAAAATATGAAATTTCTACCAACTCTTCTAGAATTTGAGATATCAACACCAACTTTAGTTTTTCGAATGTAGGTCATAGCTCACTATGACTTAGTCACAAATAACTTTTTTTTCTCTTACAGATGATATGTTGCAGTAATAGTTTTGTGTTGATAACAACAGAGTTATCGTCATTTATACAAAAACAAAAAATTATTTGGAAGCCGCCATCTTGAATTTACAAATTTTAACAAAAAAATCATGATCTCCGACCTCAAAAGCCCCCACTTACCAATTTTGAATGGAATCGAACCAAATCTTGTCCGCCATCTTGGAGCAGACATTTTTTTTTAATTTCAACAAAAATTCCATAATGCAAAGTGAGATAACTGTTTTACTATTTGAGATAGATGAATAAAAATTTCAGAGATGATCTAGGATCATGAGCAGCACATATCCAAATTATTTCGCTTTATACAGGGTAACTCAGAAATGCGTGGCGTATTAAAGTTATACTTTTTCTTATGGGACACCCTGTATTTAATTGCCTTTTCGCATTCACCTTTGTGAGCTGATTTCATCAATGCATCACACTTGGGGTCTAGCGAGAATGATTACAGAGATATAGGGTGTTCAACATCGAGATTTTTCAACTTTAGGATTTTTTTGCGTCGAAACTATTCATTATTGGTCAAAACGGCTTTCATATCCCTATCCCAACTTTTGATTCACTATCTACTGATATTTAATTGGAACAAATACAAGAGTGATCAGAATGCTGAATCTTGAACCACCCTGTATTTGTTCCAATTAAATGTCAGTAGATAGTAAATCAAAAGTTGGGATAGGGATATGAAAGCCGTTTTGACCAATAATGAATAGTAGTTTTGACGCAAAAAAATCCCAAAGTTGAAAAATCTCGATTTTGAACACCCTATATCTCTGTAATCATTCTCGCTAGACCCCAAGTGTGATGCATTGATGAAATCAGCTCACAAAGGTGAATGCGAAAAGGCAATTAAATACAGGGTGTCCCATAAGAAAAAGTATAACTTTAATACGCCACGCATTTCTGAGTTACCCTGTATAAAGCGAAATAATTTGGATATGTGCTGCTCATGATCCTAGATCATCTCTGGAACTTTTGTCTATCTATCTCAAACTGTAAAGCCGTTATCTCACTTTGCCACACTAATGACTCACCCTGTACAATCAAATCGTAAATGTTCGTAAATCCGGTGACAATACATTATGGAATTTTTGATGAAATCCAAAAAAATGGCTGCTCCAAGATGGCGGACAAGATTTGGTCCGATTCCATTCAAAATTGGAAAGTGAGGGTTTTTGAGGTCGGAGATCATGATTTTTTTTGTTAAAATGTATAAATTCAAGATGGCGGCTTCCCAATAATTTTTTGTTTTTGTATAAATGAAGATAACTCCGTTGTTATCAACACAAAACTATTACTGCAACATATCATCGGTAAGAGAAAAAAAAAGTTATTTGTAACTAAGTCATAGTGAGCTATGACCTACATTTGAAAAACTAAAGTTGGTGCTGATATCTCAAATTCTAGAAGAGTTGGTAGAAATTTCATATTTTCTTCGAAATCACTTTGAAAAACTGCCATGAAAATGAGAAATTCCTATTTGAATATTTTCATAAATAAAGAAGTTATGGAGGAGACATGAAAATGATCAAAATCTGTTTTTGCATAAAAAACAAAAAGGAATAGATTTTATCAAAATATTTTTTCACATTATAGTTGGCCTTGACAAACTTCACATTTGGTGTCATTTGACTGACCACATATCTCTCACCGTTAAACAGATACTCATGGTGAGCATGGTAAGTAGGACACACTGTATAAAAATATCCATATCAGATAGTAGCATAAGTATGTACTTTTTACAACTAAAGATATGCAAATTACTATCAAGAGTACCCAAATTTCTCCCAAAATGAGGATATCTAGAAAATAGGAATAATGAGAAAAATATGGATGATTACCATGAATGAATCAAAACAGTATGTCAAAAAAAAACTAATCCTCTATTTGTTGCAGTTGCTAAGAAAAAGAAAATACTTGTGCCCTACAGATTATGATGAGCAGTATTTTGATTGGAGTTGCTTACCAGATAAGAAACACCCATCACTTGGATCCTTGTGGTATACCACCTGTGGTGTTCCATTCACAAATAGGCCAGAATACATCTTGATAATATCATTGATCTGTGGGCTTGCTGCTGTAATATTCTATAACTTACATTTTCAATCTGAGGGAGATTCAGTTTTCAACTACAAGTTTACAAAACATAATGTCACAGTATTGAGGAAGAAGAAAAAATGAATAAAGAATCTATTATGAAAAAGATTTGTATTCACTAATTTTAAAATACAAAATCAGACCAAATATGAACATAAAATTTTCTGATGGACCATAGATGTGGTTTTCTATTCATCATTAGGAATTACAATTAACTTAAGAGCCTATTTTACATAAAACTACTTTAACTTTAAATCGAAGTTTAATATTAAGACAGAGATTAACATTAAGTTTGTGTACATTTTTAAATTAGTTTAAACAAAATCCACCAGTTTGTTGTTGGTAAACTTCGATAGTGTCACCTTCTTCCATGTCTAAGGATGTTGGAGTGTCTGTGTCATTTATGGGGTTTCCATCAAATCTGAATCTAACTACTTGTGTGCTGATACCCTAAAATATATATTCACTATTAATTTCAAAATCCTAGTACTCTTAAATACTTGACTACTAAACTTTTTTTTTAAATTTTAATACAGTTAGATTTAATATTTTCTTCTATTACTTAGATAAACCTGCTGAAAGAGATCCAGGGGTAGATATACAGGGTGATTTAGGTTTTGAGGCACAAACTGTAATGGGTGATAGATCTCATCATTTCAATCGGATAAGTTCATATAAACATTAGTCCGATCTCGTCCACAAGCGGAGCTACAGGGGGTCAAAGTTCAATAATCTTGTCCTATTAATTGAAATCTCTTGCTTACTTCATGAGATTTCATTTTGAAACTTGGTGTGGTCAATACTTCCTAGAAGATCATCATCTCAAGCTATTTGAAGATTTCCAAAATCTACAGGGTGAAAGGTTTTCGTGGGTAGAGGCTTCTTTATCCCCCCAAACTTTTTCGTCGTATTGTTTGGATCGTTCAATTTAGAGGCTTTTTAGCTTCCTAATTCTTTTCGAGAAAACGAACCGTTTTTGAGATAAATGAGCATATATGTTCTAAAACATGTTGGTTTTGCCTATGTTTCGCTAAAATTTCATTCTTTGAGAAAATTCGTTGAGAATGCAATGAAATGTACTCACTCAAATCGCAATCACTAATCCAATCTGGAGCAGTTACGGGAATACGGAGGGTAGAAAGTCGAGTTTTTTTTTCACTTAAATGAAATTCAAGCGAAACATAGGCAAAATTAACATGTTTCAGACCTTATATGCTCAATCATCTCAAAAACAGTTTGTTTCTCGAAAAAAATTTAAGTGCAAAAAAGCCTCTGAATTGAACGATCCACACAATTTGATCACAAGAAGATGCCAGAGGCGTACTACGAAAAAGTTTGGGGGGGATAAAGAAGCCTCTACCCCCAAAACCGTATCACCCTGTAGATTTTAAAAATCTTAAAATGGCTTGAAATGATGATATTTCAAATGGTATGGACCACATCAAATTTTAAAATGATATATTGAAAAGTAAGTGAGATTTTTCAATTAATAGAAAAAAATAATTAAACTTTGACCCCCTGTAGCTCCGCTACTGAACGAGATCGAACTGATGTATATATGAACTTTTCTGATTGAAATGATGAGATTTGCCTCCCATTTCAGTTTGTGCTCTGAAACCTGAATCACCTTGTATATTGTCCTCATGCGATATTGTTCTTGCAAGGACCACAATATAAATTTTCTCCTGAAGTAACAAAATAGTCAATATAACTTCAATAACTTTCATAATGGCTATTCTACAAAATTAATTGAAGTGTCTCAAAAAAAGTTTTGAATACCATAACATTAATTTTCACTACTAGGTACTACCTGAGGTACTACCTCTAGAATTTGTCCAAAAAATGTACCAGAACATTAAGCAACATGTGATGCATTAATGCTGTAGCATTAGACTATTTTTTTTCAATTTCAACAGTTTTTTTTTGAGAAATTATTATAATTTATAATTTATAATAATAATACTAACATAGATAATACTATTGATAATGATAATAGTACACATCATGAATCATTTGTGAAATGCATTGGTCCCCAATTGGCTTGGATTAGCTGGTCTTGGGATCATATAATAAAGAAAACATGTGGTAACAATTCATAATCAATAATCGATGAGATATTAATTAGCATTTTGTAAAGATATATGTATATAGGTATATTAATTTAGCATTTTGGCCAAACACCATTTTCTGAGTGTGGTTTTATATGTACCCCAACTAACAATATTCTTTATAGTCTCAGGTACCTCATTGTAGGCTTTTATTGCTCTATCTATAGGATAGATAGAAAGCTAGATGATTCAAAATACCTACTCATGTTAAATGGAGCTAGAGGGTTTATGATTTGAATAATAACTATTCTGGATTAAAATAAAGGCAATCAAAACCTTATCTAAGGATTTTTCCTCAGGATCCATTAAGTAGACAGAAAGTTACAGCAAACTTCATATAAATAGGTATCTAGCCCATTTACATCCAAATTCATGTCAAGTATCAGAAATTGCTGTTAATAAAAAATTCAGGGGGCACCTAGCTACTTAGCATTATAATAAAAATATAGACTGGTGGACTCACTATGTACTTTGATATGAAAATACCAGAAACCACTTGTATTATAGGTTTGCTAGGTACTTATAAATATTTCAAAATGCTATGTGATGTTATGAAGATCTCAGTATCAATACAAACAAACTATGAAATGTATGGATAGTACTTTTATGTCTCTCAAGAAATGTCAATGCCTACAAGGTGTGTCATTGATCTATATTACAAGATCTAATCAAAGTCAGAGCAATTGAAAACAACATAAATACTCAACTATACAAAAACTGAAATAAATTAACAAACAATATGAGATTTTGGCTGATATATAAGCTGAATGTTCGAAACTATTCAAATTCAAACAAAATGTCTTCTTTGTAGTAGTATCAGGACATGAAAAGTCACCAAGTGAGACTATGTTTTCATTTTCTAAGGACCTGCATATAGAAACAATTCTGGTCAAGCACGACGAAGCACCTCAAACTCACAATTATGGAATATAATAGAAAATAATGCACTTACAGCACGCTCACAGTATGCAGTCATCAGCTTCCTGAGGGGAGTATGCCTTTTAATTTTGAATTGTACAACAGCATTATCTTGTCCGAGTACTTTGAGGTTGATATGTTCGGCTTCATTGGACTACAAGAAAAAAGCTTAGTAAGCTAAAGAACAAAAACCTTGAACGCTTTCATCATTATGGTTAGGTTTTGATGTCTCACCTTCTTTTCATCTCCCATTTTGCAATTTGATTAGTTTTCAAGAAAAATAGCACTTCACAACACTTAAATTTCTGATCGTGTTCCAGAAATGATAAAATAACGTCACAAAAACAAATACAGAAAGGTGAGTGCCGCTTGTAAATCGCAAATAATGGCCGGCTTCCTTCCTCTTTTCTCTGACGGTCGTGTCGAAAAAGCGGCAACGGCAAAAGGAAGTGAAGTAGGCATTGGCTGTTGCATTGACAGAAGGTACGCGCTAGTCAAATTCCAAGCTAGAAATGGAGGGTACTTCCGGTTCGGTAAGTAAACATTTTGGATTTGAAAAAAAAAACATAAATATCAATGGTTCCAAGAAATATTTATTTTTCTCAATAATATCATGCTTTCCTCATTGAGAATTTCATTATTTTAACTGATCAGTGATTCTTTTTATATGCGCTCTCTCTCTCAATGAATAGAAATAGAAAGAGGTAGAAATGTTAGAATTAGAATACTCCTTCTGATAGCGATTTCCATTGGTGAAACTGGTGCGTACTCAGTATAATATATATATTTCTCTCTTTGTTGCATGTCGAAAAGAAAGACAGATATATTCTGAGTGCACGAACACTCCATCTTCATGCGCATTGAAAATCGCTATATTTATATATCTATTACTTATATATGAAGTACAGCTGTCCTCAAAGCGGGACCAACTTCTGTCTCTATTTGTAACGAAATCGACCAATAGGCGTTGATGCCGACGTAGGGAAAAAATAATACGACAATATGGCTTACTACTACAAATTTTCCATCTTTCACTTTCATGGCGATGCGCCATATATAGAAATAGTAGATATATATAGCTATATTCACATGCGAAAATTCAATCTTCCCAAACTTTAGCAGCACAATATGTGTGGGAGAGGAATACCAGAAATCTCTTTTTTTTATAACAATCCCAATCCAATCCACATTTGTGTTTCTGATCCAACCAACGGATAAAATAGCTATTGATTTTAGGAACTAGGAACATACCTCTCTTTCCTACTTACATATTTACAATGAATCAAATATTCATTTTCAACAATAATATGATCAGATCTCTCATTGAGTAGAACTTCTCATGAATTCATATAATTATCTCTTTAAAACGAGTATAATTATATTTTTGTATCTGTAATAAGACAGTGCCCATTCAAAAGCTTTGGGTGCGTTTTTCATTCTAACATTTTGTCATGCGCATGAATCGAAGAAACCATCAAACTGTTGCAAAATTGCGGCGGAATGTTGATGGAAATCCATCAATCCGGTGTGATGAAATACGCACTTTCAAATAGCTTTGCGAGTATCCAGTGGTTTGGAGGTGACTGACATGACAATTGACACATTTAAAGTATGTTTATTAAAAATATTGAGGATTTTTGTTAATTTTGAGAGATTGAAGAGATTGATTGAGAGAGAAGATGTAGTAATAAGTGTTGATCAATGAAATCATATCAGCCTGTTCTGATTCCCAAGATAAATGACGGCTTACACACAGAAATCTGTTTTTCCTTCAATGTGTTGTATAATCCATTGTTCCATCGTTCCATGAATTTCATCCATTTCCATCTAAACAAGTGATGAAGTCACGACAAAAAAGCGTATCTATCAGTGCGCACTTACTTCGACGGAATGAAAAATTCGGTTTGTGTGGGTAAACTTCGAAGAAAAATGGCTCAGACGATTAATTTCTAATTCTCAATATATATTGTATTACTACTGAAACCAAAAAATAAACAGAAACAGCTGGCAAACTAACGCCTGATAATGATTGTGGATAAATGACTTTTTTGATGCATGCAACCACAGATCTGAAAGAACACAGCATTCTGTTTAGCAGCTGGCATGGCAGGCAGCTTCACGATCACAAATACTTGCGCGATCCACTCTAACTACCCCCCACTTCTGCTGTCATCTACTGATCTTATGTTGGTAGCACTGAAAATAATAAGAAATAATAAATAAATAAAGAAGAAGAGTGTTTTAACCTCTAACAATATTTTCATCCTTTTTGAAAAGAAGTTTTTTCATAAATTCTCAGTAATAAAACTGTTGGGATCAACGTGAACTTTCACCTCTTTATTCCCTGAAAATCGACAATAGGTATCCTTGAGGTTATCCTCCCCATCAGTGCACAAAATGATCATACCCGTTCGTTGTTTCACCTGTGGAAAAGTGATTGGAAACAAATGGGAGGCATATTTGGGGCTCTTGCAGGCTGAATACACCGAAGGAGATGCTCTGGATGCACTAGGCCTCAAAAGATATTGCTGTCGAAGAATGTTACTGGGACATGTAGACCTCATCGAAAAACTTCTCAACTATGCCCCATTGGAGAAGTAATATTGTAGAGAGAACTTAGGACTACCATGGTAAATTTGTACTAAGGATTTTTATTTGATAATTAGTATTATAATTGAGGAAATGCAAGTGAAATTGAATAATCATGTTCGGGTTTTCATTTTCAATTATTTTTTTTAATAAAGAACATTTGTTTAAAATGTGACTTCCTTGCTTGTCCCCAGTTATTTCCAACTTGAGAATTCTAGAATGATTTAATTGAAACAAAAATGAGGTGAGAAAATGAAAAATGATGATTTTTCTTGATAACCTAGCTAAGAGCTATTATTCTAACCATTTTCTTTCATACTTTGTTTGTTTCTCAAAGAAATATCACTACTGGAAACTATGAATGATGGTTTTCCAGCAACCAAAATTATGAATATGATTGCATGACCCATTTGGAACTGTGCAGGTTGTCTCATTCCTTCCTGATATGATTCATAACTGTCATGGGGTTTGCAACCAAAACTATTCAAGATTTCCACAAATCATTCATGGTATAATGCCTGAAGAAATCTTCAGTTTTTTTTTCAGCAAATTACTTGTCCACCTGCCTGTTTTTAGTTTCATACTCATTGTAGGTATTGAAGGAAGATAGTACTTTTGGCTGATAATGAGCTAACATGTCAAAACTAACCATGTTGACCCATTGAATGTCATGAGGATGACCTAGAGATTTATTCCTTCTTCACTTGTCCACAGCATCCACATGAACAAAAATATATTCCCAATCTATGGGCTAGTTGCTTGAAGCATTTGGGATTAAATATCTAATTCATGGCAACATATACCTTAAGCTGAGGAGTTAGGACAGTTAATTTTTCTATAAATTAACAGAGAGCTACCCTATGATTTTGCTGTCCACTGATTATCTATTCTATTTCAATCAACTTCTCCTTTAGCTTTGGCCTTTGGGATGTAAGTGAGGAATGAGGATCAAGGTGGATAGAATGAATATGGTGTAATGTGTAATCACAGACAGTGTTCTGTTTTTCTCAGAATGTTTGACCACAGATTCCACAATAATGACATATTAGTTCTCAGTTGTCCACAAGATGGCGACACTTTTAACAGATTTCTTTCATGACAGAAAACAGACCACTTGCATGAGGAATAATAATATCATAACTCATAACATTCATAACATAACCTCAAATCAAATAAGATTAAATTCAACTACCCTAATCACTAGATTCAGCAACAAAACCACTAAGGTGGCAACCCTGATGGTAAACAATTAAACAACCCTCCTATAGGTGGTCCAGATGCCACCTGCACTGGTTTCATCATTTTTTGGAATACACTGCATGTGTTTGATTAGTTTGAAAGCTATTGGTCTTGCATGTAAGATTGCTAAATCTTTAAGAACCATCTTTACTGAAATCAATAGTCCCAGATTAGATCAACTACTATTATATAATTCATCCATTATGTTCAGGAATGCATAACTAGATCAATCATAGTTTGCATAATCTAAAAATATAGTCAATATTGAAGGGGATTGGATATTTTGTTGAGAGAATGCAACAACATTTATGTAAAGGGTGACCCGAATTATCCGCGGTAAAAATTCGTTTTCATTACCCAAGATATCAGTACACTCGTCAAGACACCATGACAACCTCCATAAAATTTAAAAAAAGTTCATTTCTTTCAAACTATTTTCTCTTCTGAATTGCTTTTGCTTCCGCCTGGCAAATGCAAAATTCGCTTGTCAAACAAAGTGTCACTTTTGATCCTAATAAGAAAATCTACTATTATTTGTATTGAATAGGCTCCAAAACTACTGGACTGATTTGAAAAATTCTTCTACTATTGAAAGTCGACATTATCCCTGATGAACATAGGCTATTTTTTACTGCGAAAAAATGCATCATTCCTACAGGAAAACGGATAATAATAGGACAACGTGTAGTAAAAGCAGAATTATTCTTCCCTACTTATCTTTTTCACATAACTTTTCATATGGGTATTTCGAAGGTTTCCTGGATGATTTGAAATTACAATTGAACGCGGTAGGTGGCGCTGCTATCGGTAAGTCAACTACTAAACAGCTTGAATCAATTGGGTTGAAATTTTTAATATGTAAAACAACAAAACATAATACAAAAAATACTGAGTGAATGAAAATAGGTGTAAGTATATAATATTAGCTATAGGTGAGCTAAACAAATTTAAAAAAATAACAAAAAAATATGTACTGTAGATATGCACATAGCTCAGAAAGACCAGCAACAAATAATGCCTTATTTTTTTAATGGGTACACCAACCGTGCGGAGCCGGGCCGGACATCAGCTAGTGTCAAATAATTCTGGGTATTCAACTACTCTCTCATCTGATTGAAAATGAAAAACAGACCGAATTCTTCCATGGGAATCCATTTGTTGGGGAAATGATTCCTTGTTATTTATTGATTAGCTATTATTTTTCTAGAGATCTTTCCGTTTACTCTTTAAAAAAATTGTATATACATGTATGTGAAAAAAAAACAAGTTTATACAGTAAGTAAAATATTTTTTTAATTTGATTTGTTATAATAAAATGTAGATATAGTTTCTATGAGAAATATATATATAGCAGCCTATCAATAATTAATTTACACACAATCGATAATTTCGTAAATTATATGTATCACAAGTCACAACAAGCAGAAAGAAATTTATTCAGGGCGGTACGACCTGTTCCAACTTTTTTAAAAATTAATTCCACATCTTGAGGTGGTAAAAAAACGAAACATCTTGAGGTGGTAAAAAAACGAAAGCAATTTGGACAAGTTGAAAAATTATTAATAATTTTCGCCGTTAATAAATCATAATTTTCTCGAAATTCTAGTGATCTACCAACCTTGCGAATACTACTTGGACGTGAGTACAGGGTAGGCCAAATTCGGAACTTTTCCTGTGTAATGTCAAGCCGTGAAAGAGTTACATTTGCTTTTTTTCCTGTATAATGATCATGCCATCAGATTTTCTCGAGAAATAAAATAGATGCTAACATTCCGAAACATAAATATACGGTTTGGTCAAGATTTAACTAATATCTGACAAGGATTTAGCAAAGATACATTTTTTCCCTCTGAGGTAGTTCAAAAATGGAACGCGTTCTTCTATTGGAAAAGTTTGCTATTTTCAAAATAGATAATTATAATTATGATGATTGAGATCAGTGCCCGAGGATCAATTTTCATAACAATCATTATGCTTTGGAAATATTTTCATGAAAACTAAGAACTATTTGGCTAAAAAAATGAGTTCTAGACACTTTTTAAAAATGCACATTTTCCAAAATCATCTTGTAACTCTGAATTGACGGTAAATATCGATATGCGGTTTTCACCATTGAATTTGTTTTATCTACACTCACCGGCAAAAAAAACGGCCACCAAAAAAATTTGCCAAATTGATCGCCCTGTAACACTTCAAACCAAAACATTATGAAGCAAAGTTTAATCACTCATTTTTGCCACAGGGTGCTACGAAGTTAATTTTGAAATAGTAACTTTTGTATTTCGTTGTATGATGATCAAGCCATCAGCTTTCTTTAGGAGCTAAAAATCAAGTCAGGAATTAGAAACATCATACGAATTTACGATTCGGGCTATCAATTTGGCTGAAATTTTTGCTGACCGGTTTTTTTTGCCGGTCGAGCGGAGCACTTTCCAACTAAAAGTGTAAAAATTATTTGGCCCACCCTGTGCATCGTGGAATAATATCAACTGCCGTGAATTCAATTTTCAATACACAACCACCGGGGAAGACCACTGAGGGATGAAATCCGTCCAAACCTCCTTCAATCGATGAATTATGATTTACATTTAATTTTGAAAAAGATTTTATCAATACCAATTCTGTATTCCCCAATCATATAGTTGATGAAAAACATTCCTTTGATCCAAATTTGAACCTCAAATTCTCACATTTTTGTCAAAAAAGCAAAAAACTCAACCTACCAAAAGATTTTGAAATTCATAAGGCCTTGAAGCATCCTGAAATGACATGTATCAATGAACAAACCCATCACTTTGACTGTTTGAAGCTTTTCAACTCTCTTATATTTACCTAAACATAAAAATCTCTTCTTTCCACTGAATGAGACTGATTCAATACTAAAAGTATCAAGAACCATATGAGTTTGTTATTTCCCCCACCTCTGTTCCTATTTGATGTTCTATGTTTGGTTCTATATCACCCTTGTCACTTCATGTCAAAGTCATACCATTCATTTGATGTTTGACATCTCATTATTCTCTCTTTTCTTGTCTGTCATAAACCTTCAGTATGACAATGATGGGAGTAAGATATGGTGTAATTACTGATGCGCTTTTGTTTCAGAAATTTTACTCGACCTCTCGAGAACAGCGAGATTAATGGTTCCGTCGATCTTCTAATAGATGGCGACATTGCACAATTATGACATTGGTCAATTTTTTAAATGGCCGCATATTTTTCGAATTCAGAGTTGAATAATCCCACTGTTCCATATGTTCCGTGTACAGGGTGGGCAAAATTGGGCGTTTTCACCGTCTATCTCAATAACTAGAGGAGTTATCCAAAAACCTATATGCATGTTCCGGGTTCGATTTTGGAGAAACCTCGAATGGCACAATCAAAATTTCGATATCTTCATTCGTTTTAGAGATACAGGGGGAAATTGAAAATTTGCCGATTTCGATTTTATTTTCTGACTACTTTACGGTGAGAGGTATCAAAAAATTTCGAACGTATATTCATACAGTATGATGCGTGGAATCCATTGGCATCATCAGAAATTTTATACAGGGTGACGTTGAAAAGATACGGCAGCCAATTATGTTTTTTCTAATGGAACACCCCGTATATTTTGGCACAGTTGAATAGTTCCAGGCGTTCTCATTACAAATATATATATATAACCCTACCTTTTCCTTCCACAATTTCAGATATATTCGCAAAAATATATTCAGTGTGTCACATTTCTTATGGTTACACCCTCGTATCTTCTGTAAAAATAATTGAGGTAGGATTCAAATATTCGCACCTGTCAGAAAGATACAAATGATACACTCATGGAGTCATGGACCAAGTGGGATCATCTCCAATGATAACACTGCTCGCCAGCAGCTATGGAATCATCGATATTTCTGGGTAATGCTATCAACAGGCAGAATCGACGTTGAAAATGACACTCTGTATATATTCACCAAATGTGGAAAATGAATATCATAGGGAATGTGATTTTCAGATAAATGGATATTTGGTGAGAAATAAAATGGGAAATTATTCGATTTGATATCATTGTTATCAAGACATTTGAGATACAGAAATAAGACCAATAATTCACTCAATTAGGAAATCAGTAGGTTGCGTCGAAAAATATAGCCTCATAGAAGATGTCCAAATTCCAGATACAGAACAATTTTTTTTATGGATCACCCCGTATATTTTGGCAGAGCTGGAAAGTTCCCGTTTCAATTTCAAATATATATTTTATTTATTATCTCTTTGAACGCAAAAATATCAAGGCATACTAGAATAATGGGTAAAGTATCATATTCAGGCATTCTGCCACAAAATATTATGATTGTTAATGTTTCCATCAATTATTCTTACAGAAGATACGGGGGTGTAACCATAAGAAATGTGACACACTGAATATATTTTTGCGAATATATCTGAAATTGTGGAAGGAAAAGGTAGGGTTATATATATATTTGTAATGAAAACGCCTGGGACTATTCAACTGTGCCAAAATATACGGGGTGTTCCATTAGAAAAAACATAATTGGCTGCCGTATTTTCTCAACGTCACCCTGTATAAAATTTCTGATGATGCCAATGGATTCCACGCATCATACTGTATGAATATACGTTTGAAATTTTTTGATACCTCTCACCGTAAAGTAGTCAGAAAATAAAATCGAAATCGGCAAATTTTCAATTTCCCCCTGTATCTCTGAAACGAATGAAGATATCGAAATTTTGATTGTACCATTCGAGGTTTCTCCAAAATCGAACCCGGAACATGTATATCGGTTCTTCGATAACTCCTCTTGTTATTGAGATAGACGGTGAAAACGCCCAATTTTGCCCACCCTGTACCTAAAATGCCATTTGCCATTTTATTTCCACTCGTCATAGCAGCAATTGCAGCATTACCATCTAGCGAAAAAATGTAGAATCAACGTCTCGCTCGTTGTGATGTAGAGAAATCATAGTAGGCGGTCGAGTGATTTTTCTTAAGTTTGCAATACGTAAAAATGGTCGACTACGCACACCGTGTACTTATTTCCATCATTGGTATGATCAACAAGAAATATAAGTATAAGATGATCGATCAATTTTCTTCTGATTGATTCTTATTGGATATTGCACCATGAAGTTTTAAAAACCAGTCCCTTACATATAGGTGATCCGCAATAATTGCTGTCCTTTTTATTTTAATTTTTCAACCAAGTATTAATTTTTTTTTAAATCTTGTTGTAATATGTGAACACAATTTATTCCTCTAGAACAAGTGAGTCATTTTGAACTGTCGTTGTTGAAGTGTTTGCCTGACATTTCTCTTAATTTTTCTCTTACTTTAGTCCTCCTATATGTAACTAAAAGGTGATGAAACATGTCCCGTAATTTGATTACAATAAAGTATAGTTTTGGTGGAGTAGACTGTAAGAATTTCGCCCTGTCCTTTTGGATACTTTTTGGAGTGGTGCGTTAATTTTTTGGGGAAGTATATTTACTGGTAGTTTTTTGCTATAGAGCTCACGATGATGCCGTTTCAAAAAAATCAGTGGTCTTCCCCATTCGTCGGGAAACGCGAGCGAGCTGCAAGACCAACAGTAGGCGGACCACCCTACAAGGAGAAGAACTTGAGGAAGGCCGAAGGGGGCACCGGACTGGGCGCTGTGAGGCCCCCGGCCTCTTGCAGCCGGGCCCGAAACTCGGGGCTCTGGTCGGCGATGCACGGATGGCCGAGGGACCGCCAGAACAGGCAACGGCAGTATTTGCACAGCGACAACATTTCGGCGTACTGGCGCTCTTCGTTCACTCCGAACGACCTGGAAAACGATACTTTCATTATTATTCTTCTTCAGGGGCATCAGTTCAATGATTATTCCACTAATTGGTTAAGATAAACTCAGTTCCAAAAAAAGTGACGCACTTGATATTTGACCTATCTTTAAAAAAAAAACAAAAAATAGTAGACCGATTTTTTTTTTATTTGTTGGTAGGTATAATGCATTTGCCGTTAAAAAAAAATAAAGAGGTGAACATTTTTTCAAAGCCTCCTTGATGGTGGTGAAATAACTCGAACCATGTTTTATTCTTAATTTTTGACTCACCCTGTGTAATGGCATATAAAAGTGCTTACACCCTATACGGAAGAGGCTTATTTTGCGAGCATTTTGTTTCTTTATCCATTGATTTATCTCTGAAATTTTTCGAATTACAGCTTTTTTTGCTGAATCCTTGCAGATTACCTACTTTCTGAATTTATCGAGGAACAATTCTCTAATGAAATTGGGATGACTGCTTAATACCGTGTATTGCCTCCACTAGCAACTCTAAGAACTTCTAATCTACGAGGCATACTGGAAATTGCGTTGCTTATCGTTTCCATTGGTATACGATCCCATTCTTCCACTAATGCATCTGCCATTTCTGCGAGACTTTCCGGAGACCTCTTGCGAGAACGTACCCTTCTCCCTAATTCATCCCACAAATGTTCTATAGGATTCATATCGGGGCTTCTCGCAGGCCATTGTAATGTGGTAATACCAGTAGCTTCTAAGAAGTTTCGCACTATTGCTGCGGTGTGTGGTCGGGCATTATCCTGCATCAATATTAAATTATTGCCCACTAAGTCTGCATAAGGTAAGACATACTGTTCTAAAATGTCAATGTAAATTTGGGCATTTATCGACTGCCTCACCGGAAAAACATGAAGGGGTGTCTTTCCATTTATTGAAATCCCTCCCCACACCATAACGGACCCACCATTGAAACTTTCGCATGCTAGCTGTTATTAAATTTTGATTAAACGTTCACCAGTTCTTCTCCACACTCTTTTTCTTCCATCCAACATGTTAAGGCAAAACCTTGACTCATTCGTAAACAAGACATTCGACCATTCAGGAATATTCCACTGTCCATAATTTTCAACAAAATTTCAGCAGCACGATGTTCGGGCAATAATTTGGGACCTTTTGCAGGTCTCCTAGCTTTTAAATTATCTTCTTTCAGACGTCTACATACCGTCTGCTTACTTACTGCAACATCACGAATTTGGCGAAGATCTTGCTGACCATTATTTACCGCAGTATTTGATCGATTCCGTAAAATCCGCAATCTCAAGAAGCGATCATCTCTTGGAGAAGTATTTCGGGGGCGACCTGAACCGACCCTCCGAGCGGTGCTTCCTATTTGTTCGTACTTGCGGATTGCTCTACGAGCAGTTGCTTCATGAACTCCCACTGCACGAGCGGTGTAACGTTTACTACGCCCATCGTTTACTAACGCAACTAATCTTGCTACTTGTTCAGGATTTATTTGAGGCATTTTATGTAATTTTAGCCAATAAAACAAAACCCTTAATTAATGACACAACGACAAATGGTCAAATACGGAGGCATACAACAAATTAGTTGCTATGGCAACGGCATTTGTTTTTTAAAGACAATGTGATCCTACCAGAGTACAACCCAATCAATTTTGAGTACTCTGATCCTTCAATAAATTTAATTTGTGGGATAAGCGTAAGGTATCAGCAGGTATCAGTAATTCGGAAAATTTTAGAGATAAATCAATGAATAAAAAAACAAAATGCTCGCAAAAGAAGCCTCTTTCGTATAGGGTATAAGCACTTTGTATACCATCACTCAATTAACACACAGGGTACTCTCAAAATTGAGAATAAATCATGGTTCGAGTTATTCCACCACCATCAAGGAGGCTTTGAAAAAATGTTCACATTTTTTTTCAAAGACAAATGCATTACCTACCAACAAATAAAAAAAAAATAAAAATATGCCTATATACTATTTTTTGTTTTGTTTTTTTAAGAAAGGTCACTTTTTTTGGAACTGAGTGTATTCGTGTTGATGATCGAAAACATGTTTTCGTATTTCGGCTGTTTATTGGCTACTGGATACCTACATGACTGTGTTTTTGATTGTGTATTCAGCTTCCTCATTGGTAGTTTGATCAAATATAAATCAAAATGACTTATATATGCAACAGGCTGTCATGTACATGTATGTCATCATATTTTATATTCAGGGATAAATAGCACTCAACACTAAACATCAGACAAAACGGTGATAATAATAATAATAATAATGAAAACGATAAGAAGAGCAAGTGAAAAGTATTTCAAATAATGTCTGTAGGTTAACCGCGAGCATTTTAATTTGTACCTTAAAACCTGAATCACCATGTATATGAGAATATCTCAATGAGGTTGAAGATTATGTAGATTTCCACAAAGAATAAGAAAGCAATGGTATTATTTAAACCAGTGACTTACTTCTTCAGCGAGTGATAAACGTCCTTCCAGTCAATTTTCTCATTGTCCTTTGGTAACACTAGGTCTATTTGTTGTTGCGTGAAATGGAATTTGGTCAGTTCTCTCCACACCCGCTGTTCCCCAACGATGGAAGCCATTTGCTCGCATGTCTCGGCACTAGAATATAAAATGTCTTTTTTCTGTGACGGGAAAAAAGTTTGGCATTTCATCTCTGTTGGCAGGTTATAAAATGTCACTTTTCATAAATTACTTTTTTCCCGTGGGAAAAAAGTGAGTACTTTTTTCCCGGATATACAGGGTGAGTCAAGCTGAACGCATCGGGCTATAATGACCAAATGGTAACCTTTCTGAGAAATAATTTTATCCAGGCGCATGTATGTCGATCTGGACCACATTTTTAAAATGGTGTGATGAACATTTAGACTAGCGATGTCAGAGTGAAGACGTGTTTTAGTTGAGCTCCGTTTCAAAGTGAATTTTAGTGATTCGTAACAATCAAATTTTATTGATAGTTTATAGTTTGTTCGTTTTGCAAGTACCTCCAGCTCCCATCGTGAAGAATTGTGAAAAAACTATAGAACCAGTTTTTTCGATTTATTGTGCATTAACGTAGTTATCAGCAGAAAGTTTCGCCTACCTGTGTGCCTGTATTAAAGAACAAAATGACTAGAGGACGTCAACTGAGTCAAACAAACCATGATGAAGCAGCCGATTCCATAGATGCCATTGCAAATAAGGTCTGTGAAAAGTTTGCTAGTGTAATGGAGGCGAAAATTGATAAGAAACTGAATAGTCTTGAATGCAGCATCAACGAAAAATTCTCCGAACTTCAGTCAACCATGTCGAGTCTCAAAAAAACTGTTTCTTCAAACAGTCACACTATTGATAAGCTTGAGACTCAAACGGAAAGACAAATTCAATATAACCAACGTAGTAGTCTACGATTCTTAGGGTTGGAAGCTACAAATGGAACTGAGGATATAGTACGAACGGTACTTAATTTTTTACAACAGGATCTCAAAATAAAATGTGATCAGCGAGATTTGGATTCAGCTTATCGAGTTGGGCGTGCTATAAGGGTTCAATTCATATCCAATTTGATGTGCAATCAAGTATTCAATGCCCGCAAGTTGATGAGGAACTCCAAAGTTTCTATCTTCGAAGATTTGACTAAGAAAAATTATGATCTCCTGAAGAAAGCAAAAGAAATATATGGAATCAAAGGAGCGTGGTCACTAGGAGGCAAAGTTTTTATCCGATCCAAGGATGATAATACCAAAAAACTCGTTCTCTCTGAAAACGATCTATAAGTGAGCAGCCCGTTCAAATATCAACGCAGATGTTCTTTTTTTGTCTTTTTTTTATTTACCATTCCTATCTGATCCAACTTATCGTTATCGTAAATTATTTATGATTTTTTGCATGGTGTATTGGTGTTGAATTTCTTCAGACTTCCTAGATGTAGATAACTTTTTTTTTCTTTTTAAATCATTAATAATTATTTCTATGAATCACCATGACATGCAGGACCGTATTATGTTGATTTTGAAAATAAATGTAATTAATATTAGATTGATTATTGTACGTTTATTTTGTGTATATTTTTTATATATTTCAAACTTGGAGCTCATCTACACACAGCACATTTATTCAGCTACACGTAACTTTATCATACACCTATATATATATACATAATTTTTCCAATAATCTTTTGTAGATATAGCAGATAGAAGGGTTATCATGAAACTGAGAATTTACTATCAAAACTGTAGAGGCTTACGCACTAAAAGTAATACACTTTTCCAGAATACTTTAGCCGAAACATATGATGTAATAATATTAACCGAAACTTGGCTTGATGATAGAATATTCGATGCGGAAATTTTTGATGAAAGGTACTTAGTATTTAGGAAGGACAGGAATTTTGCGGAAACAGGTAAGAGCAAAGGTGGAGGTGTTTTAATTGCCATTTTACAAAAATACAACTGTTCTCTGATTGAGGTAGACACTTACTTGGAGGCCATATTCATTAAAGCTAATATTTTAGGAAACATTGTAATATTCAACGCAATATACATACCTCCGAGCTCTAACTCGCTTATATAATATATTGATTACTCAAACTTATTTGACAAACTTGACGTTTCTACGGAAACACATATTGTAGTATTGGGTGACTTCAATATTCCTAGTGTATGTGGAAAGGATTTTGAATTCACAACCAACAATCTAATTACTTCTGCGATCTCTCAAATTATGAACATTTTTTAGTTGAAATCCTTTAATGATTGTCAGAATGAAGACTTCAGAACTCTCGATTTGGCACTTTGTAACTCAACATTGGACGTGACTGAGGAATCCTCTCCACTGGTCCCTCTGGATAAAAAGCATCCTGCTCTAAATTGTGAATTAGAACTTGAAAAAAGTAAACAAAATTGTGGAAGAACAAACAAACTTCGAGACAGGTACAACTATAAACAAGCAAATTTTCCTTTGTTACATGAACTTTTGAGAGACACCGATTGGACCCTCTTAGGATATTTCGAGGACGTCAATGATCAGATTAGTTATTTTTATAGTGTCATTTATAGTATACTGGATATATGTGTTCCCAAATTTTCAATCAATAATGCTTACTGTAAGAAGTCTTATCCCCCATGGTTTGGTTCGGACATAAAAAAGAAACTCAAATTAAAAGAAAATTTCAGAAAGAAAAAACATCTCTCAAATTTTTATCTAGACAACTACAAAAGACTCCGCTCTGAAATTAAAAAAGATATAAAAAAAGCTCACAATGCATACATTATGAACATAGAAGCTAATGTACATAATAGCCCAAGCGTATTTTGGAACTTCGTGAAAAACTATAAACAAAAGCGACATCCTGAAATGAAATTTCGGATTGATGATGAGCTGACAAATGACCCCAGAGCGATTTCAAGCGAGTTCGCGAAATACTTTTCGTCAGTATTTGATGGTAATTCTGCAACGTATGAAATGATGGAAATAAAAAAACATGCAAATGCGCTTCCTATAGTAAATGCTGAGCACTTGATGTTCAAAAGAATTACTTATAATGATATGGTAAACGCGTTCAATGAGCTAAAATCAAAAAAATCATCTGGTCCTGATGACATACCATGCTATCTGATTAAATCTTTTGAAGAATATTTCATTTATCCTCTCATGATAATATTTCAAAAATCGCTAGATTGTGGTATTTTTCCTAATGACTTTAAAGCTACTAAAATAACACCTATCCATAAAAGTGGCCTAAAAAGTGAATTCTCAAATTACCGGCCAGTGGCCGTATTAAATTGTGTAGCCAAATTATTCGAATTCATTATTTTTGAAAAAATATACAATCATGTGAAGCATAATATTTCTGTTGTACAACATGGTTTCTGTAGGAAAAAAAGCATTGAAACAAATTTAGCAACCTTTGTTGACAAAATTGAAAATTCCCTAACTGCTCGTGACCAAGTTGATGTTGTATACACAGATTTTGCCAAAGCATTTGATCGAGTTAATCATGATATTTTACTATCTAGACTCTTATCTTTTGGTTTGAGTGAGCAGATGGTGCAATTACTGAAATCATATCTGAGTAATAGACTACAAAGTGTTAATTTTCTTGGTCATAACTCACCAACTTACCTGGCTAAATCTGGAGTACCTCAGGGTTCCAATCTTGGTCCCCTTCTCTTCTTATTATTTATCAATGACTTGCCTGATTGTGTATCTTCTGAGAGCTTGCTTTATGCGGATGATTTCAAAATGTTTCGTCCAATCAGAGACATTAATGATTACATTGTATTGCAAGATGATGTTGACAAAATTATGGAATGGTCTAATGTGAATAAATTATATTTCAATTTCGATAAATGTAAAATTATGACCTTTCATAGATCCAGAACCCCTAATTATTTGATGTATACTATGGACAATTCCATTGTTCAAAGATGTTCTTCTATGAGAGATTTAGGCGTTCACTTTACAGAAAATCTGAAATTCATAGAACACACCAATATTGTCAGTAAGGAAGCTTTGAGAATGTTCGGTTTTCTTAAACGTACAACTATAGCGAATTTAGAAATATCGATGCAATTAAAACGCTCTATTACTCTCTAGTTCGTAGTCGTCTCGAATTTGCATCCATCATTTGGGATTCAAATCACCAAGTCTCAGTTAAAACATTGGAATCAGTGCAAAACAAATTCTTGAAATTTCTGTACTACCGTAGTCATAAAAGAAACCCACCCTTAGAATCGTATCAACCTATTCGTGACGAATTCAAAATTTATCATTTAGAGCACAGAAGATATATCAATAGAATTGTATTTATTTATAAGTTATTGAATAGCTTAATTGATTGTGAGTACCTTTTATCTCGTGTTATGTTGTTAGTACCTATGAGTATACTTCGTCCCAGGCCTAATCTTTTTCATGTTCCCATAGCAAACCACTGCCTAATGGATAATATGCTCCAACTCTGTAATAAATACACTGGTAGGATGCCTTTAGGTTTTTTTGATATCAAACTAGCCAAGTTTCGGAAAGAATTATTAAATATCTTCAAGTCGGTTCCTTGAGTTAAATTTTTTTTTCCTCTTTTTTTGTAGCAATGACGTTTTTGTTTCATCCTAATAATCTTAGTTTTAGCTGAAGCTATTTCGAAATCATAATAGCCCTTCAGATCAGTGATGACTTTTATTCTTATTGGTAATTTAGATTTAAGTTTGAATAAGGAAACTTGTAATTAGGCATGAGCCTGTTAGTTTTCTATTAATAAATAAATAAATAAATAAATAAATGAATACAATGTGTCCCAAAAAAGGGTGGCATATCAAAGTTGTACTTTTTTGAATGGAACACTCTATATTTCATTGCATTTTTAGATTCTCCCTGAAAAGCTGATTCCATCAATGCATCACACTTGAGGTCTAGCGGGAATGGTTACAGAGATATAGGGTGTTAAAAATCGAGATTTTCCAATTATAGGATTTTTCTGTGTCGAAACTATTCATTATAGGCCAAAACGGCTCACATGTCCCTATCTCAACTTTTGATTTACTACCTACTGACATTCAATTGGAACAGATACAGGGTGATCAGAATTCTGAATCTTGAACCACCCTGTATTTGTTCCAATTAAATGTCAGTAGATAGGAAATCAGAAGTTAAAATTGGAACATGTAAGCCGTTTTGGCCTATAATGAATAGTTTCGACACAAAAAATTACTAAAATTGAAAAAACTCGATTTTGAACACCCTATATCTCTGTAACCATTCCCGCTAGACCCCAAGTGTGATGCATTGATGGAATCAGCTTTTCAGGGAGAATCTAAAAATGCAATGAAATATAGGGTGTTCCATTCAAAAAAGTACAACTTTGATATGCCACCCTTTTTTGGGACACATTGTATTCATCACACCATTTTAAAAATGTGGTCAAGATCGACATACATGCGCCTGGATAAAATTATTTCTCAGAAAGGTTACCATTTGGTCATTATAGCCCGATGCGTTCAGCTTGACTCACCCTGTATATCACATATATATACTCTGTTAATGGCTTTTGTTGTGCTATAGTTCCAAAAATGAGTCAATAATACCGTCTCCGAGAAATAACTGCGAGTCCTTTTATCTTCCATTCGACTTCGCGGATTCGTATATTACTAAACAACTACTGAATTCGTAATTTTTTAAAATCAAATCACAGAATTGAACTGACAGAAGTGACATCAGATATTTGATTACTTCAAAAGAATGATAAAGATGCCTATAAAACGCAGGTGTCCCTACTGTTAAAAAACTTGAAATTTCACGTCGATAATTTTCAGATTTCGAAATAATGTAATATCTTATCAATATTGATTCGTCCTTCCTTCTGTCACAGAAAAAAATAGTGTATTATACACGGGAAAAATATTAGATTTTAGCTCACGGTTTTTTGTCTCCCTCCGCTACGCGTCGGGAGACAACACAACCTGGAGCTAAAATCTACTACTTTTTTCCCTTGTATAATAAATAACTATTTTTCCATCTACAGTTTCATTTATTGGATATGGGAAAAACGTTTAATAATGATCCATTGAAATTCGACCTGGTCGTTAAATTTGGCTACAAAAAGAACGAATTTCAAAAAAGATTAGTTGGAAAAAATATGTTTCTATTCCAATTTTACACATGTGTCTTGGATCTGAACGTTCTGAAATTTCTTTCTCATTACTTATGTCCACCAAACCGCGCTACCAAAAACTGAGGCCAGGTTTGGTAAAACTGATAAATATACTTATTATTTTCGTCTCATGCCCTCTATCTTCTTCTCCGCCAATGTAAGAATTGGTCGTAAAGTTCCACATTGAGAACACATTGAGAATGAAAAAGGTAAGACTGCTCTTGAGGTTGTAATGTAACGCTTGTGACTTTGATATTGAATCTACGTCGATTAGATGTGTCAACGGCATTTATTTGCATTTATTTAAGGTTGTTATAATTCACTGATATCACACGATGGTTGGCTGGAATGTATAGAGGTATCCAAAAATTTCACAATACAATAAACATATTTAGATCGATCCAGATCCATGTACTGAAAATGGCATACACTCGTAATGTCGCCAATTTATATTATTGATATTGTTCATGGTTGTAAGAAAAATAGATGAAGTGATACTATATCGATGGTTTTGTAATGATATATCATATCAATACAATAAGGGTTATTGAAATAATTCAAATCCACTATTTGATTAGGAATTCAAATGTTACTTCACCTAGCAGTCAGATCTTGGTGGTCAGACAGTCTCAGAATTATCTCTCTAATGCATTCTTCGGGTAGCTGCAGAAGTTGCGGGTAACTTTCGGGATTCGGACCGCAAATCTGCATCTGGGCTGCCATGTTGAGTATTTGTTCGATTTGGGACGTGTGCTGGGTCCACAATAGCTGAGAACCTAGAGGACCTGACAAGAGATAAACCACATGTGAGTGAAATTCAATAATATAATATCATATAAACATTGATGAATTCTATTTATTCAAGTACGTCTGAGTAGATCAATATATTGCTGGGACTTCCCCTAACACTGAATATTATTTTATTCATCAGTAGATTTGGTATAGCTATATTTGTAAGTTGTAACATTTTGAAGCTCTGTTTTTGAGGTTATAGCATCCGGTAATTTTTCAATTAGAATTGACAACGCTGCATTGCGAGGTCCTACTCCAATGAACTGTATGTTGTATTGAGTTCATTGTTCTACTCTTGACAAACGATAAAGGCATTGATACGCTATTTGTTTCCATCACCATTTTCATAAATTGTATCGATATCAAATCTTAAAGAGAAAATCGAACAACGAATATGAATTATTCGATATTGAAAATGCTATTTCAATACTTGTGAATTCAAACGCTTCTGATCTGTGATGTCAGTGTCTCCTCGCAATTTGATTGGTTGAAGTTTGTGACGGCTGGGAAGCACGCAGCTGTTGCCAGGTCTCTATGGAATTCCTGAATTGATCTTTTGTTCAAGATGGTGAACAGAATGCCATGATTTGAAATCTCTATTTAGTAAGGGATTATAGTTGATTGATAAGGTACAGGGTGATCAGTTGAGAGTAGCGAGCGGCCATATCTCGTAAGATATTGGTCGTATGGATTTGAGAAAAAAAAATCATGATAAAAGTCGCCAAGAGAAATTGCTGGAAATTATTTTCGAGTTTGCCAACAAACGTCCGCTAGAGGTCGTAACAACCAACACCAAGTAGAAAAATGGGATTTTTATAGAATTTTGTTCAATGAAAGTAAATTGATGATATCATTTCCATATTAACTGACCATTACCTCACATTTTTTGTCTGACAACTGTTGTTCTATCTATCAAAATGAAGCGGTGGGGAAAGTTCAATTGTTTTTTTTAAACAAACCAAGATTTCTCCCGTTTATTTCGACCGATTTCAGCAAACTTAGGCTCATATGAAAGAGCATAATTTGCCCTACAAAACGCTCATTTGGTTTTGAATTTTTGACTTCTGCTGTCGCCGCTAGATGGCGTTAACTGAAATGTTAGCAAATTTTTTAGTTTATTTCAAAAAAACAAATGTAAAGGTATATCAATTTTCATATGCTCCAAAAGAGGATGAATTTCTCTATAATTTAATGAAAATAATTTATCATCTACCTTTTTTTGAACCGTTAATATTGACTAAAATATAACTTTATTACATTCAAAAATGGCACGCCACTGTTTTTTATAAAAAAAAATCAGTTTTGTAATCTCTTATTAGTTGCTAACAAAAAGAATCTATTGAATTTTTTTCGTAAGACAAACGGTTTTGGATTGAAAAAATTCAAACCCAGATGAGCGTTTTGTAGGGCAAATTATGCTCTTTTATATGAGCCCAAGTTTGCTGAAATCGGTCGAAATCAAGGGGAGAAATCTTGGTTTGTTTAAAAAAAACAATTGAACTTTCCCCACCGTTTCATTTTGATAGATAGAACAACAGTTGTCAGACAAAAAATGTGAGGTAATGGTCAGTTAATATGGAAATGATATCATCGATATACTTTCATTGAACAAAATTCTATAAAAATCCCATTTTTCTACTTGGTGTTGGTTGTTACGACCTCTAGCGGACGTTTGGCAAACTCGAAAATAATTTCCAGCAATTTCTCTTGGCGACTTTTATCATGATTTTTTTTTCTCAAATCTATATGACCAACATCTTATGAGATATGGCCGATCGCTACTCTTAACTGATCAATCACCCTGTACTGCTGATCACATTCACTCTGAACTCCGGAATATTCCATTAGTTTCAAGATTAGCATAGGACAAAACTTTGAAGATAAATTTGTTGTGAATAAATTGATTTGAAATTGACATAATTCCCGAGATATTGTATTAACATAATCATAGTTACGAAGATGTTATATAATTAATGCGTAAGAATGTTATGTAAATGAGCTATCACTATTATATGGAACATTGCTGTAATTTCAATGGAAATACGATTATGTATTTTTGTATTCACGTTTTACGGTACATTGACGACATATGTATGTAAATATAACGATTATGTTTACCGGGAATACAATTAGTTCATGACTCACCACCCCAACAAGCGGATCTCTCGGCTGCCCTCAACCCCTCTAGATTATTGAGTAAATGCCTCAGCCTCCTAGGATTGTGTTGACTGGCCGTCGCGTACCTAGCGACCTCTTCCAGCATGGCCAAGAGCACTCTTTGCGCGCAACCCGACAGCGCCGTCATCTGTTGGCCGATGAGGAGGTCGAGCAACGCGCAGATGTAGTTGAATCTGCGCACGTCGCGCACTGCGCTGCTGAAGTCCAGGCGCTTGACGGCTTCGTCGAATTCGTTGAAACCGGCGATCTGATGATCAAAAATTTCGTAAAATCCGTTAATTTCGTAAAATTCGTAAATTTCGTAAATCTTGTACCTACATTTCGTAAAATTTGTAAATTTCGTAATATTTGTAAATTCGTAGGATTCCTAAATTCCTGAAATTCGTAAATTTAGTGAAACTCGGAAAATTCGGGTTCGTAAAATTCGTGAAATTCGTAAAATTCGTAAATTTCGTAAAATTTGTAGAATTCGTAGGATTCCTATATACCTATAATTCGTGAATTTAGTTAAATTCTGAAAATTTGGTGAATTCGTAAATTTCGTAAAATTCGTAAAATTCGTAAAATTCGCAAAATTCGCAAAATTTGTAAAAATCGTAAGATACGTAAAATTTGTAAAATTCGTAGGATTCCTAAATTCCTGAAATTGGTGAATTTAGTAAAACTCGGAAAATTCGGAGAATTCGTAAAATTCGTGAATTTCGTAAAATTTGTAGAATTCGTAGGATTCCTATATATACCTATAATTCGTAAATCTAGTTAAATTCTGAAAATTTGGTGAATTCGTAAAATTCGTAAAATTTGTAGGACTCGTAAATTTCGTAAAATTTGTAAAATTCGCAAAATTCGCCAAATTTGTAAAAATCGTAAAATACGTAAAATTTTTAAAATTCGTAGGATTCCTAAATTCCTGAAATTCGTAAATTTAGTAAAACTCGGAAAATTCGGAGAATTCGTAAAATTCGTGAAATTCGTAAAATTCGTGAAATTCGTAAATTTCGTATTTGTAGAATTCGTAGGATTCCTATATACCAATAATTCGTAAATTTAGTTAAATTCTGAAAATTTGTTGAATTCGTAAAATTCGTAAAATTTGTAGGAGTCGTAAATTTCGTAAGATTCGTAAAATTCGCAAAATTCGCAAAATCTGTAAAATTCGAAAAATACGTAAAATTTGTAAAATTCGTAAAATTCGTAAAATTCGTGAAACTCGTGAAATTCGTATATCGCTACTTCGAATATTCATGATGAGTCAATTTTTTGTAGCAGGACTTTGACAACTGATAGAATGCATTTCTTCAAGATGAACATTCTATGTAAACATACAGGGTGTTTCCGAAATTGGCTCGATACATAAAATGGGGTGTACTATGAGACGTAATGATACGATAAATCACAATCGAATATCAGTTTTTTTTCTCCAGAATATCAACAACTCCTTCACATTATTATATTATAAATTATATACTGATCTAAATTTTCTGTAATTTGTATAAATTGATCTGAAAATATGAATCATAAGTAGAGAGCAAGTGAAAAGTATTATAAAATAATGTCTGTAGGTTTTTTCTCTCATACTCTCATAGCTTTATTAAATGGAATTAGCACAATGAAGTTGAAGATTATTATGATTCCAACTACTGGTTGAGTGGTGATAATGCTTTTTATCCGTTTTTTTCACAGAAAATATGTTGAGATGGGAGAAAAATAATGCATGGTGTTATATCTATTGACTTATATACTTCAAAGCAGAAAGGGAAGCAATAGGGAAAATTTATTGAAAATACCTCTGAAATTCAAAACCAATCAATCATTCAGTTACCATCTAATTTGTGACACACTGTATACATTTTTTGTTAAAATTTTTCATTCTTAGAAACAATGAAGCTATGAGCAATGAAAAGATATCTGATTCGATGGGAGTTGACTTACTTCTTTAGTACATTTAATTGTGATATGACAGTGAGGTTGAATGGCCATTTCAGCATCTTGTTCACAGCTATCTATTCTGGAATAGAAAATGAATACATTTCAATCACAATTTACCATACCTTATCGAAATATTATTCAGAATATCTATTTTGGCAACCATCTTTATTCACTATTCAATCTACTGAGGATGAAATTTTAGTTGCCAAAATATGTATTTAGGCATTCGTAATGGTATTGAAGGATATATTTTTGTAGTTTGCATTTCTTATGTACATAAATAATACTTCTAAATTTAACCTTGTTTTCGAACAGTTGGAATGTAAAGTTTCAAAAACAACTCTATAAAAAGAGACTTACATTTCAACAATAAAATCGTGAAGGACTTCATACTGATAAGAATGCAGCAGCTTCTCATCACACATGGACATTTAAACCGGATGTCTAAGATATATTTGTCAAAATCTAAATAGGCGGCGCCGATATATGAATTCTCCACCAAAGTTTGAGTAAGATTTAATAGTTGCAGCATCAATTCGTAATTTCAAATGAGTCAAATTCAATGTATTCGTCTCAGTATATCGTCCTCCGATATATGCTCCATAGAAACGTGTTTGATCAATAATGATGATATGATGGTTTCCAGCCAGTGACATCCTATCAATTTTCGCTTAATAAACATGTCAATAATTTTGATAACTCATCATGATGAAAATATTTACAACATCACAAAATCACAAGGAGCCTTCAAGAGCAAGGCTCCTCCATACAAATCCAAGTTCAGAGATCGATCCAACAGAACTCACAAGCATTTCAAGAGATGCGTGAAACAGCACGCTACCATGGGCCTTCCAGAAGAGGAACCCCCAGATCCTACAAATTATCTCAAAAAACATACAGGTAAATTTTGAAAATTGTAAATCCGAGCATAGAAAGCAGTAGAGTCACTGGATGGTATTAGTAAGATAAGAGTTCGGACACAGAAATAACAACTGTTAGTGTTTTTTAATGTTTGGATTTATTAAGTTACACACCTTGCATTGTGACAAGAGCACCATAGTCGTCCAACGCTTTTTCATTCAAGATTGTCTGAATTTCATGAACGTCAGAATTGAATTGAGAATTTTGAAGACAATAGATTTAATTTATTTAATTTTCCAAAGAAAATATCAACCATTCTCATATGGAAGGAATGTATGAATAAACGGCCTGGATGGAAAATTAATTTAAAGACGAGCAGAATTTGTGAGGTACATACATTGGAATTCACTTCTTATAACAGCAGATTAGAATGAAACTATATTTTAGGCCCATTTTTGAACAGAAGATTTTAAGATTCGTTAGAGAGAATCTGCTGTTCCATCCATTTACAAAACAGACTATTTAAACAAATCTATCATTATCATCACACGAAATGCAAAACAACATTTTCATGGAGAAAGAGGAATTGATTGCAAAACTACATGATGAAATTGAAAATTTGAGAACAAAACTGAGGAAATCAAGTAAATTGCAACGTGATATACACTGTGTCCAAGATAAGGATGTAGCTAAGTCCCCTCTATTCATAAGGACTCTTCATATTGCCAATAGAGAAGTGCTCACCGAATTTCAAATCGCTCTAGGTTTCGTTTCAACTGAGATAAAAAACAAAAACAAAAAATGTTTTGCGAACTTAAACACCCCCTCTATTGAAAACAAGTTTCTCCACGACAAAACAAAAGAATACGTATCTAATATTTTTATTTTTGCTATGGATTATTGTCAAAGTTAGACGAGTTAAACCTGAGACACCCTGTATGTTACTGCTTTGGCTGCATTCCTATCTGAACTACAGGGTGTCCGCTAAAAGGAGGTCAATGCATTAACCATATATTCCTTGAACAAAAACAATATGAGTTTCTAAATACCATTTTTCATTTTAGCCCTGCATATTCGATATACAGGGTGTCAAAGTTGGAAATTGAAAACTGTTTTTTTTTTAAATTACTCTCGTATTTATTAAGATATCAATCTTAAAATTGGTACATTACTACAGCACAAAGAGTTACATCGTGTGAGGAGAACAAGACAGAAAAAACACTGTCAAATATTCAAAATACAGGGGTCAAGTACACACTTATCCCCATATTTTTTTTGTACGTGCGCTAATGACTTCAAATCTATTTTTCTCCAAGTATTCGATCATTTCTGAGTACTTTTTGTTTCTTGTTGAATTTCGATAAAATTATTTGTTTTTAAGATAATTCGAAAAGTACTGGTTATTGTTTGATGCCTATGCGGCTCACGCTAATCTCATAATGTTCACATACTCCTATTTGTTTCGTCGAAATAGGAAGAGGGCATAACTTTTTACGTACGAAAAGGTTAATATGGAAATACCGGGTGCTCAGAGCGAATGTATTAAAATAATTTTTACAAAAAAGAAATTGATAGAAATTCAACACGTCTAAATAAATTGCTCGATATGACCTCCAATTTTTTGAGTACACATGCGAGCCCTTTTAATCAATGAAAATCGTAGCCTTGCTCAAGATTTCAACTTTGCAATATACAGGGTGATTCACATAAGAACCGACATAGAGCAGGGGCATGTAGGGGGTCCCAAAATATGGCAATTTAACGCAACTTACCTCTATCCGAAGTTGCTTCCCTAAGGAGTTATAGGCTTTGAAAGTGAAGTTATAAATTTTGAAAAAAATCAATATCTCCGTTATTCTTGAACTTAAATCAACCAAATTTGGTACACTTTTTGGATGTATTTAGAGCGTTACTTGACACAGCAGTAACTAGAGCTTAATTGAAATTTGTAAAGGGGGTAAACCGGGTGGCGCACCATTAATATTCAACAGACCCCCTTTACAAATTTCAATTAAGCTCTAGTTACTGCTGTGTCAAGTAACGCTCTAAATACATCCAAAAAGTGTACCAAATTTGGTTGCTTTAAGTTCAAGAATAACGGAGATATTGATTTTTTTCAAAATTTATAACTTCACTTTCAAAGCCTATAACTCCTTAGGGAAGCAACTTGGTATAGAGGTAAGTTGCGCTAAATTGCCATATTTTGGGACCCCCTACATGCCCCGCCTGCTCTATGTCGGATCTTATGTGAATCACCCTGTATGATAATTGCAGAAAAAATGTGTCCCCCGCCAAATTGAAATCGACCTGTCCGAGCGATTTTCAATTTTTTCAACGACATCGGAGATAAGAGGGGTGACAAGTTTTAGCTGGGACACACGTATACATTTTTGATAAACCTTCGGCAATAGATAATTTTGTTCGTCATCCGAATGATGATATTGTTCCAGGCATACCCTCGTACACCATTTGCAAACCACCTAAGGAAGCGAAACCCTGTGAACATTTGCCGCACAGAGATAAAGTGCCCACTGTGAGCGAACTCGCGAAAATCGACGACAAACCGAAACCCCAAAAAAATTTCGTCGTACAAAATATCAAAACGATGTCGAAAATGAAGGCCAAAGAACCAGAACCGAAAACAGTTGTGGATAAAAGTGGTACCAGCAAACCACTGAAGGCTGGTCAGTATTTCATTTTGGAAGTTGTCCTCTCCAATTTATTTATATCAATGAGTCAGAGAATCCACCACACACTGTTTACCACTAACCAAACCGATTTTTGACACGTTTCGCTAACTATGTTAGCATCTTCAGGAGAAGATTAAAACTGAATGTTTTCTCCTAGTGTCTACCCAGCGAGCACAAACATCCCTGGGATGTTTTGAAATTGTTGGCATGAAGATGTTATTTTGAGACGTAATATGCACTGACCAAAGAGGTCTTTGAAGGATATTGAAGTATTGTTTTTGTTCTTCTGTGGCATTTCTTTGTTTGCCTACTGAGAAGGTATCCCTAGGATGTTTTGGGATGTTTTAGAAATGTAGGCATGAGGATGTTTTTTTGAGGCGTAATATGCACTTCCCAAAGAGGTCTTAGAAGGATATTGAAAGTATTGTTTTTGTTCTTTTGTGCCCTTTCTTTGTTTGCCCCACCACAACGTCTCATGCTTACGTCACAATACGATGAATTCTGATTTGTTTTCGATTTTGTTCTTACGCTTACATCACGCTGCTAACGAACAGAAAGGAATTTGGTGAAGTTTATTGTGTTAGAAGACTTATTTAGTTTGTAATAATGACCATCAGATGCAAGATGTGTTGTTCGGTGCCTCAGTGTAATCAATATATAAAAGTACGAATTCATCAATACACAGCTTCTCCGCAGTTGCAAAATTATGCATTGTGGAGAACATTTCAAAAATTGGGAAACCTATTTCCAATTATATGTCTGTGTGTAGTAAGCACTACTCAGAAACCGATTAAGAAGGTAATTTATTCATATCAAGAAAATATTTTTATGTTCAATCTATTTTTAATGCATTTTTTCATTCAAGGGAAATGGAATCCTAATGCAAAAGTTCATTTTGATAAACGGCTTCAGAAAAGTACCCCGAAAATGTTTTTTTACAGCGATTTAATGTGCGCAAGACACGTTGAAATTGTTCTGTTGTGTCCATGAAAAGGCTTCAAAAAAAAACTACGGAGAAGTTAGTTTTGTGACATATCAAGGACATCTCGATAATTGCCGCCTGCGACGGACATTGGCTGTTCTATAATAGTTCTATTCATGTGTGAACAGAACATCGCAGTGGAGGTTCAATGTCTCGAAATCTCGTACTTTTAACATCTCTGAGATGTTTTTGTGCTCGCTGGGTACTTATATACTAGGTATATGTCCACCAAACCGTGAAAGACAATAACCGCAAAGTTAAGTTTACATGTTAACCTTGGTCTTATATCACTATACTATACAGAGGGATAAATGGGATAGGTCCATTATCCTTATTCATTACTCTATTATTATTCTTGAATATCTCTAAGCTTTCATATGCATAAAATTTCCTAACAGTATCAACTTGCTCAACTAATTTGAGGTTATTAATATGTATGCTATGATTGTAATTGACCATGTGTTCGACTACACACGATTTATCTAACCTACCATATTTCAAATGTGCTAAGTGTTCTTTGAGACAGACTGATAAACGCTTTCGAAACCTATGTCTTTGAAAACTTTATAAAGTCCTCTTGTGTACTTGGGATTGAACGGGATTGGGATTCTTCTCGAATTGTTTTATCCACTTCAAAAGTCGAAGAATTCCAAAGTTTTAACTTAAATTTATGTCTACGTATTAATTTATCTACTATTTTGATATCATAACCATTCATAAACAATACTCCTTTCATATGAAACTAGTCTATGCACTAGGAAATTGAAACTTGCCATTTTGTCTTGAAATACGTGATTGAAGTCATCAGTTATGTATCTAAGTGTGTTAGTTTCTGTTCTAAAAACATCAAATTCAAAAATGTTTTTGCCATTTTTGATCACAAGACCATCTAAGAATCGTAATTGACCGTCATTTTCGCATTCAAAAGTGAATTTGATGAAGGGGAAGCAATTATTCAATTCGCGAGATTCACGAAGTGGGCGACATCTAGGTTACAGAATACGAACTTCAAACTGGGGGAAAACAAACTGTTGTCTATGGATAAAGTGCATAGACTACATTGCATTCAGCTTGCTGTAGCTGTAGTCAAACTTGTCAATGACATACAGTGTTGGCACTGTTGGTAGTGATGATGGTTGAGTTGGTTAATTATCACATTTTATTACATTTTTATTAGTTCAGTGAGCAGTGAACGGGTGTAGAATTGGAGATAGTTCGAACACTTCAAACTAATTATGACGAGCAAATCAATTGACATATAAAAGCAGCTACAACATGTTTATAATACCCAGATTCTCCTGTTTTGCATGAACAAATACGAATCCATTGTTCTACAGGAGTTCCTGTGGACCCGAACTTCAATTTCACTTCATGTGGGGAAGATTTCATCGCCAAAGTTTGTAGACAAAAATTCAAAAATGTGCCTTCTGTTGAGGTCTTCTGCCTCACACAAAATTACATGATTAGCAAGGAGAACTGCTTCTCCTTCCACTACTGGTCGGCTTTTTCCATCTGAATAGAGCAAAATATCTGCCAAAAGAACATCTACAACAGGCTTTATTAGCGTTTTCGATCGAATATTGACAATTAATGTCAATCAATTCAATAACGTATCACTCTTATCAGTACATAGTACACAAGTAAATAGCACTAATGGGATTGAGTGAGGATTGAGTTTGTTTTCCCCCAGTTTTGACGTGGCTTTGACATGGAACGATGAAAACCGAGCGCCACCTGGTAACATTGATTCCCGCGAATTGTGAAAAAAAGTTAGCTATATCTGTGATTTTCGTATAAAAAATTGCAAAAATATCGTCATCTTATGTAATCCAAACCCTATACTACAAGTGAAATACTCGAATTTTTCTTTTGCATTCGTTTCAAACCGATTCATGAACAGTTCAGCCAAGAAAGGTGATAAACAATTACCCATGGCTGTACACTCGTCTTCAGTGAACATGTCGCGATTGGTCGGTATGAGCGCTCTTACTGTAGCGGTGATTAAGAGAGCTGACACCGTCCATGTGCGACATGTTCTCCGAAGACGACTGTACCTCCATGTTGCTCAAAGAATTCTTGTCTGTATTGAAAAATATTTTGGCTCATGCAGAGGTTTGTGAGATTGATCAATTCTTTGATATTATCCGGATCAAGAGGTTGTTATATTCGAGTAATTCCCTTAAATATTCTAAAGTTGTTGCTATGGGTACACTTGCAAAAAGTGATGAAACATCAAATGAATGAGTGAAATCAGAAAGTCAACTGATATTACAAGTTCTGTAGGTATGCCACAAGGCTCAATTTTGGGTCCTATATATATCTGAGAAATTTCTGTGTGCTTTTATGAAACGAAATTTTCGTTCCATAGGACTGGAACCGATTTATATTAAACTACCCAAATTCGGAAAAACGCCTAAGTATCTGGTGAGGTTCATAAAAATCAAAGAGAAGGAATACCAGATGAAGAAAGACGCGACTGGAGTTCAACAGCCATTATGCAGATATATTACCAGGGATGAGAGAGAACAACTTCTCAATGTTAGTATGATTGTATATGGATTTCATGATTGCAATATAATTGTTTCGAAAACATTTATTTTCATAGGGACTAAAGCAAAATTGGGAAGAGCTTCAGAAGCAGTACCAAGTTCTACCGATATTGACTGACACAATACCGAAGAAAATCAGGAAATCCAAGATGGAAGCTGACTTGAAACAGCTGGAAAAAGACATTGTGCTAGTCGAAAGGCATCCCTATATTTACGTTTACGATGATAATGAAGTCCAATAAGGTCTGAAAAAGAAATATGAATAAATTGAAAAAGTATTTATAGCATCATAATTTCTCCCCTATCCTGTTTTTTCACCTGAAAAATATTCAACAATCGATTTTAGAATTTTGTTGTAAAATGTTGTGATTTGTTCTTATTCTATATGCTGATGAAATTATACCTGAAATCTACAGTTAATCATCACCATCATGTGCACTGTGCAGTCAAACTTATTTTTGTGTTAGGGTCATTAGGGTTGTAAATTACATGAAAATAATTTCAATCAGTGGCAAGAAATAAAAAGAAGAAATGGCCGTCCAAAGATTGATTTTTGCTCGTATTATGGTTGACATTTTTGAAATAGGTAGCAGAATTATCACATCTGGATCTCGGAACGGATAATGTGCATCATCAAAATATGTTGTTCTCACTTTAAATAACCCTGTATACGTTTGAATAATACAGTGCTTTCGTAAAGTACTGAATAAATTCAATTATACACATTTATGAACATTCACGTTTTAGTTACGACGACCGCGACAATTTTTTCAAATGGAACACTCTATATATCATTTTAATTTTGGAATCTCCATGGGTAAAAATATATTATTACACTTGGGCTTTGAGACAGTGCGCATATTGAATTGAGTGCTCTCATCAATAATAAGTTTATAAATTCCCCTTTTTGACAAACTTTTCATTTCTGAGAAATCTCCTGAGATAGGTCGATTTTTATTTCAAATTTGTCACATTTGAAAGGAAAAATTGAATAATTGAGTAATGACGTCCACGACAATTTTTTCATATGGAACACCTATTTTCCATTTTTGGAATCTCCATGGAAAGCTGAATTCAAGAATATATCACACATTGGATTTGTATACAGTGCGTCCGATAAATTGAGTGCTCTCGTAGAGTAATAGATAAATTCGTTGAAAATTGAAGAAAACATTTTTGTAAAATACGCTCGAAGCCGTCGAATTTTATTTTCATTTGGGCATTCTTTTGAATACGATTTATATGTATATACAGAATGCTTCGTGTATGTATGAGGAACTAGAGGTCGTCGGTATTTTTTTAATGGCAAGCATTTTACGAGAGCACTCAATTTAACGGACGCACTGTATACAAACCCTAAGTGTAATATATTTTTGAATTCAGCTGCTTACCAGGGAGATTCCAAAAATTGAATAATGCAGGGTGTCTCAAAAATTGCTCCGTTTCCGAGATACAGGGTGGTGAATTGAAAAAATTAAAATCAACAAAGTACACTCTAAGAGAGTATTTTGAAAAATCAATTTTTGCACTGCTCATTCACTGACCAAATTACAACCACGAAGATAACAGCAAACATTTCTTTTTCAAAATACTTTAAATACTCTGGTGCGGCATCCATCGAACATTGCAAACCGACTAAACTACACTGAGAAAACAGTTATGGCCATTCTAAACCAAAAGAAGTGCATTGGTATGCGCCCTCTAATGGCCACAATGAAAAGGTGTCTATATTCATTTTTCGCATCCCAAAAGGCCCCCAGGCTACCAATTTTTAAGTGATATCAAAAATGTTCATATATTTTGAAAAATTCGATTTTTATTTTTTAACTCTACCACCCTGTATCTCGGAAATTGAGAGATCTCGGACTGAGATAAATTGATTCAAATCGGTCTATTTTGAACTCAGGAATATGTGCTGAGATTTTGCACATGGACATCCTGTATATAGGGTGTTTCATTTGAAGAAATAGTCGCCGACGTCAAAACTCAAACTTGGATCACCTTGTATATTTGATTTTTTCTGAAAATTGTGGCAAAAAGAAAATAAAAATCGACCTGTCTCAGGAAATTCCTTAAAAATATATACTTTGGCTAAAAATGAATGTATTCAATACCTACTTTACGGAAGCACTGTATAATATAGGAGTTTCGCTATTGCTGTAGCAAAATTCAAACGAAGATTGAGTAACGAGGTGAAAATCCTGCGGGACCAACAATGTTATAAACTTCAAAAATCAAATCTTGCAAACGAGAGCAGCGAGAACAAAGAAACGATTAGTGACACCATTGAAACGAATCGATCGGATTTAGCTTCAGCTGGTCGGAAATCAACTTTTACTCACGTTAATGATTTGCAGTTTTCGAGTACTTTCTTCTTCTCCCAACATCCCTTTCGTGTTTTCACCCATTCTTCGCCAGGAGACCTCCAATCTTTGGAGATGAACGGCATTGTTTTTGTTGCGAGATGCACTATCCGTGAACAGCTGATATAAATAAATACGCTATTAAAATACACACGACTTTCCTGCTGGCAGTTGCAGGCAATGGAGCGCAATCGCGGTAGACAGTGTTGCAGGATTTACCAGTTTGGTTTCTCGTTGCAGGAATTGGAGGGCTTATTGATGAATAAATTAAAAGTAAAAAAAAACTTTTTAATAAAAAGCTTTTATTTAAACGCTCTAAAAAGAAGAAAATAAAATTTTTCTTAATAATTTTAACTATCAACTTATAACCTCATTATATACAATTTATATGATCATAAAAGTTTGACGCGCGATTCAGTTGTGTGAATGAACTAGTACTTATTTAATTATGTAAAATCTGATGAGATAAAATTTTTAAAATTACAATTTAATTAAATATTGATCATCGCGACAACTATGATCATATAAATTGGGTATAATGAGGTTATAAGTTGATAGTTAAAATTATTAGTAACAATTTTATTTTCTTCTTTTTAGAGCGTTTAAATAAAAGTTTTTTAACAAAAATTTTTTTTCACTTTCAAATCATTTTTGAATTTTTAGTTATCACTAGCTTGATTTTTCGATTCACTCTCAACGAGCCTTGTCATTTGATACCCATATTGTAGAAGTATATTGAAAATGACCATTCCGCCATCTTGGATTTAGAATGACGTCACATCATTTTTTGAGTTACTCCCAACGAGCCTTTCCATTTGATACTCATATTGTAGAAGTGTATTGGAAATAGCTATTCCGCCATCTTGGATGTTCCGCCATATTGAATTTAGAATAACGTCACATTATTTTCCGAATTACTCTCAATGATCGAGCCTTTTCATTAATGATACCCATATTGTAGAAGTATATTGAAAATGACCATACCGCCATCTTGGATGGTCCGCCATATTCGATTTAAAATGACGTCACATCATTTTTCGAGTTACTCTCAACGAGGCTTTTTATTTGATACCCATATTGTAGAAGTATATCAAAAATAGCTACTCCGCCATCTTGGATAGTCTGCCATATTGGATTTAGAATAACGGGACACACCTTATCGTGCATTGTCATCCAAACTGAACGTGTTTACATAATTTCAGCTCAATGGAGATTTCCACTTCAAAATTGAGTTCATTCCATTCCACCCGAACATACATACATACATCCATACAAACATACAATGCAAGTTAAATAAAAGCTTTTAATAATTATTTAAAAAATGTTCCTATCAACATGTGTCCGATAATGATTCCTTAGCGGCCTTTGAAGGTATAGGTCCTAGAATGCAGTTTTCTTCAATTATCTTTCTTATCATTGATCTTAGAATCACCATATTTGGTACCTGATGACGGCGATTCAATACAAGAAATTGTTCTTCGTAGATATATAAACCAGCAACCCTGAGTATTTTGAGCTCTTCGAAAGTACTTCTACAAGATTGCGGCCATCCCAAACCAGCAATGATAAGAATGGCATATTTTTGAAGAATGCGATGAACACCCTGTCAGCAGATGATCCAGTAGCCCAGTTCAAAATTCCATATCTCAGATGACAGTTGATGGTTGCATAATATAGATTTATCAAGACCTCTTTTCCACAGTGGTTTGCCATAAACCTCAGCGCAAAACACTGATGTTTACGCAGTTTCTCACAAAGTGATTCAATGTGCGGTGTCCACGTTAGTTTGTAATCTTTTTGTAATCTAATGTGAGACCTAGCATTTTGCTAGTTCCACACACGATTCAACATGTAGTTCATTATTTTTAAAAATGTTGAGGGTTTCATCAGTAGCATTACTCAGGGTGAAATTCATCAGAGTTGTTTTCGTTACATTCAATTCCAACTGGTTTTTATTTGCCCTTGTAATTATTCTTTCGTATATACTATCTCTGTACTTTCTGCGAGGGCGAACGTATTTCGATCATTGATCAGAAAATTAAGTGTCATCCGCATATGCGTTTACCTGAACGGATGAGAGAGCTTGGAAGTAGTTGATTAAGTCATTAGCATATATATATTATAAAAAATAAAGGTCCGAGTATGGAGCCTTGTGGCACACCTTGTTCGATAGTTGCTACTTGGCTTTGAGTATTTTTGATAACTACTTTTTGGGGTTTGTCGTTCAAATAAGACTTCATCAACTCTAAGGCAATTCTTCTAATACCGTGGTACCCGGTATTATCTCAGTTTAGAGAAATAGTAGTCCATAAACTGTGGTATTATAAGATAAGTATATTCACGACTAATATATTATACTTGTGGTTTTTGAAGTATAATGCCATATATTAATCCCGCAGGGAATAAAGACTATTAATCCCTCGCCATTATTCCCTGCGGGATTAATATATGGCATTATACTTCAAAAACCACAAGTTTATATATTAGTCGCAAATAAAGTAGAGTATACTACTCGCAATAATGGCTATTATTCTCTCGGAATGTTACTCCCTCGCCGCTAACGCGGCTCGATTCGTAAAAAATCCTCGAGAATAATAGCTATCATTATTGACTCGTGGTATAATCTACTAATATTCAAACATGATCAAGCATTATCCACGGGTGTAAAAAAAATTGTTGGATTATTGAGGATATTTTGTTACTTTGACAACACCGATGTTATATATTATTATTGTTCCGCCTTCAGGTGCTTTGCTCATGCTTTCTTATTGTGATAGGTACAAAATTAGAAAGCGAATTATTTTTTTCATTTTTATTGTTTTAACCTTGCTTTATACATTGTGTTTCCTTATTACTATACTATAGACTCTATAGTATAGAGGTATAGGTGGGTAAAGTATGAAAAATTCAAATAATCTTCCATTTTTTATAAATAGTTATTTGTTTCACTACAGGCACTGTCAATCTTCACAATTTAACACAATGGTTCTTGATTCACGCCAATATCTTCTTCTTATGAGAAATTACAGTGTTTTAGGAAAGTATAATTTTTTAAATTTTTATCAACGATAATTCAGAACTTATAGAGCATCTTAGGGATGAACTCCAGAGGCTTATTCGCCTTCGCCCGGCCTTGTCAGAGACTCTTCAAGAGCTACGATTCGCCCTTCAAGGAGAATTTTAGACAATTCTTCAAGTCTACTTGAGAAATTTGATCAACTCTAGCCACTATACGGTTGAATGCTGTATAATTCAAACTCGAAGAGCACATATTCTCTTTATTGACTACATGTCTGCTTCTTGATCGTTTTTTGTAATTAAGTTTTATCCCAGTAAGTGCTGAATAAGGTATTAAAATAAAACACTGAGTAGGGATGAATGACCATATCATCCTAATCACTTTATTTTCGACGATAATATAACATACATTTCGATCAATTTATACACTTATATAGGTTTAGGTACCTACTTATATCTAAAACATTTTCAGCGCGTCAACGAATTTAAGATCTAAATCAAATAATCACAATAAGAGTAACAACATAATATCAATATAGTTTCTATCCGAGTAATAATAATCTATTCGATAAAAAAGTACAAAACTTAATAACAGAATGACATGTATATATACAATCATTTATTTGGTAAGTTGAAATAGCTCCGCAGATACTCGAGATACTCCTCCTCCTCCTTTTTTTCCCAATAGGGCAGTGAACTATTAGACAAGTGATTGAATTCAACAAGAATGTCAATAATCGAATAATCCAGGCTTTGAGAATGGTACGATGACTCAGACTTTGTCTATTAATAACTAAAGACTATGTCTATGACAAGTAATGAGTAGATAATGACTATGGATGGAACAATGAACTCTCTAATATAGAGTAAAAATACTTCATTCAATAGAACTGAGCAGGCTGGAGTATTCTTCTTCACTCAGTGCACCTTCTCCTCTGAAAGAAAAAATATCTTCGTTAAATATTTGGAGTTGGATTATTACGAATAAGATTGGATAATTGGCTATCCCTGTCTAGTAATATGACTAAAATCCATCTTATGCCATCTTATGCCAAACTGAAGCAAATACGAACGAACTAAACGATCTACAGAAAAAAAGACCATTGAATTCATAGCATAAGCAAGAATTAAAATTTGAATAACGTTATTGACAAATAATATTCTCAGATATATCATGAACATGCAAAAATGGATATAAACAGGGTGCGCCATAAGTCAAGAATTCAAAGAAGTGGGGTGGTATAGGCGGAAGGGGGGAGTAATTTACAATCAAACTAACGGTATATGTGGTTATCAAATTGTTGATAGTGAAAAATTTATTGAATTTTTCTGAAAAACACGACCCATTCGAAAAGAATTAGCAACAAATAGGCTGTTTTGAATTACCCCATATGTTATACCATTTGAGGGGTAGCTTTCAAATCTGCCGGCGGCATTCAAAAATCAATTTCATTCAATGACAAAACTCAAGGAAATCAACATTTTTCTCAGGTATTTGATATGAAGTTACACATGTCATAAAATTATTTCTGTGGAAAGGTGCATCCATGTGGATGAAATTTATAGAAAATAAAAATCACAAATGTGACATATTTTATCGTGGATTGGAAATGACCCCCCCCCCCCTATCACCCCACTTCCTTTGATCCATGACTGATGGGACACCCTGTATATAAATGAATACATTGAGAATTCGCATTCTCTATGTAATGAAAATATTAATTCTTTCTCGGTAAATCCGACAGAATACAACTACTTTCCTGTTTTATGCCACGACGAACTTTAAACTACATCTATGGAACACAAACGATGAATTTGAAAATGAAATCTTCTGAAGCTGAGAATTTGCATTTTACTTGATTTTTGGGATTTTCTCTCCTCGTTTCTATGAAATAAAAATATGCGTATTATTTCAATATATTTGTAGTGGGACAAATCATATGATTTGACCCAAAATGTTACACTTTAAAGTGTCAAAGTATAAGCAGCATAACTTCCAAAGATAATTATTTTGCATTTTCATGTTGAGAAACGGAAGCAGATTCGGTCCCAAAACGTCCAAAGATGAGTGAAAATTCCATATTTTTTCAATATACATCTATATTTCTTTCCTTCAAACTTTTTTTTAACAAATTGTCACTGACAAGCTACTGGATTTTTCTTTTAGGCTCCCTGATAAAAAAAATTTGTTGAACGCAGTGACATTTTGGGGCAGATCATCTGATTTGTCCCACTACGAATATATTGAAATAATACGCATATTTTTATTTTATAGGAACGAGGAGAAAAAATCCCAAAAAATCAAGTAAAATGAATGTACCACCACCTCGATTAACCTACAGACAAAATAATTCCTATACAGTCATCATCAGTGCATATACTCGTCAGGTTGACAAGAAAATCATTCACAAAAATATCTTTGTACGCAGTTAAGTAATATCAACATTATGGCTAATTACGCATAATGGAATGATATACAGATTACATTTTCTTGAACAGTCATTCACTAACTATTCTTTATTTTCCTGAAAAATCAAATTTACATGATTTGCTAGCGAATATGAAAGATAACGGAAAAAATCACCTACTGATACAATTTCGAATCGATTGACTTTTTCTCTGTGACGTACCGTTATCAAGTATCATTGACTCTGAAGTACCCACCCGTAATAACGATAATCCTCCGCCTCCCTCCTCCTCCTCCGCCTCCTCTGCACCAACACCTCCGTCGTCGCCTCCACACACAGCACCACCAGCCTCTCGTCGCACCCCCTCCTCGTCTGCCCCAACAACTGCCCCTCCAGCTCCCCCGCCAGCCCCACCCTGTCGCCCGCCCCCGAGTGCCACCCCTCGCAGGTGGCGGTGAGAGGGGCGCGCTCCCCCGTCGGCAGGGCGCCGTGCCAGACGGCGGGGGTGGGGAACGTCGCGACGTCCAGGAGGACGTGCTTGCCGTCGAAGGAGTAGATGGCGGGCGGGGGGTGGGGGAACGGGGCGCCGCTTCCCGAGAACATCTCCGACCTGGAAATATGTCGATGAATCGATAAATCGATAAATCAATGAATCAAAATATATCACTAAGAAACAATAACGATCAGCGGTTAAACAGAGTATAGAAAGGACCCCGCACTAAACTATAGGGAAAATGGCTCTCGATGAAAATCGCTGAATTTTTGGTATGTTGCAGACTTTGATATACTGAACAGATATTCCATATTGAACTATAACCTCAAAAAATAGACAGTTTTTCCGATATTGACCTCCAAATTAAATTTTTTCAAGAAAACACATCTCAAAAAATGGCTGAATTTCTGGTATGTTGTAGATAGGAATGAACTGATGGAAGAATTTAATTGAACTAACCTCAAAAAATTCACAGTTTTCTCGATATTGACCTCCAAAATTTAATTTCCCCATTGAAAAAAATCTCTGAAAATGGCTGAATTATTGGTATGTTGTAGATAGGAATGAACTGATGAAAAAATTGAGTTGACCTAACCTCAAAAAATTTACAGTTTTTTCGACATTGACCTACAAATCTGATTTTTTCGAAAAATAATCTATGAAAATGGCTGAATAAAGTAGGTATGTTGTAGATATGAATGAACTGATGAAAAAATCCTATTGACCTACACTCAAAAAACTTTTATAATCGATGGAATGATCAGAATAAAATAGATATATGGCATATAAATTCGACTAGTGTGTATACCTACAACTCCATTGACATCGGAAAGACTATAACCGAGACTATAATCATCTTTCAATATATATTTCATTACATCCTATCTTCGGCTTTCTTCAACTGTGGAGGTATCATATTAAAAAGATTTGTTATTAGAAGAATGCCAAACACTAATTCGAAAACAGCAACTTTTTCTATTGATTATTGTTCCATTCATCTCTTTTTCGATACATACATTTCGAGGTCAATATCGAGAAAACTGTCAATTTTTGAAGGTGAGGTCAATTGGATTTTTTCATCAGTTCATTCCAATCCACAACATATCAAAAACTCAACCATTTCCAGATACTTTTCTTCCTCGCAAAAATTACATTTGGAGGTCAACTTGCTCTACGAATACAGAAGCCGAATTGATCCACACGTGACCAACCACCAACCTTCCTCGTTTTTCAGCGATAAAATTTAAGACGTTCAAAACGTTTATGTTGGAAGCAAGACTGATGGATGCAGTGTGCGCAACTCTCGCAAGCCGCTCGTTTATTGTCTCAATCATGGAATACTCGTGATATACTATTTTTCCTGGAAATATTCGTCGATTGTCATACTCCAGCTTGCTGCTTCAATTTCGCTTATCACATTGTTCCAAAACTTCTCGCCTCGTCCACATATAGCTTTCTTGCCTGTTTTTAATTAACATTATATCTTCCTAACTCTGGGTAAATATTCTCGAGAGACAAAACAATAACTTTGTGGTATTTGCTGTGAACGATGATGTTACTGGGTCCTCATCTAAAATAAAAAATAACAGGCTGACTATTCTGTTATTCTGACTATCTTCAAATATCGATGTGATGTGCGATGTGCCTATACATTTCCTGTGAAAAAGTTGTTCAGTATTCTTCGCACCAGTTTTGATATATTTTCCAAAACTTTACGAACATGCCTACCTTATTGCATCAAGTCACAGCCTTTGCCTGTTAATCTCGTTATTCAAAATTAGCAAGTGGAATTCCAAGTCTCCTTTCCATGTAGGCATTCTCAAAAAATCCATGGTAAAGTGGGCTGTGCAGTTGTCAAGAATAAATACGAACCGAATTTCCATTTATGAAGGATTGATTTTTCAGTTTCACGCAGATCTACTTGTAGGTATACCGTAACGGAATTTCCTAACTTTTATTATTATGAATGATAATTTAAAAAGCGTCTCATCAATTATCTGAAAAAATATGGAATTTTAGCAGACAATCAATTTGGTTTCCAAGAAAAAAAGTCTACAGATGATGCAATTACTTTACTCACATCGAAAATCAGTGACTACATCGATAAAAAAAATCCTGCACTTTGTATATATATCGATCTCGCGAAAGCGTTCGATACGGTCAGCCACCCCCATCTCCTGAAAATGTTAGAAGCTATAGGTATTAGAGGCCTAGCACTTGACCTTATGAAAGACTACCTCACAGATAGAGTCCAACAAGTCAAAATAAATGACATAAAGAGTGATCCAAGATTAGTAGAATATGGAGTTCCCCAAGGAACAGTTCTTGGTCCAATTTTATTCAATCTGTACATAAACGATCTATTCAAAATACCTCTGAATGGGGAAGTTGTTAGTTTTGCCGACGATACTGCTATCCTCCTAAAGGACAACGATTGGAATTCTCTGAAAGCGAAAGCAGAAAGCGATTTGAGTGAAATTTTCAGTTGGTTTAGAGACCGCCTCTTGACAGTTAACTTCGATAAAACTCATTTTCTTCCATTCACATCCTATTCTAAAAACTTACCAAATTTCGATTTCCTAACAGTAAATATAAATGATCAAGAGATCCCTATATCACGTGTGGAAAACACTAAATACCTAGGTGTCTACATGGATAACAATTTGAAATGGGATATACATATAAATTACTTGATCAAAAAACTTCGCTCCATCCTATACCGTTTCAAATATCTCTCAAATATACTCACGTCGGACCATTTACGGGTGTTGTATTACGCACTGGTAGAAAGCCATTTGAATTATGCTATAATAGCATGGGGAGCCGCCGTTAGCAAACATCTAGCACACTTAGAAAAAATTCAAAAAAGGTTTTTGAAGATAATATTTCGGAAACCACTCAGATATCCCACAGACCAATTATACAAGGAAACACAGATTCTCGACATACGGCAATTATTTTTTCTCGTGACAGTAACCAGACAGCACAAATAAACTACTCAACACTAATTTCGTCGCACACCAAAATGTCGCCTCTGTTATAATGTGAATAACTTTTTTCAGTTTAGAACAATTTGAATTTGGTTCACACTGTTCGATAGCCCAGTCCTTCAGTTATAATCTCGTACTTCATTGAAACATAAGGGTATTCACATAAAATCTCTACATGGTGTTTTCCGACACTGTGCGAAATTTCGGAATATTCATAAGGCTCTCAGATGGTGAAAAAAATTGTTTTCTCAACTTCGACAACAGAGGCATGAAGATGATCTCATTACCTCGAGATATTTCGCGAATCAACTTCCTATCTCTCTTATTTACAGAGTGATCTCGAAAAATCAACTTTTTGGTTTTGCAGTCATAACTTATTTCCACGTCAACCGATTTTGGAAAACTAAGGCTCATTTTGAAGATAAAACTTCAGATGAAGAGATCTGAATATCAGAATTGACTGAAGATGGTTATCAAAGATCTAGAGTTTTCTTGAGAGTGACCCAAATCTGGAACGCCCTCCGAATCTCGGTTGGGAGGAGAATTAAATGAAAATCAACTTGTTCTCGGAAAAACAATTCATTCTGGATGCGTCCATATCTTCCTCGCTCTCAGTACTCAAGAATATGCGTAAGAAAACACAATTGAAACATGTTCTTGCAAAAACATCAGACCATTTCTCCTCTGTAATGCATGGCCCGTAACCAACGTTACAAGAATCACAGTAAGTGACTGACAAGTCAGATTAGACGTCGTTTTCGAATCATAAACAGATTTTGATAGTTTCGATGCCACATCTAACGCCCGACCAGTTGGAACTGATTCCACAAATGAGGGAACAAGGGTTATCTTCCCTCCAAATCTCCGACACGAATTGTTTGGTTATTACTGTCGATTCGTTCGGCGCAATATTGCGACTGAAAACTTTGCGTAATTGGTAAACTGTTTTTGTGAAACTTTCACCATTTTTGAAATGCGTTTTTACAATAAATAAACGTTGTTCGCTTGAATACTTTTCCATATTCTTAAATCGCATGTTATGTACGTGACAACTGTTACAAAAATCACTTTATTGAAAAAATCAAAATCCGTTGCTCTTGTTGGTACACCATTTATGATGAGCCTCAGCTGGTCGGGTTTGTCAGTCACTCATTGTGATTCTTGTAAAGTTGGTTACGGCGGGCCATGCATTACAGAGGAGAAATGATCTAATGTTTCTGCAAGAACATGTTTCAATTGTGTTTCCTCACGCAAAATTCTTGACTACTGAGAGCGAGGAGAATATGGACGCATCCAGAATGAATTGTTTTTCCGAGAACAAGTTGATTTTCAATCAATTCTCCTCCCAACCGAGATTCGGAGGGCGTTCCAGATTTGGGTCACTTTCAAGAAAACTCTAGATCTTTGATAGCCATCTTGAGTTGATTCTGATATTCAAATCTCTTCATCTGAACTGTTATCTTCAAAATGAGCCTAAGATTTCCAAAATTGGTTGACGTGGAAAAAAGTTATGGCTGCAAAACCAAAAAGTTGATTTTTTGAGATCACTCTGTCAGTAAGAGAGATAGGAAGTTGATTCGCGAAATACCTCGAAGTAATGAGATCATCTTCATGCCTCTGTTGTCGAAGTTGAGAAAAAAATTTTTTTCACCATTTGAGAGCGTTTTGAATATTCCGAAATTTCGCACAGTGTGGGAAAACACCATGTAGAGATTTTTTGTGAATACACTCATGTTTCAATGAAGTACGAGAATATAGCTGAAGGACTGGGCTATCGAACAGTGTGAACCAAATTCGAATTGTTCTAAACTGAAAAGAGTTATTCACATTATAACAGGGGCGACATTTTGGTGTGCGACGAAATTGGTGTTGAGTAGTTTATAAGAAAGATCTCATTCAAATCACTCATGAACATCATACTAGATATAGATTGCATTCTTCATATGTTCCAAAACCAGAAAAAAATATTCTTCAACGAAGCTATCTCTACTTAGGACCCAAATTATATAATAAAATTTCCCCTAGCATAAGGCAACTAAATTCCTTGAAAATGTTCAAAACTATAACAAAAAAGTGGCTACTCACTGTGCCTCGTTCGCTGATCAGTCAGTATATTGATATTAAAAACTGATATATATAAAAAAAAAAAAACTACTGTGTGTGTGTTGAGATATTATTGATATAGGATATATGTACTTTTTTTTATTTGTTATTGTTATTGAAACTTACCCCGAATATTATAAACAAAAACTTTTTCATTTCCAGCTATTTCAGATTTATATAAGATAATATGAGATTAAGATATTTCATCAATAGAAATAACTGGAAAATCCACATTCAAGGAACTCCTTTTGTGGTTCTTCTCATTTATTCCCTGTTTTATGAATATTCTGTATCTTCATTGTAATCATTCTCTTTTTTCTGGTGAATAAATATTATTATTATTATTATTATTATATAATTCTTTAAATTTCACTCTGATTCGCTGATTTTATCAAATTCAACGATTTAACATCTGTTAGTGTATTTCACACCGACTTTAGTCTCGGTGGAGATATCCAACACCGGTGTAATTACACCGTTGCAAAGGGACGACAAGGTGTAGTGGGAAAAGCAACGAAGGAAAGGAACGCTTCTTTGGAAAAAGTGTAGTTCAGTGTCACAATTTCATAGGAAAGGAACAGGCCTATATCAGAGCAGCAAGAAACAGATGACATCAGACACTCACCAGGAGCTGAAGATGACCTCGCCCTTGAGATTGGCCACCGGCAGCCGTCGGTCGGCCTGCCTGACGATCGAGCTGACGTCCTGCGTCCTCGACGACAGCAGCGCCCTGAAGGTGCCCTTGAGGCCGGCACGCCGCCCTTCGCGGTAGCAGGCGTAGTCGGCGCCACGTACGCCGTGCACTTGGCCCGTACGTGGCTCGTTCAGGGCGGCCAGGCGGATCTAACAATCATAAGAATAACATTTTCCAACAACCGACAAACATAGGTATGTTGCTAGGCAACATATTTAGTTCCTAGGAGCTGAAGTTGAACTTTAGTTCCTAGGAACTGAAGTTGAACTTTAGTTCCTAGGAGCTAAAGTTGAACTTTAGTTCCTAGGAGCTAAAGTTGAACTTTAGTTCCTAGGAGCTAAAGTTGAACTTCAGTTCCTAGGAGCTGGGAATTTATTCAATCAATAGAATTATATCGAAATTGTCGCTAAGTATAAATAAGTAACTAAATGATTTGAATCAACTTACATAAGAAGCATCTGATGTGGTCTTTGCAACGTGACTGATCAAATTGCTAGCTTCCAGAGGTGGTCTGAATAAGGGACGACTAGTTGTTGTAGGTGGTGCTGATGTGGAGACTGGCAGAAATGCACCTAACTGAAATTAAATATAGGTATAAAAACTATTTTTATGTGTCAATTTCAAGTGCAACATAACATTCAACATAGAATCTAGCGTGAAGTCAAGTTTGTTTTGGTTTCTGTTCCAATTATCATTGTGAGATTCGAAAACTTACTGCAATATATTGCCATCCATTATTGACTCTGACTAGAAGAGCTTCTTCCTCCACAATATATGCTATAGTTCCAACAGGACTGGCTGACGTAATTCTGGCAACGGCTTCTCTTTTGTGGACTATTATTGCTCCTGGGACGATATGGGTCGAAGCTTGGTCTGAATATGGCACGTTCGCTAAAGGCGGACTGGCTGTTGCCCTTCCTGTGGAAAATTAAATTAAAACAAATTATTACATGTTATCACGTAGTAAGCAACGCTAAAAGAGTGATGCTTTTATATTGAATCTTTTACTTCCGTTGGTACGGGCTATAAACTTTTTGTCTAAGGATTCAAACTATCACTTTATTCCCTATGAATAATGTACTATTACCTACCAGCACTTGAATCCTTCAGATCTTTTAAATCTCTTAGAGCTCGCAACTCTTCTAAACTGCTTCTAGTCCCTTCTGTGCAGCAGAAAATGAAAAATCAAAATGTTTGAAATAGCAATTCAATAATACCCTCGACAATACCACAGTTTCACTGCAGAATATTATAGGTTTTCATGAACAGCATCTATATATCTATATAATATAGTAGTTTAATCAAACACTCTGCGCAGGACAGGGTCGGCCTTATGCAGAATATATATATTTTGGTGCCCTAACTCAGCTCATTTTCATATACTTTGTGTGTCTATACATCTAAACATGCATATCACGTTCAAGGACTCAAGTATTATACCAACTGCTCTAGCATCCCTGTGTATTATCTATTTTACTGATTTTGATAAACTTTTTTTGGTTAGGTATGAATGCATAATGCATATTTAACCATTAGTGGGTGATTCCGTTGGTTGTTTTTTGAGAAAATATAATAGGTTGATTGTGCTTTTTTTTTAATCGAGAGGGGCGGATCGAACTGTAGGAATGTATACAAAATATGAAAATGATTCAAGGATTTGGAATTTAATTATTCAATTTCATTTGTTTTTGAATCACAAAGTGTTGAGATATGAAAAAATAGTAACGTTAAGGGTGGTTAATGTACAGACTGTCCAATTTTCGATGTCCGAACGAACGTTGGTTACTTTTTTGTGAAACTCACGATATCGCAAACAACATTTTGATAGCCCACTTCACATAGTCCAGTATCTCAGCTATCTTTCAGCTTATATAAAAAGTAAAAACTATCACTTTTTCAGTTTTTATACTGTGGTGTGATCAAATGTTTAAAATAAGCTTTGATTATTTAGATATCACTCAAACTTATGTTTTTTTCAAATGGAACACCCTGAATATTTTTTCATATTTGAAACAATGCTTTGCGCTTTCTAAAAATATATACCACTCAAACGATATTATGAGTATTAGCCTTGAATTTAGATCATTTACAATTTGTCAGTATATTCCTTATTGATCCTCCTTGCAAAGTTGTGGCAATATTTTTATTATTTTAATATCATGAATTCTCATATTTACCCTGTTGCTGACAGAGTGTTTCGTCAGACGATATTTTATATTTTACCAACATAAATTATTTACTAATATTCGGCACAATGTATTGTCTATAAAAGCTGTGGACCTTATTAGTAGGTGGCAATGTCACCTGACTAGCTGAGTTTACAAATTTTCCATACAATGGCGAATAATAATTCAAAACTACGAAATATTATGGTTGAAATATAAGTTATTGGTTTCTGAATTTTCAAATAGTTTTTATTGAGATGTTTATATAGGAATTATAAACATCTCAGTTTTTATATTGTGAACAGGTGAAAAGAATAATTATAAAACATAATGCACTCGCTTTTTGTTTCATAGCTACCTACTAATTAGGTCCATATCTTTTATAGTCGATAAATAGTGCTGAATATTGGTGAATAATGATTGTTGCTGAAATTCAAACTAGTGTGTAACGAAACACTCTGTCAGTAAGAGGGTCAATATGAAAATTCATGATATTAAAAATATTGCTACACACTTACGAGGCGAGGCTCAATGATGAAAAATGACCCACATTTTTTGTTTCAAGGTATATCTCATCATTTCTACTACCAGAATATAATTCTTCAAACACTTTCACATGAAGAATGTATGAATGCAATGAAGTACAGGGTATTCTATTTTAAATAACAAAGTTGCTGCTACTTTTCGAAAGAAGCGGCAACGCCGCAGTGCTAAAAATATTTTGGAACAATGTATTCCTCGAAAATGTAGTTGGCGTGTTTCAGCGTCGTTTCATAATCCGGTTCTGGCGTCTGTAAGTCGCCTCTGTTTCCTTTTCAATGGACCACTCTGTATGTAAACGCTTACCTGGCCGACTGTAGTGCACCGGCTCGCCGTAGGAGGGCGCGCCCGGCTCCCCCTTGGGCCCCGTGATGGACAGCCCCGGGGTACCAGGCGGGCCGGGCGGGCCGGGCAGCCCCTGCACCGGCACGTAGCGCACTGCGTCCTCGAGAGGGGGCGGGCCGGGCGGGCCAGGGTTGCCGTCTCTGCCGGGGCGGCCGTCTGCGCCGCGGTCGCCCTTCTCGCCCGCGTCTCCCTTCTCGCCTTTCGTCTACAGAAACATTCATTCATTTTTCTTCGTGTCTCATCCCTTTATCTTCATCTAATTTATTAAATCATATTCACATAATTGTATCGAAAATTTTGTTGATTACTTGTCAATACCATAAACCTAACCTAACCTGCTTGCTAATTATTATTATTATTATCAATATCATTATTCATTTTTATTTACAGATTGTCGTGATTTCATCTGCCCTAGTTATACGGGGTGTTAGTGGAGAAGTGTGACTAACTCCAGGGGGTGATGATTACTTGTGATATTATGGGAAATTAAGTTCATATAAACATGTTCTTGATACACAGGATGTTGAAATTGGATGTATTAATTGTTTTTATTCAAAACCACCCTGTATAAGCTTCCATGGTTCCAAAATTCAGTATGGTTGGAGACTGAGAAAGTCCCTAAACTTCAAAATGATTCTTGTTGAGGTTAATGAATAATCTCAATTAATGTTTCGTCTATGTATCGTATACTACGTGTTTATTGGAAAACAAACAAGAATTATTATGATGACTAGCAAGAATTGATTGAGTCTTTGTTGGATTACAACAATATGTTATATTGATTGCATTTTTTTAAATGATATTTACTTATCTACTCACAAGTGAATTTCTCACAATGGAGACGAGCAATTTTTTATTTTCTCTCCGGTTACAAAGATGACAACAACATTTTTACTAAGGAAAACTATCATAATTATACAGAGTGTCCCTGAAAGGTCTGTACAGAATCTTAGCACATAGTGGTGAGGTCAAAATAAGCCGATTTAAAACAACTTACCTCAGTCCGAAATTGCACCGTTTCTTTGAATCGGCTTATTTCGACCTCACGCCAACTATGTGCTAAGATTCTGTACATACCTTTCAGGGACACCCTGTATAAACCTACGAGTATACATCAGAAGCTATATTATAATACAATTTTTATGTCATATTCTAGAAACCTTCCTTCATTTTCTTGTTTGATTTATTTTCTCCAAACCATATACTCAGGAATGTATGTTTTCTATAGTATCAATAATAAGAATAATAATTACCCCTGTTATATCTCCTTTTTCTCCTTTTGCACCTGGAACTCCTGGTATTCCTGGTCGACCCTTGAAAGTAGAGAATAGGTAGAACATTCATGATAAAGATAAAATAATAAAAAAAACTGTATACCTTCAGATGTTTGACTTCACTAAATGAATAAGAAGAACGAAACTTAGATCTTCTTGTGAATTTCCCTTCAGTATTGAAAGTTCTCATGAGTTACTTTGCCCATATTAAATTTTCATTAGAAACGATGGATTTAGGAATTTTTATGAAACTATTTATATTGAAAGAGTACTGTAGGTTAATTGAGGTGGTATTCATTATTTCATATTTAGGGATTTTCTCTCATTCGATTTACTGAATATCAACAAATTGTAAATTCAAGAATACTAATTTTGCAAAAAGCAGAGTCAAGATTGTTTCAAGGAAATCTCAATAGTCGTACGTGGGTATCAGGATTATGTTCTTGTAACTTTCAACCTTGGATCAAAGGAATCCATGAAATATTCAGCTGGTTGATTTCAGGAAGGACTTATTCAGATACACATTTAAAATACTACCCAGAATTTCTATGATAACCCTATAAGCAAGTATATCTACTGAAAGAGAGAACAATAAACGATTTTGCCGCTATAAATAGTTCAGATTGGATCAATTTCGAGATCTGAATGATAAGAATTCATAGGTAATAACAACTCACCTTTCCATTCTTGTTCCAAAGATGCAATAAATAAAAAAATTAGAAAACAAAATGTTTAATGTCCTCAATGTTAGTCTTCTTCAATGTTCAATAAAATCTATAGTTTATTATGTATATTGAATTAAAATAAGGAGGAACACTCCCCTTGAAATTTGAGGCATAAAGCAACATCAAAATTAACTCACCATCCAACCAGGTAGACCAATCTCGCCCAAAGTACCTGGTGGTCCAGCTGGTCCAACCGGACCGGGTTTACCTCTTCTTCCTCTCTTACCCATCTCACCTTTCTCACCCTGTGAGTGTATAAAAATATCCACATTCCATAAATCATGAATTGGTACTGGTTTTATCTAGCAATGAATTATTTTCGTACATTATTTCACATCTTCAATAATTTCTCAAATGGGGAAAATATAAAGGAACCAATAATATTATCCAGAAGTTATAGTTTCTGATCAGGAATCTGTCTCTTTTGGTCTTTGGTTCCACTTAAAATGGCTCCAGTAAACACAGATTGATACCAGAGATATAAGAAGGCATCACATCCGGGACTCGACATGAAAGTCCTACTGAAATCACAATGACTGCTATTTCGGACCCTTTTGATCATATTATGATTCACATTATGATGCCAGTGCATATTAAGCAACTCCTCATTCAACATCAAAATTGATTGATTCCGTTTTATTACATGAATAGACAAGAATGCGAGGTTCCAGTGAGTCTCTTGGTTGTTAGGGAGCCTCATAAATTCACCTTTTTCACCTGATCTGGGGAAATTGACACCGCGAGGAGTCAGAAAACCAAGAACTACAAAAGAAGAAGAAGAAATTCACCTTTAATTTAAGTCTCAAATCCAATAAGATGTGACGAATATTGCGAATGTTTTGTAAAATGAAGAGTCTCCTGGCAATACCAATGATATGTTTTCTTGTAATTCGCATTGGCCGACACTCTCAACAATATCACGCCTTCTTCTGCTAAATCCATATCTGCCCATTTATGTAACATTGTGAAACTCCGCTCATTCATTATGAATGAGTGAAGTACTAATGTTTATATTTTCCTTCCTACAAGATAATTTAATCATTATAATATTGTTTCCCTTGTCTTGGTCATACCTACTTGCTACTGTTACTACTACTTCTTACTTTTGCTCTGTTTTTAAATATATTATTCGCTGAATTGTTAATTGTTGTCCAGTTATATATCAAGTAGGTCGTTCATCAAGGTTCGCCTTATCTAGTTTTGGATAGCTACGTTAGTACTCTGCTTTTAAGAACACAAACTATGTACAATGCACATCTTCAAATAGGTTGCTTATTTCTTACTTATAAAATACCGGACGTAAATTTTGAACTTATATAGGTATACAATTACAAGTATAGGAATTTGATATAACTGTGTAAACTCCTTGTTTATAAAACTGTGAGTTTTTAGAAAACAATAAATGGATTGATTGATTGATTGATTGCATTGTTACCTCGCGAGACATGAATGTGACATCCCAGGGATGTTTGCGTTTACTGGGGCAGTGATATAGCTTTCCATCCCTCGACAGTCAGTTTATGTGAGCAGCAACCCGGTTTCCCGTGAGAACTTGCTGACTACAACATCAGCAGAAATCCGATTTCAAGGAAAGAGCGAGATGCCTTGTAAACCGCAATTCAGAATAGACATGATCTTGCGTAGATAGTCTAGTAACTTTGTCGCCTGAACATAGGACGTTTTTAAAGCAGATCAAATTTGCTACAATATGATACAAAAACTGTCTCTGTAGACCCAATAGTTTTCGAGATTAAGCCTTTCAAAGTTTATAATTTTTTTCGAGCTCCGCAATTTTTTGCAATGTTTTAGGCGTCACTCGAATATACTCTAGCGGGATGAAGTTTCAATTACCTCCGACAGAGTGTGCTAGTACTGTTCGTGTGAAGTCACGAATGCCACCCACCTGTAGCACGTTTTCAATCTTTTTAGGCAATCTAAACCACGGGACTTTTCAGCTGGCAAGATGACGCCTGGTTGTAGGGTCATCACATATAATAAGTATTAGTTTTCTCTCAGGTACCTGCTGTTAGATCCTTTCTCTTGATGGCTGCTATCCACATTTCTCTTCTTATTATTGATAGATCTTGGAGTTTCTTAGAGTTTTTCACAGAATCTCAGTAGGAATGTGAAAAAACTAAGCAAATTTTCCCGATCTGCACAGCTTCCACTATCTGTCCGATGTTGAAATGGAGGATGACTTGTGGGCAAAAGACGTCGACGATTCATCACCATCCCCTGATGGGGATATGCTATCCCAATACGTCGATCTAGATCCAGACGAACCTCAACCGGGACCTTCCAAGAGGGCTAAATTAATCTAATTTTTTCTGTGACGGGAAAAAAGTTTGGCATTTCATCTCTGTTGGCAGGTTATAAAATGTCACTTTTCATAAATTACGCTACGCGTCGGGAGACAACACAACCTGGAGCTAAAATCTACTACTTTTTTCCCTTGTATAATAAATAACTATTTTTGGTCTCTAATATTACTCTATTTCCTAACAAATAAACTCATTACCTTTCGTTGTACTTATCTTTTTTATTTCATTATTCGTAGCTCAGCTTGAACATCCTCGTTCACACTCCTCATTTTCTTTCTTATCATCTCATCATGAAAGTACAGGGCTTCAATTGTATAATCAGGGTCAAAATTCAATCAGAACAACAGGATTGCAAAAATTGTAAAGTTCGAAAAAGATTATAAACTTTGAAAGGCTCAATCTCGAAAACTAATGAGTCAACAGAGACAGTTTTTATATCATATTGTAGCAAATTTGGTCTACCCTAAACACGTTCCGAAAGAGTTTTTTTCAAGACGAATTTTTCGCAGTTTTTTCGATTTTTGACAAAGCTGCGTTCGGCGCTCAAGGTCACAAACTTGGATTATTCATTAGGTCAACATCGTGAACAAGTCTGCAAACAATCAGAACTACCAGATTTGACGCATACTGTGATGTATAAAGTTACTGGATTAAGAGTAAAGACGTATATTTTTCATATTGTAAAACTGATTGAATAAATAATTTTTGTCTTTCGAAATATAAAGTGCTTTTTTTAAAAGGCATTTCGGGAAAGTAAAAACATAAAGAGTCTATAATATACCGAGCGTTTCACTGACCTTGACAGCGACGACGTCATGTTCCTTGCCATCGGGCACGGTGACTGCGACCCCAGGAGGGCCTCGTTCCCCCCGCTCGCCCTTCGAGCCGGGTGCCCCCACTGGCCCCACGGCCCCATCGACGCCTGCGTCCCCCTTCGGTCCCGCGGGGCCCATGGGGCCGGGACTGCCCGAGGGGCCTGCTTCACCTTCCGGTCCTCGGTCGCCTGGAAAGTCAGATCTCAAATCAGAATCTCAATACAGGGTGTCTGTAAAATGTTAAGTTGATTAAGGTCAACTTACCTATATCCAAAATCGTCTCGTTGAGTTGGTACAAGGCGTTGAGGCTTTTTTGGAAAAAAATTATTTTGCTCATAAAAAGAGTAAGCTGAGATCGATTTTTCTGTGACTGTTAGTCACGTTTTGAGATGTTTTTGATCATCATCAGTGACCTGCAAGTGTTTCAAACAACCATATTGCTGAACAAATTTGGTTATAACTTTCCAGGGGTCAGACTGGAAACTTCCAGTTTTCTTTTTCCAGAAAGATATTCCGTTCAGAAGTAATTTTTGTATCGTGTTAATTTTTGATAAGTCTCGAGGTTCATTTGCAAATAAATAATTTCTGATATGATGCATCCTGCGCATTTTTCAAAATTAATCTAATTAGTCGGACTGTTTATTGATCATGGCTACAATGTATTCTTATTGTGAACAAACTGATATGTTGCTGGTCCTCGCGGGCTTCACAAGAACTCTCGAGTTACAAATTTAGCGATAACTATTAAGGACCTATTAGGGTGAGCACTTTAACGCCTTGTACCAACTCAACGAAACGATTTTGGATGTAGGTAAGTTGGCTAAAATCAACTCATTTTTATCCCAGGAGTCTACAGTCAAGCCATGTCCCAACTAGATTATTTTTCTAAAAAATGCATAAGATGTCTCAGATCAGAAATTATTTACCAAATTTGTTCGGCAATATGGTTGTTTGAAACACTTGCAGGTCACTGATGATGATCAAAAACATTTAAAAACGTCACTTACAGTCACAGAACATGTCATGCCAAAAACTATGAAAATCGATATCAGCCTACTCTTTTTATGAGCCAAATTATTTTTTCCAAAAAAACTTCAACGCCTTGTACCAACTCAACGAGACGATTTTGAATATAGGTAAGTTTTGGCCTGCATCAACTTAGTTTTATCCTAGGAGTCCACAGCCGAGCCATGTCCCAGCCTTTTACAGACACCCTGTATATACAGTGCCCGTCTAAATCAGTTTTTCCCCACCCCTCACTATATAGGGTGGCATTGAAATTAGTGCGAATATTTAATGCCTTGAGTAAGCTCGACGTATACTATTGAGTGATACCAATAACAAAAATATAGGGATCAAATTGAAATTTGAGGTAAGACACCTCTTTCCACCCAAAGTTCCACACTGTAGTCATTCTGACGTCATCTCTGCTCAAATTTTCGTGCGGAAAGCGCTTTAAATTGTTTCAAAGTGGCATAGGTACTCAATTTTTTTCTCATTTTTTGTTCAATTTTCGTATTAATTCACATGTAACATTTTACAGGGTACGCAGGGTGATACGCTTTCATTATTTATTTCAAATTGACCTGACAGTGAACTTTTGATACTTTTCCATAAAAAAAAACCTTACTCCCACACCTTCTCGAAGTAAAAAGGTACACCTCATCAACAACGTTGGAGATGATCGTTATCGAGATATTAACAATTTTCTATATTGATGTATGTTACTTAGTTTTAGCTCCTAGGGCGCTAAGTGAAGTTGCTGAGAACATTACAAAAACTGAGTATGTGTATGTGGTGAGTCTCGTCAAAGTAAAGTACTTTTTTCCTATGAAATGTTTATCCAAAACATGATTTGATTTCTGTTTTCCAACACCCTGTATCTTCGGAATGAAGCATTTTCGAACATAAGTTTATATATTTTTTCTTAAAATTGTCTCAGGAATACGTCACTTGAATATTTCATGTTGCATAAAATGTGTTCATTTTGCATGTATTATGTTCTCAATCTCCATTCCTTTCAAATTATTTTGTAGGTTAGCAGGAATAGCAGGTATGTTAATGTAATTTTCGGAGTTCGTAGAAAAAGCATAGTATGTAACGCGTTCATAAACTCTTCTAGACACTCGTTTATTAAACACTCGCTCCGCTCGTGCTTAAAATACTCGTTACTAAAAGGACGTTTATAACACTTGTTACATAATATACTATTAAAGTATTATGTGTTTTATTGATATAAATTGTTCAATTGAACTTGTTTTATCTCTTTCTTTTGATGTATATTTTTTACAATATTATTTTGTTATGTAGGCTAGCATAATCGACCTTGACATGTGTAAATACACCATGTATATTAACACCAATAAATCTCTCATCTCTTTCTTTTGATGTATATTTTTTAGAATATTATTTTGTTATGTAGGCTAGCATAATCGACCTTGACCTGTGTAAATACACCATGCATGTTATAGTAGAGTAAATAGACTGGCAAAAGGCTTCTAGAATAGATTTTCGTGGGCACTTTGTTGCTAAAATGTAAAACCCATTTTTTATCATTCCTAAGACCTTTGCAATGCAAAATCACTTGGTCGTCCAAAAATCGTAGTTGGAGGGGAGTGGGGGGAGCCTTTTTTTAAAAAAAAGCCAATTTTTTTTTTCATCGGTTTTCAGATCTAAGATGTGAGATAATTCATTCCTCGAATTTGCATACCCATCCGGATATCAGAAATATTTTTTTTTAATTTATAAAAATACGTCGCAGCATTGTTGTATATGGAGAGCCTTCACACAAAACCGCTTGCCCTGGACACCCATATTTTTAAAATCATTTAACTCGCTCTACCTCGAAAAGTATTGGGTCTAGCAAAAAAAGACTTTCCATAAACGTTATAGACCAAACATCAGAGAACATGTTGGTTTTTTTAGAATTTTGATTGGATAATTGGTTCACGAGGAAATTGAATAAATCGAACGGCATGTCGCGACGAACGGCGGCTAGCGCAGAGATACGGGGAAGGGCGAGATTGCTATGCCTGTGTCAACCGAAAATCCACTCTACTGAGGGCGATGTTGATACGGTCGATTTTACCGTGAATTCACTGTTTTGTTGTAAATTCGAATGCATTGTTCTGGTAGCGCTGATTCTACTGAGATTACTAGTGATGAGTGATCAAGTTCTTGTCTATAAATCATATTATTAAAAGCGAATAATAACTTATTGCTAAGTTAACAATATTTAGAACTTACTTAGTGAGTATTAGGTACAGTTAGTATTTTTTTGTATCCTCTAGAAATGGATTTAACGATCAGCAGCAGCTCTGACAGTGAACTAGAGTCGAAAATCAAATTAAGACTTGCTTCTTTTCGTAAAACTGTCAATGGACAAGACGTTTTTATTCAAAATGTGTGTCTTATTTGTTTGGAAGGAGGAAAGCTGGTTATCTCTCATGAAAAATCAAAAAAAAAATTCATTGAATTCACGAAAGAACGTATGACAAATTGTCATGATGACAAATATATGCGGCATATATTCTCAAAGTTTGATGAATTAGAAAATCAAAGTTTTTTAAAATGGCACAAAAACCGTTATAAATCGTATACGAGCTCAAAGAACATTGCCTCGTACAAGTCAAAAAATAACAAACTGATAGCTGATTCTCCAGCAGATTTTTGTAGAGCAGATATTTTTCAAAAACGTCCCTTGCGGACACCTTTTGATTCACAAAAGTGCGTATTTTGTCAGGAGCAATCACAGAATCAAAAACTAAGGCAAGTTATGACTTGTAATATGCAAGAAAAAATAAGAACAATATCACGAAGTAACCCTGTGTTTTCTGCGAAAACTGCCGTATAATCAGAAGCTTGCAATACCTAATGACTTTCATTTCCTTAAAGAAATTACTTTGACAAATCAAAAAGAAAAGTACAACCTGAGGAAAATAAACTGATCATCATAGAGAAGGGCGAAATACTTAATAATAACATGAGATATCGTAATATCACGTGGTGCATTTGCAGAATGAGGGACTCTAGTACAGGGTTGGCATGAATTAATTCATATGATTTAAATCAGTGATTTAATTCGTGAATTAATTCCATTGACTTTTTTCGAAAAAGTAATGAATTCATTAAAATTTTTAAAAATGAGACAAATTGCACTATTATACCTTTGATTTTAACTAGTTTAAACTGAAAAGTTCGATCGTATTTTGACAAGACTTTGTTATTTCAAGCATGACAGAGATTTTTACTAACAGATATATACCATCCATAAAGTCCATAACATATGAGAACAGTTTTATTATCACATCATCGAATTTTTTTCTCTCGGCGATCCATTATGCATATCCGATAACTTGAAAATCGATTTTGACACATGTCACGTGATCACTGGTATGGTGATAAATAAAAATAATACTATGAAGCGACGAAAATTGGGGTTAGATAACAAAATATCCATAAACATTTCTCATTAAGTTGCTATTCCACATTCAGTTTCGAGCAATTCTTGGAGGAGAATTGGAAATAGCTATCTTTTTTCGAATATTCTTCAATTTTGTAACATATTTTTTTTTCTGACAGTAGTGATGTTGATGATGTACAAGTTGAATAGAATTCAATTTCATGCTCACATATGGAGTTTCCAGCCATTATTTGAGAAAACTGAAAATAGCTATTTTTATTTTTTTTAAATAACTCCATCTGGCATCTTCCCATCCAACCCCACTTTTTGCCATCGTAATTTTTTGAATTTACCGCCATACCACTGATCAAGTGACATGTGTCAAAATTGACTTTTAAGTAGTCATCAGACATGCATAATAGATCTCCAAGAAAAAATGTTTCGATATTCTACTAATAAACTTTTTCTCCATGTGTTACGAACTTTATGGATGATACTGGATCTATATGTATCTATTATTTTGTATTCTATCATCACTTTTAATTTTGTTTCGAAAAAAGTTATATTATGACGTTATTCTACAAGATTTCTGAAGAGAATAAAAACATAGCTTTTTTGTTTCTTTTTTCCTATTTCGCTTTGGGTAAATGAAATTTGTTTGTTTTTTTTTCAAATCAATCAATTCAAAAAAGTCTGACTTATTTCAAAAAGTCGGACTTTGATGACTTTTTCATAAAAGTCATGACTTATTCCAACCCTGCTCTAGTAGCAATCAAACCGTTTTGTGAATCAAAAGGTATCCGCAAGGGACGTTTTTGAAAAATATCTGCTACAAAAATCTGCTGGAGAATCAGCTGTCAGTTTGTTATTTTTTGACTTGTACGAGGCAATGTTCTTTGAGCTCGTATACGATTTATAACGGTTTTTGTGCCATTTTAAAAAACTTTGATTTTCTAATTCATAAACTTTGAGAATATATGCCGCATATATTTGTCATCATGACAATTTGTCATACGTTCTTTCGTGAATTCAATGAAATTTTTTTTTGATTTTTCATGAGAGATAACCAGCGTTCCTCCTTCCAAACAAATAAGACACACATTTTGAATAAAAACGTCTTGTCCATTGACAGTTTTACGAAAAGAAGCAAGTCTTAATTTGATTTTCGACTCTAGTTCACTGTCAGAGCTGCTGCTGATCGTTAAATCCATTTCTAGAGGATACAAAAAAATACTAACTGTACCTAATACTCACTAAGTAAGTTCTAAATATTGTTAACTTAGCAATAAGTTATTATTCGCTTTTAATAATATGATTTATAGACAAGAACTTTATCACTCATCACTAGTAATCTCAGTAGAATCAGCGCTACCAGAACAATGCATTCGAATTTACAACAAAACAGTGAATTCACGGTAAAATCGACCGTATCAACATCGCCCTCAGTAGAGTGGATTTTCGGTTGACACAGGCATAGCAATCTCGCCCTTCCCCGTATCTCTGCGCTAGCCGCCGTTCGTCGCGACATGCCGTTCGATTTATTCAATTTCCTCGTGAACCAATTATCCAATCAAAATTCTAAAAAAACCAACATGTTCTCTGATGTTTGGTCTATAACGTTTATAGTAAGTCTTTTTTTGCTAGACCCAATACTTTTCGAGGTAGAGCGAGTTAAATGATTTTAAAAATATGGGTGTCCAGGGCAAGCGGTTTTGTGTGAAGGCTCTCCATATACAACAATGCTGCGACGTACTTTTATAAATTAAAAAAAAATATTTCTGATATCCGGATGGGTATGCAAATTTGAGGAATGAATTATCTCACATCTTAGATCTGAAAACCGATGAAAAAAAAAATTGGCTTCTTTTTTTAAAAAGGCTCCCCCCACTCCCCTCCAACTACGATTTTTGGACGACCAAGTGATTTTGCATTGCAAAGGTCTTAGGAATGATAAAAAATGGGTTTTACATTTTAGCAACAAAGTGCCCACGGGATAGCACGATAGGATCCCGTTTAAACTCTACTATTAACAACAATAAATCTATCTATCGATCTATCTATCACTCACCTTTCGGCCCCCTCTCTCCAACCTCCCCCTTCGCCCCCTTCTCCCCCGCTATCGCCTTCCCCCCGTCCACCGGCACGGCCACCCCCGGCGGTCCGGGCGGCCCTTCCCCACCCCTCTCCCCCTTCTCCCCCCTTTGGCCCCCCACCCCCGGCGTGCCGTCCGTCCCGGGCGCGCCCTTCTGGCCCTCGCGCCCCTCCTCGCCGGGCAGTCCTCTGTCGCCGCGGTCGCCCTTAGAGCCTGGGCGGCCGGGGTTGCCCTCGGGACCCGTGGGGCCACGTTGACCCGTGGGGCCGGGCGGGCCGGGCTCGCCCTTGGGGCCGGGGACTCCGGGGCGGACCATCGAGCTGCCCAACACGGTGTCCTGGAAGGTGAAATAGGGTGATTCAGAGTGATATTGGCATAATCGAATAATAATAATAATAATAATAATAATTTTATTCATCCACAAATGTTACATGTATACAAATATTTACTGGGATTTGTGAGTGATGAATAAATAAATATTGATCAGAGATCATCCTACGAAGTATTAAAATATACTTGTTTGTAGGTATACAATATAAGCTTGAATTAAATTAGAATATAAATAACAAAATAAATACAAATATAAACAAATTAGTGAACACATATTTTTACAACTTCCTTCTGTTTTATATTCTTCATAACTTACAAATTACCTATAAAGATAACTAATATAAAGATAACTAATAACTAATTATCTATATTAACGGAAATGCATAGATCATAATTATAGTTGAATCGTAAATCAGCAGTAATTTTTTTTTTCAATTATTTGTATGAGTTACACAGAAGTTTTCGAGAAAAGAGCCAATATTTTCATATATCTATTATTTCATGTACTGCCAATCTGGATATTTCTGATACATATTTTTTAATTTCTTTCTATAAAATTTTAGTTGTTTCTCATGTCTCAGGCTTTCGGGTAAACTATTGTAAATTTTTGGTCCCAATGAATGAATGAATCTCATAATCGAATAGTAATTAGTATTAGAATGATAAGCGAAATATCATTCGAATGATCGATCGCTCGGATAGTACTAGAGACAATTTTTGATAGTTATTCCAAAGTCTGACATGTACGTGTTGTTTTTTTCATTTCACTTACTGTAGAAGTCCATGTCGTCTCAAAGTGTAGTGAAGAAGATCATACAGGGTGATTCATTGGGAAATGCGCATACAGTAAGGGTAGATGGAGGACACCGAGGTACTTCTAAATAATCTATATTTCATGGGTCTATCATTCCTCAAAATCAAGATACAGGGTGATTTATTGCTTGCCCTCCTTTTTTCAATTAATCATAACTTATGAACCACTCTATAGGTACATTTTTTCGATATTTGGTTTGTATGTTCTTTGTCCATAGTGGTGACGATTGACATAATAAAAAAGAGTCTTATGCCAGGGCCGGCCTTGAAAAAATCAATAAGTATGTTTCGAGTCGAAACAACACCCTGTATATCAATATTTCAAAATTTCATTCACAAATTTGGAAAGAGCAGGGGGAAAATAAGTGTGACTGAATATATTTGGTGTTTCCGCATACACCTTCTTTACCTATTACCTTATTGAGTCAAATCTAGGGGCACAAAATTATTAAAAAAAATATTCGTGGCCCCAAATGGTATTTAAACATTGATAATCCATGAAATCATCAACAATTATTGTGTGTCCTAATTTTTGGACCTCAACGTAATTGGAAACGAGAGGAAATGTCCGTATTTGGGAGAAATTGTTATTATAAATGACTAACTTTTATGTGTAAGAAAATTATCATAAAATTATCATAACATCTGTTTATTGTTCTACATTCAAAATAACAATTATGAAAATGTGGAACAATGCCAATTCCGAAAGAAGCATAACTTTATTTCAAACAAAAATGTCGTTGCAACAAATTGTATCGAGTTAAATCCATAGACATACAACTTATTTATTATTATCAAATTTGGGTATCATTGAGTAAGCAATAACTGTTATTAACTAATAACTTCACAAAACACTAGTAAAAAGTACAAACTCATCAACTAACCTCAAAATTGTACTCTAACATCAGCCATCTTGACAATTACAACGATTTGGGATATCAAACCAAAGTGTACTTACAGGCTGCTTTATTTTATTATTTTTAAGAATGCATCAGAAGAGTCGATAAATGATCATGATCTAGCTGAAAAATTATTCAGACGTGGATAAAGAAAATTCTAGTTTTTTATTTTTTGTTATGTTTAACCTTTAAAATGTAGATTTTGGGCAACGTTATTTTTGGGTTTTGTGTTGAAATTTTGTATGGGGGCATAATTTGAGTTATGCCTACTTTTTCGGAAACAATTGCCTATTGTCATTTTTGAAATTTTAACTCCTTCAACAAAGAATAAGCCTTGAGGATCTGAATATTTGTTCACATTTTCTAATATGAGAGCTCGTTGAGTAAGTACTATATCATGGAATTTTTATTTTGGAAAATCGGGCAACGGGTTTGAAATTATAGGAGAGTGTTGCAAGTTGAAATCGCACATACTGTATATACTGATGATACTGACGTTACACTCTGATTGTTAACTGAACTTTTAAACTTCATTTTGCACGATTTCCATTTGAATCCACATTATTCTGTAATGTGCTGAAATAGAAATCCATTTGGAATTCCTTTACTTGAACGTTTTAACCTTCATCGAGATACTTGATACTTGGCATTTCTTGGATTTCTTTGCGATTCCCTAGAATTCTTTGCGATCCGTTTTAACATGAAAGTAGACACTTTACATTCGTCTGTCTGATTCAAATCCAATTAGAATTTGCATTATCAGTGATATGTTGAGTGCATCCAGTTTTATTGGTAATAAACATAGACGGATATGAAAATGAGTGTTCAATTATTGCTTATCATGTACCTATTTCAGATTGAATGATGGAATATTTTATAATTGCTCAACTGTGTGGAAGTTATGTACAAGTATTCCGAACAAGTGATGAATGATGTTTGAGTGTGGAAACGTAACGAGTGCAGGAAATTAACTTTCAAACGAGTTGTGTACCATTTTTTCTTCGACCTTAATAGTGTTTGCAACAAAATGCAATTTTGATTTTGCGATTTGATTGCTTACCTTGAAAGGTCCTCTAGGTTTCCAGCTTGGCTATTGAAAAAAAATATTCACAAAATTAACTGTTCATTAGTGTCACATCCGGCCAGGTATATATGTATAACCAAACAATTATACAGGGTGGTCCGTTTTCTAATACGGAAAATTTAACAGCGTATAGTACTCGTTGAAATAATGAATAAACTTCCTATGAACATATACTTTTAAACGCTTCGTTTTCGAGATATAGGGTGTTCAAGTTTCTTTAAAAAATCGATTATTTATTGATTTCTCAGAAATGCTATAACATAACCGATTGTGATGAAATTCACATCTATTGTGGAAATATCAATGAGCTAACTTTTAGACCTATTACAGTTCATGAATGAGTTATATATTTTCAGGGGCGTGCATTTCAAAGTACAATTTTTTTGCCCTCTTAGATTTCTTAGCTGAAAGCTTCGTTTCAGAAGAAAAAATAAAAACCAAACCTATGCAAACCATTGCAAATCAATCATTCACGTATTAGAAGAACCACAACAGGCCATAGACCGCAGTGGATATCCTGCTATTTGTCTTCAATGTTGCCGAGCTAGTACATTTTTACTAGTAAGTTTTTGAGATATAAGGTGTCAAAAATACGCTTCAGAATAAATATAGCAGTTTTTCAATCTAAAGTTATAAGCCGCCACTGAATAGTTGTCATGGATAATATTTATTTAATCCTAATGAAGCTCAAAAAGTTTGGTATCTATGAAAAATTCCGTTAATTTATCTACCGTTTCTAACTTTTGATTGAAAAAATATATTCAGAAGCGTATTTTTGACACCCAATATCTCAAAAACGAATCGTTTAAAAGTATATGTTCATAGGTGTGATACTAGACAAGAAACTCTCATTCTCAACTCACATTGATTATGTTGTATCAAAATGTAAAAGAATCTTAGGATTTATAATCAGACATTGCAGAAACTTCACCTCTCCTTCATGCCATGAAAACCTTACTCTACTCCTTTGTATACAGTAAACTGAATTTTGCAAATGTCATCTGGCGACCACAATACGCTATATACAAGACTAGATTGGAAATCATACAGAATAAATTTTTAAGATATCTTGAATATAGAAATAGTGGGGAATGTAACATTGCAACTATACAGGGTGTTTCACAGGTAAAGGGAAATATTCCAATGGTAGATAGGGGTCACCAAGGTGGTTCTGAAAATACCATATTTGATAGGTCTTAGAGTTTTCATAACGGAGATACAGGGCGATTTATCGATTTCGAATAATTATTCATTCGTCTATAAGTATTGAACTACCCAGTATATTTTTCTAAAGTTTGGTATGGAGCTTGAACTTTGGGCGTTGAATTCATTCACCTATCGAGCATAATGAAAATCCAGGTTCGGCTTCAGGAAAAAAATACATTTATTCGAAATATTAAAATAACACACAGTATGTATTAATTGACAAAGTTCATCAAAGGAATCCTGAAGAGGAGGAAAAACTGAACTGGATTTGATGCTATTCGTTTTTCCGCCACCAATTCTCATCGCAACAATCATAAACAGGAGGCTAAAAGTATGTCAATTTCAAGAGTATTGATATTATGAAACCACTTTCAATTATGATTATTTGATATATTTTTGTTAAATGATCGTTCGAAAGAACTTACTTAGTCTCACAGTCTTTATAACAGACATACAGGGTGAATTATCACTCGTCCATAAGTATTGAACTACCCATCGCAGTAATATTTTCTCAAATTTGGTATTGAGCTTACTTGGGACGATGGATTCATTGACCTATCAGGCAGTATGGAAATACAGGTTCAGCTTCAGGGAAGGTCTCATAGTCTTTATAACATAGATACAGGGTGAATTATCGATTCATAATTCCGCCTGATAGGTTAAGTAAGCTATATACCATAATTGAGAAAATGTTACTGGGTAGTTTTATACTTATGGACGAGTGAATCGCGAGTGAATAATTATTCAAAACCGATAAGTCACCCTGTATCTCCGTTATAAAAACTGTGAGACTTAGTAAGTTCTTTCGAGCTATTTTTTGACTAAAATATATAGAATAATCATAATTGACACTGGTTTCATAATTTCAATACTCTTCAAATTGACATACTTTCAGCTTTCTGTTTATGATTGTTACGATGAGAATTGGTGGCGGGAAAACAAAAAGCATCGAATCCAGTTCAGTTTTTTTCTCCTCTTCACGATCCCTTTGATGAACTCTGTCAATTATTACATACAGTGTGTTATTTTAATATTTCGAATAAATTTAAATTTTTCCTGAAGCCGAACCTGGATTTTCTCTCCGCACGATAGGTGAATGAATTCAACGTCCCAAGTTTAAACTCCATACCAAATTCTATAAAAATATACTGGGTAGTTCAATACTTATAGACGAATGAATAATTATTCGAAATCGATAAATCGCCCTGTATCTCCGTTATGAAAACTCTAAGACCTATCAAATATGGTATTTTCAGAAGCACCTTGGTGACCCCTATCTACCATTGAAATATTTCCCTTTACCTATGAAACACCCTGTATACAGCCTTCCTGAGAAACTAATTCCATATGGTCACACTAGAGGCTCATCGAGAACAATCCGACATAATATTTTTATTCAAAATTATGAATGACTTAATCGACTCCCCTAGAATTTTGTCAAATATATATCCCAATGTTCCAACTCGTTCTCTGAGGAATACTCGTCTCTTCTTTGAAACGTTTTGCAGAACAAACTTAGGAAAAAACTCTCCCCTACATAGAATGGTGACACTTTACAATGATAAGTTCGATGATATTGAGTCATTCAATCATTCACTACTTGTATTAAAATAAAAGAGAAATATTTAATTTCATAGCTAACATCAAATGTTTCTTGAAGTAGTGTTAGATTAAGCGAAAATTGTAATCTGTATATATTTTTTGTACGCTCAACTGTATCCGTGGATAACACTTTGGGTTATGCCTGTTGGTGACTGGTGAGCGTTGAATGACACTGTATAAGTGATATCCAACAAGATCATCGCATAAACAGTTTACGTTTACTGAAAATAGTTGAACTAATAGTTTCTTCCCAATAAAATCTAACTTTGCCGACATACACATACTCACATCGACATTCTCGAACTCGACCGGTCCGGGCGGTCCGGGCGGCCCCGGAGGCCCGCCCAGCCCCGGAGTCCCGTCCGTGCCCGGCTCCCCCTTCTGCCCCCCTTGTCCCCGCTCGCCCCGCTCCCCCCGCTCTCCGCGCTCCCCCTTGGGCCCGCCCGCGCCTCTGTCACCGGGCGGGCCGGGCGGGCCTCGCGGGCCCGGCTTGCCCTCGATGGAGGGGGCGGGTCCTTGCGGCGGCCGTTGGGCGGCCAGGGTGTCGATGATTGAGGTCAGGTTGCAGGTGCACACTGCCTGTTGAGAAAAGAGGAAGATTCATTCATCGGCAGGGAAACCAAAATCGTAGATTTCCGTTTCGCAATGTTATAGCCTCGATTTTACTTCACGAGAATAGCTGATGGCTTGTTCATTATACACAGGGGAAAACAAGGTTTGCTCTTCCGCCCTTGACTTCTTAACGCCCTCTGGGACAAAAGTAAGTAGTTAAACTTACTTATAGTTTTTTTATGTTGTGGTTTGAAGTGTGATACCGAGGGATCTCTCACTTCCGTAATACTTGTACAAATGGCAGTCGCAGTATCTGGCAGTACTCCGCAGTATCTCGCAGTATTCCGCTGTATCTCGCTGTACTCCGCAGTATCTCGCAGTACCCCGCAATACCTCACAGTTGCCCGCAATACCTCGCAGTACCAAAATATAATCCGCAATATTCCGCAGCACCAGAGAGGTGGGGAAAAATGAACCATTATCAGGGGCTGTATAGAGGCTATTTCACTCTATTCGAATGTTTCGGCATTTGAGCGGGTTTATTTTTCACAACATAGTAATTTTTATGGTGTTGTTACAAAAAAATTTGAGTTCACTCATCTGCAACTTAAATTTTTTGTGACCCGATAGTAAATTAATAGATCTTAGACTTGACATGGTCGAACCACGTGCTGTACATATTGATATTTACCTATTGTGTGTTGTGTCCTGTCACATTCAATATAGGTATTGGGAGTTATACAGGGTGTCCCAACGAAAACTTTCCACACGGATTTACTGGGAAATGACAAATCATTTTCGGAAACGCTGAAACACGTCGATTTTGATTTCTAGGGGGACACATGTCAGTGATGAATTTAGTCACGCAACTTCATCCCCCTGACAGGGGCGGCTACCCCATTGCGAATCATCATAGGGAACTTGGGTCGAGTGATACATCATCTTCAAGCTCTCGTCATTCTCTATCCAAACGTTTATATTTTTTCAAAATCGAATAACTGGTTATTGGGATTAGTGTGGTAATAGGTTTAATTTCAATTATCAACATCGTACCTGTTCTTCTCGAAATTCAATTTATTAATTGCTCGAAATGAGCCCTCCATACAATGATAAAGTCTACTTTCGAAACTATTACGAACGTTTGCCAATATACTTCTGGAGTTATTCTGCCGCACTCGTTTACAATTTGACCACGTAGATCCTCTAGTGTCTCTGGCGGAGTGGCAAAAACTTTGCTTTTGAGATGCCCCCATAAAAAATAATCCAATTGGTTGAGGTCTGGTGATCTAGCTGGCCACTCAATTGGTCCTCGTCGCCCTATCCATTGGTATCTCGTTCATCCAGAAGATTTCTAACCGCCACTGCATAGTGAGGTGGTGCTCCATCTTGTTGAAAATGGAGGTTGTCTTCCGAATAATCTCCATCGTTTTCGATAATATCCGTTATCATGGGATCGATGGCATTCTCAAGAAGATGTAAATACATTTGTCTATTCAAATGATCATCTATAAAAAGTGGTCCAATAATATTTTTGCCAAAAATACCACACCAAACATTCAACTTCTGCGGAGTTTGTGTGTGGACCTCACCTGGGATTGGTATCACTCCAGTAGCGGCAATTGTGACGATTTACGTTTCCATTAACAAAAAATGTACTCTCGTCTGAAAAACAAATATTGAAGAGCAATCTGGGATTCGTTCTCAGACGCTCACACATTTCTCCACAAAACTGTTGACGTCTGTCGAAATCGTCTTTGTTCATTTCATGTACAAGTTTTAGTTTGTATGGATGGAATCGATGTGACTTGAGAATTCTCTGAATACTCGATCGCGCTACACCTGACGCGTCAGCCAAGCTTCGAATACTTTTAGTAGGATCCATAGCCACGTGTCCCAAAACCGCTACCTCAACAGCCTCGTTCCTTATCAGACGTTAAGGATGATGTTTCTGGTTTCCCACAGACCCAGTTCTTTCGAATTTCTCAATCAACGTTTGAACATAGGTATGAGATGCATTTTTCCCTGGATACCTTGTATTGAAAATTCTAGCTGCAGCTCTTGGACAATCATCATTTTTGTAGTAAAGTTTCACTAACTCAATTCGTTCTTCTAATGCGTATACCATTGTCAGGCAGAAACTTGACTCACAGAATACGAATCAAATGATATTTCCAGAAGAATCATGCGAACTGTGAATTCATGCTGAGAACATACACGCAGGAGAACCATAAAGAATAGGTATTTTTTGTCTATGAAAAAGTCAACAGAACAAAAACTGAGAAATACGGTTTTCGGGCTTCAGTGCCGTGGTCGGTTCACCTCTGTGGAGAATGTTCCTTTCGACGATTCGCTCACAATTGGGGTGGGCATCTTCCGCTTGTAATGTTGTATTCGCGAGTAGCGACATAAAACTGATACTTGGTTGAAAGATCTTCGCAATTAATAGTCCCAGCCTGGCTACTTACTTTGTTTTGACTAATTTGTTTTCGTTTTTCGTGGGGTGACTGGTTTACCTGACCGGATGGGATGTTGCTATTGTCTATCTGTCCACTCATTGAGTCTTCAAATAGTTAATGAATTGAATTTGAATAGAAACAAGTAAGATATTGACTATTAACATTGAACCTGTCAACAACACTAATTTCGATTACCATTCATTCGATTTTGAAAAAATTATGGACGTTTGGATAGAGAATGACGAGAGCTTGAAGATGATGTATCACTCGACCCAAGTTCCCTATGATGATTCGCAATCGGGTAGCCGCCCCTGTCAGGGGGATGAAGTTGCGTGACTAAATTCATCACTGACATGTGTCCCCCTAGAAATCAAAATCGACGTGTTTCAGCGTTTCCGAAAATAATTTGTCATTTCCCAGTAAATCCGAGTGGAAAGTTTTCGTTGGGACACCCTGTATATTGGGAGGTATTTCGAATTAACGAAAGTATACACAATCGAGTTGATAAATATTACAGCTTTCAGAATAACTAACACTATAAAGGGTATTCCATTTAAAAAAACTGAGTGTCATTCATTTTTATGAGTCCCCGGAAGGAAGTTACTTCTGAGCCTCCCTGTGTACTGAAACTGGGATTAAGTGCATTGACAGAAAACTTAATGGTCTTATGCAGCTAGGATTCAAATTGCAATATTTTGTCAACTTGCATTGGGAAAATATTGTTAATTTTCAATGGTCAGGTTTTTGCCGAAAAATTGGACAAAATAACTTTTAACTCAAAACCGTTACAGAGATAGGTATAGGAAATTACAAGAGAAAGTTATGAGGCATCCTATAAGGATTTCAAAAATGATATGATATACAGGGTGTTTCATTTGAAATAACGAAGTAGCTTCTTCTTCCTGATACAAGCGACAACACTGAATTGGTACAAATATTTTAGATGGATTGAGCATGTTTCATTATTTACGCTCACAAAGATTCGAAGTGATCTGGTATTCTGTTCTCCAGATACTTTTAATGTTCCATCCACTGTGAAACACCCTGTACCTACCTCGGTACCTACACATGTTATTTTTGGCATAAGTGAGCAGACAGCGCCAATTCATCATATTAGCATATCATATTTCAGATCAATTACCTATAGTATTTCCTGAGGTACCTATTTCCTAATAATTTGCATAATCTCATAGTATCTATTACTTCTTCGCAATATCTCGCAGTTCCCCATGATACTCCGGATACCCCGTAATACTCCGCAATACCCTGCAATACTCTGCAATACCCTGCAATCTGCAATACTCCGCAATACCCCGCAATACCCCGCAATACCCTGCAATACCTCGCAATACCCTGCAATAGCCGCATACTACCTAAATGGTCTATTTCGCAATACTAGTGAGAGACCCTTCATGTGATACGTTCTTAGCACAATGGTTTTTGATTCTTTGCTCACGGATGTATTCACAGGTGCAATCCTTCAAAACGATCCCCATGATTGACATCTTTATCTTGGACACAGTGCGTATTCCTAGTGGGTCAGAAATTTGCATTCTTGCTTGAATGATATAATTATGAATAATTCAGATAATACTTTGAATGAGTACTTGATATTAATAAGGTATTGTGAACTCACCTCAGGAGCTGGCATTCCTGGAGGACCAGAATGTCCTGGAGGACCCGGAGGTCCTCTGATGGACTCCCCTGGTGGTCCCTTGAAATGGAAATAGACATTAATAAAATAAAATAAGATCAATTGGTCAATAAAGGACAAGAATTCGTAGTTGTTACTTCACGTGAACACTCTTGATGACAATAATTCTGATATCGATCTACAGTAATCACATTCAATAGTTGTCCTAGCACTATTGACTCAATTATGCTGGATACATTGGACAAATACACTGTCTACTCAGGTAACGTATACCTATATATATCTTGTTAATATGCCAACCGAGCTACCTACACTGTAGAAATTATGCTTTTCCTCAGGGTTATTGAGCAAATTTATTTCTACAGATTTTTTTTCTCATTAGTGAAATGCATTTCTCTTCATTTGCTTTACAGGAAATACAAAAATTTTATAGCAAAAAGTTTCAAAGCACATAGAGAATATATAATCTTGAGAATAAATAAGAAACAAAAATTTTAAGAACATTCACAGAAGAAATACACCTCTTTGTTATCTAAATCATATTTTAATTGTTATATGAATATACAAATATAAAAATATAAATATGCCCAGTTACAAACCTCAGAGGAGGAAGGAAAAAGTTAACATAATAATAACGTTATTGACCTAGAAAAACGGTCAGCTAATTTATGTAGTATAAGTTGGTTCATATTATATTGCCTAAGAGACAGAGAAAAACAAAATCATCTATTGACAATGAAGGCACGAAGCTTCATGATTTCATGAACACAATCATGAAGAATCTTAACCTCAACGTCTCAACGATACTTATATTTTGAAGAGCAGCAGCTGAAGTGTTTCGATTGTCCAAATAAGATACGTTGTTTGGTCTGACAGCAGAGAGGATAGGACAAAAAAATTAGATATGATCAAGAGTTTGTTGTTCGTGTGAAATCTATTGTAAAAAATGTATCTTTGAACGAAATTTTCAGACGATTGAAGTACTTATGCCATGCACATTTGAGCGATAATTATGGTGATATGAATAGGGACTTTGAAAAACAGGTATTTTTGTTCTAGAATACTGTTCCCACATATGGGGTTCAGCACCAAAACATACGCTGATGCTCTTAGATTCCATCCAGAGAAGAGCCATCCGCCTGGTGGGTGACGCCACACTCACTCAGTCTTTGACATCATTGGAACACCGTAGAAAGGTCGGCGACCTTTCACTTTTCTATCGATACTTCCACGGGAAATGTGCTTCGGAAATCTCTGCTATCATCCCTTCACTAGCAATACCAGTCAGACGAACTAGACAGGCCCAGTCAGCACATCCTTTCGTTGTCAACCTCGAAAGATGTCGAACAGCACTTTATCAAAACTCCTTCATCCATAGAACGGCTAGGCTCTGGAATTCATTGCCTGAGGAAGTATTCCCAACAACATATAATCTCCAAAAATTCAAAAAAAATTCCAATACCTACCTCCTATCCTTATCCTCCCTAGGAACGCACGATGTTCTTTGAACATTATAGGGATTCCCTTTCGTGCGCTCCAAGCGATAAAAAAAAAAAAAAAATTGACAGTTGTAATTGACGTTTACTCACCCTTGGCCCCCTATCGCCCTTCTCTCCCCTGTAACGTCCAGCTGCTTTTCCAGCGTCATCAGAAACGAAATTACAACAGTTTTCTTTATCGCAAAGACATTCCTTACCGTCTGGCGGCGGTGGAGGTGGCGGGAACCATCCCAGGTCTTCTGATCCGCTGCCCTCTCTGAATGATCCCTCAGAATCGGTACGTTCTACCTGAAAAAATTACGGGCCATATCATATGAAAGTGGTGAAATATGGTATATTAAAGTACAGGGTTGGCAATGGAACAGGACGATTTGGGGTGGCGCTTGCAGCGCGCTAAGAAGTGGTGGGGGTGGAAGTCACCGGCCTGTCAGGACACTAGAGTCTAGCCATAGCACCATAGCGAGGTAATATTGCGATTCACTCGCTGCTCGCTGAGCGCGAGAAACTGAAAATTTCAGGCCGATCCCGAGAAGAAACATAATTGAAATAACGAATCACTATCGGCCTAACCAATAAATGCCTCCGTAGTATTTTTTTGATTAATTACTTCGAGAAAAAAATCAAAAAAAGATTAACTGGAGTAGGGATCGAACCCCGGTCTTTTCGCTCGGAGGAAGGTATTAAAATTGTTTATTTCTTTCGATTTGTTTACAATACAACACAATTCACAGTCTCATTTCAAGATAGAAGTGGCTGGTGTTGGATGAGGAATGTGAGCGTATATGTGAAGTGTACGTCGCAGAAGCCTATCTCCTATGGGTGAGCCCTTTATATAGGTGATCTCGAGGAAGATACCCATGAGGGTGAGGGAGTTGATCAGTCGATATCAGTGGTAGGAATTTCGTGTTGGTGGAGGGAAATAAAAATCGAAAACAAAAACGTTTTCCTCGTTTGCCTCGGTCAGCTATGCCCATACGCTCCGCCCGTCTCTGGCTATTAGGCCATCAGTCATTGGAATCGGGCGTGTGCGCATCACTGACCGAGTTCAGTGCCAGCTCATAATTTTTTTTATGTTCTGGTTCCCACGAAAAGGGATATCCTGTGATGTTCAGAGAACATCGTGAGAACCAAGGGAAATAAGGTAGGAGTTGGTGTTCTTCTTAAATTTCTGAAGGTTATATGCCTCGGGGAACACCTCTTTTGGCAATGTGTTCCAGAACATCGCTGTTCGTTGGATGAACGAGTCTTTGGAAAGAGATGTTCTGCAGGTCTCCAAAGTGACCACGAAGGGGTGCGAAGCCTCTACTCGACGGGTTAATCTCGCGGGGACTGCCAAGGGAGAAACAATTGTTGATATTTCAAAAGAGCATCGTCCATCGAAACATCTATAAAATCGGGCCAGATCGCCAACTTTTCTACGGTGTTCCAGAGAAGTAAGTGAGTTCGTGAGCGAGGCATCACCCATGCACGAGACGAATATCCTCTTTTTGGACACACTCCAACAGTTTCAGGGTATGTTTGGGTGCTACATTCCAAATATGGGAACAGTATTCCAGGACAGGTCGGATTTGTGCCTAATAGATCATAAGCAGCTGACTGGAAGTGAAATAGCTCTTGACACTATTTTTTCAATTGACTCGACCGTTACTTCATGTAAATTCATGGCAAATATAAAATCTTCACAAACGATAAGATTGATATACTAGTACAATGAACTGTTCATTGTACCAGTATATCATCTGACGAAGCTACTATGTTAGCGAAACATGTCGTGTGTTTGAGAATTTTGTGGAAATATTATCGTTTGTGAAGTTTTTACTCTTGACACTAATTTATGATCGTGTATTGGGAGACAGTGTTGTCCGGATCCTTCCCGGAGCATCAGTTTGGTCCCGAGGATCCGGGGAGGGTCCGAACTATAGGTTCCCAGGCTCTAAAAACATTATTGATGCATATTATATTAGCCCATATGTTATGTTGTTGTCGCGTTTCTGTGATATTCCAGGTAACTTCCAGCGATGTGGTATTTGTAGAGGATTTGTTATATAGTTGTTTGGATAATAAAATCTCTAATTTTGGGCAAATAACCACATCTCTCGTGAAGATCTGCCACTAGTAAGTATATCTATCACCGTTGGTGATGAAATACCAAGTACCTTGTTATGCAAGGAGGCAGGAACACTACTCTAATGACCACCACGCTTCTGGCAAAACAAACTAAAAAAACAATTTTATACGCTCTTGACTTGCCACCGTGGCAATATTTCCCGTATAGTGGTGCTATGGCTAGGCTTGTATTGTCAGGACCCGCATGGCTTACCATTTATTTACAATGTTCATTGGACGGGTGAGCAACGCGGGTACGTAGTTGAAGCCTACTATCAAAATGCAGTGCCAAAACAGTTCGAACCGCTGAAAATATCGAATGTGTTCTACATGCGATATCAAGAAATCCTCGCTGATCCCATGGAGTATGGAGTATTGTTTCTCGAAACACCAATATCAGTTGGTCCCCTCAGAATATACCTAAAGAAATAAAATTTCAAACCAATCAATTCATCAATTCAATTTTCTCAGAAAGAATGGCGGTATGCACATTGACTTAAATACCTTGGGAGAGGTGCTCCGTACCTTAGAAGAGGAGATATTTGGAGACAATTGAATATACCTAAAAAAATTAAAATCCAGCAATATTTCCCGTATAGTGGTGCTATGGCTAGACTCTAGTGTTCGCCATGCGGTTTCTGACAGGCCGGTGACTTTCACCCCCACCACTTCGTAGTGCGCTGCAAGCGCCATCTCAAATTGTCGTGGATATAACGCGCGTTTTCGTAAGATGGATTAAACACTCCTTTCAGGAAGCAAAATTTGGTACCAATAAGAAGGAAAAAATGAGAACAAAAAGATTTGAAGTTAGTGTTAAGTATCTAAAATCATTTCTTATTCTCTTAGAAGCGACTCTATAGTATATTTAGTAACTTATAGTATGCACTCCAACAATTAACTGCATTTAGAAAATTGTTTTGTTATCGAACAAAAATCGAACTTGCTATTAAAAATAATGAAAAATTGATCAATTTTTCAATTAACGGTATGAAAAGATATTTTTCTCTAATATTTCACTGACTATTTCACTCATCACATAATCTGACTAATCACAAGCCACAGACAGCGTGTGCTTATCGCCAAAACATTGACTGTTCTTCAATTCTGATTGGTCTATCAGCGTTGATGTTTTCAACGATGTAACCATGGAAAACGAAGCAAAGTCTGTCAGTTTGGCATGAAATAATTATGGCTGTATTTGTCAGAATGAATCACTCATTTATAATAAATGCTTTTTATACTTCGTGAACGTGAAATAGTCTAGCAAAATACCACTCTGTTCTGAAAATCTTCTAATAATTCTGTCTTTTGTGATGCCGTACAGCAGCACCACTCGTCCTGAAGGACTCGTGACCCTAATAGCACACAACGTCCTAGGGACGTCCCTATTTGGTACAATTCACGTCCGAATGTCCCGAACCAAAAATAAGTGTCCTTGGGACATCTCATGTAATGTCCAAGCAAGGACGTCCACGAAATGTCCCAGCTGGTACATCATATCAAATGTCCTAGGAATAGCATCCCTTAGACGTCCCACGTTGTGCATATTGTAGAATGTCCATGCAAGGACGTCCTTGGCATGTCCCTGATGGGATGGGATTTTGAACGTTCCTTTAGGGACATCCATCGGATGTCCCGAGTAGTACATATTCTGGCATGACTTCATATCTTATATAATGTCCCTTCTAGACAACCATGGAATGTCCCTGATGGTACATTCCATCAAATATCTCTGCACATACGCCGTTAATATTTCTAGAATCGTATAACAATCGAAATGTCCCTTAGGGACATCTTTTGAATGTCCCTCAGGGATGTCCCAATTGGTACATGAACTGTACTCTTCCAATGTCCTAGAAATAACGTCCTATGGACGTCTCAGTCAGTACTTTCAATATGTTGTCCCTGCGAGGACGTTAACTCCAACACCTCGCCGATGAATGATTGCTCGTAGGCTATAAGCACTCCTCGTCAATGTCCTTCACGTAAGTCCATTGGACATCCTTGGGACACTTTTTGGGGACCTTCTACGGACCATCAACTCAACTGAATATCCTAATCAGTTATGCAAGATCTGGTCCTAGAGGGACCCAGAAAAATTCAAATTCAAGAATAATTCGTACGTCCCTGGGACATCCTATGGACATCCAATTGATATCCTTCATAGTTGCTGATAGGTTGTCCTATGGATGTCCTCTGTAGTGCTTGATGAGGAATACTGTAGGATTTAGGTATTCGATAGTTGTCCCAGGGACATCCCTCAAGGACTTCCCTAGTTGGTCCTCAAGTGGGACATTTGTGCGTCCCACAGACGTCCAATGGACGTCCACGGTACCAAATTCGAACGTCCAATGGACGTCCTGAATGTCCCGACAGGACGTCGTAAGGATATTCATGGGACATAAGTGTGTTATTAGGGGAATATTCAGAACATCGTGATATTGATAAGTTTAAGCGTTAATCCTCGAGTTAGTACAATATCCTCATGCAGGTTAGGATGTTAATGTATTGAACAAACGATGCATTAAAAATGGCTACTTACTATCATATTATCGATATCTTCATCAATGTTCTCAAAGCCCTATAGTTAAAACATGAAATTAAATAAATGAAATAACTACTGACGAAACACAATGCTCAGGTTAATTTTTTCGGTTTAAAAATTTGAATAACATCACATTCAAAGAACACATTAAACGAACAAATTCATTTTCGGAAAAAAAATAATAATGTGCGTATAAAACTGATTTATATTATTCATTTGACAGTTGTACGATGAGCTGATGTTCATCTTACAGGGTGTGAAAAAATTCAGAATTATTATCTAGTTTTACAGATTCAACATTTAATTTCACAACAATAATCATTCATCATCATACGTCAAATCAAGAGCCTTATCAAAGGAATTTTCGAAACATACAAACCTGAAACTCCGTTTTGCATTGTTCAGCGGCCATATTGGGATCTTGGTATATTTTGAGTTGATCCAGTGCACCCTTGAATAAAACGACACCTATATGAAATTTATTACCGAAAATTTCAGTGAAGCCGTCATCTCCTGTTGAAATCTAAATTTTCTCTCTTCACCGGTCCAAATAAACATAAACGTGTGCTTAGATATTTTTAGTTTTCCACCCATATTTAGGATTACGAGATACTATTTTACTACAGGTATGATTCAAATATTGATAGTGGTTGTCAATTTTTGGACATGTTATTGTTTCACGAAGCTTTTCGCAACAGTTTTTGCTGTACGGAGATATAATAAAAAAGTTTCAGAAAATTGTTTGCTTATCAGGTAGAAGACAATTGAAATAGCTATCAATTCATTATTCCTGATTTTCCGATTTAATTAAACTGGAATCAGATTTTTTGAGGAGAATTTCGATGAATAACGAAATAACCATATCAATGTAAATGTCTGATGAAATAATAGATTCTAAAATATCGATAACTGTTATATATATCCGAAAATGATTCATCGAATCAATGAATTCTAATAATACCACAACGTAAGCAATATAAAAATGATGTAAATGGTTTGTTTTATCGAGTGGAAATCACATAAATCGGTTGTACCGGGTGTACCACTGAGAAAGAACGCCGGCTGTATCTCGGAAACTATTTGCCGCACAGGTTTCGAAAAAAAAATGAATCATGAAAGTGGCCAAGAGGAATCTCTGGAAATTATTTTCAAGTTTCCAGGACAGCCCCTAGATGGCGTAATTGCATTGGCCAGTTTAATAAACGGGTTTTTATGAAAATTTGATAAATCAAGACATATCAAAAACACTTTTTCCATGTTCTCGAGTTGATTCACAATCATTTCGATCAAAAAAAGGATGAATAGTACTTTGGAAAAACTCTCATTACTACAGTTTGGTGTGACGGAATTCAACGATCTAGGTCTCATTATGAAGGGTTTTCTTGGATCTGCCAGATGAATCACGAATCAAGTCGATTTAAATCCTGTGGTGGCCGCTAGATGGCATCGTTTGAAAAATCAGACAATTTTCCATTTTTTTCCAAATTTCAAATGGAACCATAATAATATATTCATTCTACTCCAATATGAACGTAGAGCAAACGAGAAGAAAAATGGTGGAAACCGCGAATTGATACCTCTTGAGGAACCGGTGAAATACTCGAAATAATATTATGAAAATATTCACCACAGGAATCTAACTTCAATAATCGTAATCAGAAATATCCTGTATCTATGAAATTATGATTTCAATAATTCATTTATTTTGGTTTCACAAACTGCTGTTATATATCTCCCAATAGCTAATTGAAATGTAAGTAGTGAGTATAGGCGTTACTATAGGCCCAGGAATGAGAAAAGGCAAGTTGGCTTTGAATGAATGAAACGTCAAAATATAATCAAAGTTCCATTGGAAGTTTCCGCTGTGGATTGCTTGTTTGTCAAAATGCCGATAACGAATGAGGAGGCATTTGACATGCTAACAGTTTAAATTTTAATATTATTCCGAGTATTTCTCCGGTTCTTCAAGAGGTATCAACTCGCGGTTTTCACCATTCTTCTTCTCGTTCACTTTACTTCCATATCATAGCAAAAAAATATATGGTTCCATTTGAAATTCTCGAAATAAAATGGCAAACCGGCTGATTTTACAAACGATGCCATCTAGCGGCCACCACGGGATTTAAATCGACTTGATTCGTGATTCATCGGGAAGATCTGAAAAAACCCTTGATAATGAGAACAAGATCGCTCAATTCCGTTACACCAAACTGTAGTAATGAGAGTTTTTCCAGAGTACTATTCATCCTTCCCTCCCTCTTTTATTTAAAGAGCTAGCGCAATTTTTTTTGATCGAAATGATTGGAAATCGACTCGAGAACATGGAACAAGTGTTTCTGATATGTCTTGATATATCAAATTTTCATAAAAACCCGTTTTTCAAGTGGGCCAATGCAATTATGCCCTCTAGCGGCTGTCCTGGAAACTTGAAAATGATTTCCAGAGATTTTTCTTGGCCACTTTCATCATTAATATTTTTTTCCGAAACCTGTGCGGCAAATAGTTTCCGAGATACAGCCGGCGTCCTTTATTTGTGGTACACCCGGTACATGCAACCACTCATGAAGCAAGGTTGTCAAATCATCAAAAAGATGTTAGAGTCCTGTCGTTGAAATAAACATAATAAAAGGAACCCATGACGATTATATCACGTGAATGTTGGAGACTTGGCAACATTTTGCTGAATGCTGAGAACTGACAAGACCACGCCCACAAGTCGTGAGCTATGGTTGTCACGTTGACCGATTCAAATGAAAAAATCTTGCATTTCTGTCCCTTGATGTATAATGTACTATAATAACTCTCATATTCCAAAACTGAGAGTTATAGGTGATTTCTACCGTTTCTGTATGAAAATTCTGAGACTCCTATGAATAATAATAATAATAATAATAACTTTTATTTTCTGTTAAATGTATAACATGAAACAGTAAAGTACGTCAAAAAAAAAAAAAAATATAACAAACAAACAATGCGACAGCATCACAATTAAATACAATATATTCATCACGTTACTAACATTACATAGAATTACATAAAATACTCATCCAGCGTATAGCAGGCCTTTTGAATTAGCTGTTGTTTAAGCCTCTTTTTAAATATATTCAAGTTTTTGGAGCTCTTGAGTTATTCATCAAGAGAGTTATATAGTTTACAACCAGTATATAATAAAAACTTTTCTGGTACAACGTAGTCCGGTGTCTCTCAGGTTGGAGGTGGCCTTTGAAGCGTGTATTATGATCGTGCTTCCCAACAGTATTCAAAAACATGTTTTTATTTTCATAGACGTATAAACAAACTTCTAGTATGTATAAACTAACTACGGTTAGGATGTTGGCAGTTCTGAAATATGCTCTGCAACTTGTTCTCATATCGACACTAGCAAGAATTCGAATTGCATACTTCTGAAGAACCAGTACTCTATTCACATGAGCACAATTGCCCCAATTCAAAATCCCGTACTTTATGTGGGAATGGAAATTGGCATAGTACAACGAGAGTAGTATGTGCCGACTGCAGTGGTTCTTCATAAATTTCAGACTATAACAGCTACTCTGTAATTTTTTGCGATCAACTCAATGAAGCTGCCTGTCGAAAGTAACTCCCAATAGTTTTACTGACATGCTGCTGGTTATTTCATTATCAGAATCTTCAAATAGTTTGACTACATCAATCCAATAGTTTTCATCCGTGGTACCGACTATACTTAATTAAGTCTGATCTAACATTACCTGTCTCAGCTCGGCGAGTACGAGCTCAGAAGACCGTACGTGCTGATGAAACCAGCCGGTGAGAGTACCCAAAGCCAATGTTCCGGCTAACACGAACAGGGTGAAACACAGAGCGACTAGAAGTCTGCCTTGGGCAGACAGCACCATCGCCATACTGGGCGTTAGATTTGTCAGTGTCACATCGCGACAGTCACCACAAAGTCACAAAGTGGAAATATTGAGCAAGCTGGTTGACAGTTTTTTGCATGAAATGGGTATGCACTAGATTTTTTTTAATACGTCTGATAACAAAAATTCATTGAAAATGACGAGTGCATGATTGAGGAATGCCTGAAATTCTAACAGCTAGGACGCTTATGTTTATGTATGGAAATTCTACAGTGCGTCCATAAAGTAACGCATAAATTCATTATTGGCTAAATGAACAATAAAATTAGAAATTCCCGAAACAGGTCGATTTTTGATTTCAATTTACTATTGTTTCAAATCATAATCTAATATACAGGGTGAACCAAAATACATTAATTCCTGATCTGATCCAGCTTTTTCCTGATATTCAAATACCCACTAATGTAGACCGCAGAATCTGGTTTCAACAGGATGGCGCACCGCCACATTTCGCAGTAACTGTGCGCGATTTTTTAAACACAACTTTTCCACAAAGGTGGATAGGAAGAAGGGGACCAGTGGAATGGCCTGCTAGATCACCTGATCTGAGCCCATTAGACTTCTTTTCATGGGGTTATTTAAAATCTAAAGTCTACTTAAACAGACCTGGAAATATCCCTCAACTACAAGACCGAATCAGACAAGAAATACAGAGCATAACACCCGCTATGCTGCAGAATGTTAGAGACGAAAGTAATGCCCGGTTCAGTCATTGTCTAACGGTCAATGGAGAACAATTTGTTTATTACATTCAGTAACGTATTACTTTCCATAAACAATTTTCATATTTTTTTTGCATTTTTGCCCACCCTGTACCAATTTGAAGCAACATATTATACATTTTTGGAATCAGCTCAGCAAGGGCAATTCTGAAATTGAAAAAAAGGGGGGGTTCCTTTTGAAAAAAATGGTGATGACGTCATTACACGAAAGTGGTTCACCCTGTATATTAGATTATAATTTGAAACAATAGTAAATGGAAATCAAAAATCGACTTGTTTCGGTAATTTCTAATTTTATTGTTCATTTAGCCAATAATGAATTTATGCGTTACTTTATGGACGCACTGTATATACCAAATATCATTTGGTGTAATAGGTACACGGTGTCCTGCAGGTCGTTGAAAACTCTTTAGTGGCTAACAGAAAACGTTTTTAGTATCTATTGAAAAGGATTGTCAGATAAAATTATGAACATAAAAGAATGGATATACAGGGTGACATAGAAAGAAGTACATTGCATAGTGCCACACAATAAAGGACACTAAAATAAGGAAAAAAGTTAAAAGTAAAAGATAAAACTCAATGTTTCGTTCTAATTAATCATATTTTTCATCATACCATTAAAATGTAATTGTTGAAGTATTCATCATTGTTTTCGCAGAATTTACTTTGGAGCTTTTTGAATAATTTGCGTGCATTGTCGGCTTTTAGATGCATTTGTACCATTGCTTCTAGCGACTTGGACAAAGTATACCTTTCTTAAGTATGAAAAATGACATACAGTGTATAGCAAAAAAGTTACGACCGATTCAATAAAGATGGAACCCTGTATGTAGCGCTCTTTATCAGTCATCACAAAACTAAGATCATATTTGAATTTAGCATGATAAAAAACCCCTGTATACCACATTTTATTCATTTCTTGCGTCCCTGGCTAAAGATTTTCAAAGAAAACCCAAATGAATTATTTAAATTACACCCCGTATATCTCTTAACCGAAGGCCTTGTGGACCCATGTTCATAGGAACTTTTTTTCCTATTTTAGTATCCTCTATTGTGTGGCACTGTGCAATGTACTTTTTTCTATGTCACCCTGTATATATAAATAAAGAAATACATTGAAAATTCGCATTCTCTTTGTTATGGAAATATCAATTCTTTCTCGGTTTATTCAACAGAAAACAACTACTTTCCTGTCTATATGCCACGACGAACATTGAATTAAGTCATGTATAATTTATTTCTATAATTAATTTCTAGATTCTTTTACTATTATGCTAGGTACCTAGTTGGCGGTGTATGTGATATAAATGTTATGCTTTTAGGGCTTTTTTGTAGTTGTTTTATACCCTTGTATTTGTGTTATTTATTGATTATATCTTATGTTCATAGCTTTTATATATTTGTGCAAATAATTGGACATAGTGGATCTATCCACTTGCTAGTTTCACGCTTTGTCAATAGGAAGAATGTTTCTTGGACAATAAAGCTCAGTTTTGATTTGATTTGATTTGATAAGTATATCTATTGAACACATACGACAAGAATTTGAAAAAAACATCTTCTGAAGTTGAGAATATGCATTCTCCTTTCGTTATTCCCACATTCAGTTCCTGAAAATATTGGAACATGTTGAGTTGCTTTACATTTCCGTAGATCTTTTTGCAATTTGTTGCAATAGATCTTGAAATTGCGAATATCTCAAAACCCGTAAGACTTTCTTGAACTGCATGTATGTGTGTATGAATTGGTTTTAGATGACGTCTTCTCTAAGCTCCTAATATGAGTTTGCATCAACCTGTATACAGGGTTATATACAAAAGTGAAAAGAAATGTCAATGACTCTCACAGTATCTCACAGTTCGTCGAAAAATCCAAAAATATTATGCTGAAGATAATTTTGTCAAATATCACTTCAACACACGATCTCGAAAACCATCCATTAGTCAACTTGGTCGGAATTTGAATTGAAAAAAGTCACGAACTCCCGAAAAAGTCGACAGCGCTACTAGCGGGAGAGTCTCGAACTAGAAACATTCGACGACGGATCGTGACTGTGATGCGCTTTCAGGAGGCTGTGCACGTCTAAAACAATCAACGATCAGCGTCTGTTTCTATCTCGTCTGCGCACTGTAATCATTCGAAAATATACAATCGAACCAAACAGACTAATTATAATCGAACTTGATGGAAATACCTCAAAAACTCGCTGCTAAGTGATGATTTTTTATATGATGGGTGGAAATCAGATATATAAGTTTGAACAGGAGATGACGACTTTTCACTGAATATAGCAACATAATAATATATGTATGTATAATATAGCATTGACTACAGTAATACCGACTGGCCCAGAAGATTTCTTGAGCTTTATGATTTGTGTTTAAGATTTAAGATTATGTGCTACTGGGGCCTGTAGTTTTTTTTATTCGAGAAGATATAAATTTGAAATTCACGAGGGTTATATTATCGATGATGAAGCTTCCCTTGAACCTAATGACAATTTTCTTCAACCACCTGTTTGATTGGAAGTAGACCCAACTTTTTTCCCAAATGGCACCCTGTATATTTCTGTGGTCTATCTTATGCGCTTTGAAATTCTCTATTCAACTATGTACCACAATTTGATATTCGTTCATTAATTGGGCGTTGAATTGCATTTTATTGAAATACAGGAAGTTGGCTGTCGATGCTTGATTGACTTAGAAATCCAAAGATTATTAGGTACTTAGACGATATCATCAGAATATTTTCCTACGAGCGTGCGCAAAGTAGTACTTTTCCGCACTCATTTGCGTTCGCAAAGTAATACTTTTCCGCACTCAGTTCGGATATGGGTGTTATCCGCATAGCGTGCGAATAAGTAAAACTACCCAAGAATCTCACTGTTATGTACTTTTCAACGGTTTCAAAGCAACATCAAGTGCACTTGTCAACATTGACATGATGTCAGATTTTTACTCAGTTTTTGTCAGCAAAAATCTAGAAACACCGTCACTTCATCAAATCATAAAAAGGTTTGAAAGCAGTTGAAATGAGCAGTTCTGACGACGAGCTACCAGATTCCATCCTAGAGGCCGCATTCTCTGCAAGTATGGAAAATATTCTGATAATATCGGCTAAGTACCTAATCTAAGTCTATCAAGCATCGAAATGTCATTGCATTCGGGTCACAGCCAACTTCATGTATTTTAATAAAATGCAATTTAACAGCCAATTAATGAACAAATATCAAATTGTGACACATATTTGAATAGAGAATTTCAAGGCAAATAAGATAGGCTACAGAAATATACAGGGTGCTATTTAAAAAAAAAGTTGGGTCCACTTCCGATCAAGTAGGTGGTTGAAGAAAAATGTCATTAGGTTCAAGAGAAGCGCCATCATCGATTATATAACTCTTGTGAATTCCAAATTTTTATCTCTTCAAATAAAAAAACTACAGGCTGTTACATGTCTCCTGCGACACCCGGTATAGCGAAAAAGACCCCCCTCAAACTGCTGGATCCGCCTCTGTTATTCGCTCACCTCGTATGGTTCCCCAATATTCGGTCCAGCTTGCGCCAAATACAACGTGGAGGCGCTATCGAACACCAACTCCAAGGGCTTCCTCATCACTGGCAGCGTTTCGCTCTCGTTGCAATTGAAGAACAACGTGACGTTGTCTATGGAAACGCGGAAAGAGAATCGCACCCATTTGCCTTGGAACTTGGGCACACTGAAATTGGCTATGGTTTCCGAGCTGAACTGGTTCGGGTCGGTGTAGAGCAGGCTCAGAGTGGTGTTGGAGGTTCCTTCAGGGGATATCTTTACTCCCAGTTCGACCACCTGCGAAGCGACCATAAAAGAGCATAAAAGAGCATAAAAGAGCAGCTGCAAGTCAAGTAACGGAGGTCCATAAAAAACTGAGCTGGAACCCTTGCAATGTCCACCGTTCTTGATAAAATCGTTAATTTCAACTGACACATTCAGTATTTTGTTGAATGCTGGCTCATTAGTCATTATACAGGGTTAACTAGAAGTATGTTGATATACCCTAATTTTAAAACATCCTGTGGAATAATTTCGTGGTCAAATTCTTTCAAAATACCAATTTTTGTTAAGAACCGATCCTTTTCAACATTTTGTTTTCTGGTTCAAGTCTTTAGTTGCTTTAGTTGATTTTTAAGAGGGAAATGAACTCCAAACAACAGAGTTTACCTAATTTTAAGAAATGTTATTTTTTGACGACATGGATTTGCTCATCGTGCCATAATGTCAGTATGACAGCTCAGTTCATGACTGTTACAATGAAATGGCAGCAATATATTGTTTAGTTATAATAATAAACAATCAATACAAAATTCATTTATGCAAACTCATTCAATTCAAATTAAAAATCAAACTTCAAAACAAACCAGTTCAACTGTAATGTAACTTAAATAACCTGATGAGGAAACGTACTTTTTACAACAAAATCAGCTTGATATTTTGTCATACCACCTCTGGCTCTCACAACTGCCTGCATACGTTGTTTCATAATGTCAATTAGGTTTCGAATTGCATCTTGTGGAATATTTTGCCACTCCTCCTGAATGGCTGAACGAAGTTCATTTATGGTAGCCGGAGCTACTTCACGATCTCTGACTCGCCTACCAAGCATATGTCCCACACATGCTCTATGGGGTTGAGATCAGGCGAACATGCTGGCCAGTTCAGTTTGTTAATACCTACTTCCGCGAGGTATTGTGTGACACAAATTGCTGTATGTGGCCGCGCATTATCCTGCAACAGGATAAAGTCATGGCCGATAAATCCACTAAAAGCTACAACTTAATTGCTTAATATCTCTTCAATATATCGGTGAGCCGTTAAAGATCCATCGATGACCACCAACTCAGTGCAGGCCTCCCTGGATATTCCTGCCCAAACCATTACTGAACCTCCTCCATAACTCAGATGGGGACTGAACGTGCATTCTGCAAATCTTTCTCCGTTCCTTCTCCATACTCTTTTTCGTCCATCTGGAGAATGTGAGCAGAATCTGGATTCGTCAGTGAAAAGAACATTGTTCCATTGCCCCAAGTTCCAATGTAAATGTTCAGTAGCAAATTCCAGTCTAGCTACTCGGTGACGCGGAAGTAATCTGGGTCCCGTTGCTGGTCTGCAAGCTTTCAAACCAAACTCCTTCAATCTTCGGCGAACTGTCCACACACTAACATTTGTACCTCGAACCTCTTGAAGTTGATTTCTAGACTGCACTGATGCTAAATGACGATCCCGCAGAGTATTTACATGAAGTGATCTGTCATCAATAGCAGTCGTTTTTCGTTTTCTGCCACTACCTGCCCTACGCTTATTTCTGCCAGTTTGTCTGAAACGTTCGATTACTCTTTTGATGGTTGAGCGATGAACATGAAGTATCATTGCAACATATTCATAATTACGTCCATCTTCAACAAGAGCGACAGCTTTTGCGCAATTTTCCGCACTCGAAACCATGGTTCGAGTTTCAAACTGACATAAGGACAACAACGAGCAAAGCCACCTCTTAAAAAAATTACATTTTTCAAAGTAAACGTTGATGATAAAGTCATTTCCTCCTTAGTGCACCTAAAGACTTGAACCAAAAAACAAAATGTTGAAAAGGATCGGTTCTTAACAAAAATTGGTATTTTGAAAGAATTTGACCACGAAATTATTCCACAGGATGTTTTAAAATTAGGGTATATCAACATACTTCTAGTTAACCCTGTATAATGACTAATGAGCCAGTATTTAACAAAATACTGAATGTGCCAGTTGAAATTAATGATTTTATCCACAGTTTGCTGAAAAAAATTTGGAAATTGAAGTAAAAATAAAAAAACTATGAGACTTCACATTTTACCAAATATTTACTTGTTGCGTTTTTTTTGCATGTCATTGTATTTCGAAAAAACTGAAAATCACTGATTCTATACTTATTTATCTTCATGGTTATAAAAAAAATAAGAAAATAAATTTTGTGAAAGTAGGTGATTAATCATGACAAAGAAGATGAGAATGTCCGAAATATTCTATATCCATTATTCTTAGAGATTCACCATGCAACTTTCATTTCTTTTCTTTGGTAGAAACATTTTCAAATGTGAGAGGCCATGATTAATAGGAGATGATTTTACTTTATAAAATGTCCCGACCGCAACATTATCTGAAAAAAAAAACACAATTGAATTTCTCCCCACAGTTGCTATAAAACAATTTCTTAATATAAGCTGATTTTCCAGGGAAGTCAGATGGTTTGACTCGCAAAAGTAACTAGTCCACAGGATTTTATGAAAAATTACATAGGTAAGGTGCCTTTCAGGGAGGCAAGGAAGAAAATTAAAAACTTAGTTTGATTAACTTTATCCAGATATACAAAGGGTGTCCCGGAAAGGTCTTCAGGAAAGCTCTCAACATATTCCTCAGACCAATATAATTCGATACAAGCAAACTTACCTTTGTATGAAGTTGCTTAGTTTGGCCGGTAGACGGCTCTGATGTTACAATTTTCAAATGGTTTTTGCTTCATAACTTTCAAACGGCTCATGAGATTTTACACAATGGAAGTTGTACGTTGGCATAGCTTCATTGGGCGATAAAATCCATGTAATGATAATGATGAATATCATTCCGTGGGATATTTATGATTTTTTCAAAGGTGCAAACCATCTGTTTTCTCGAAACTGTTTTGGATTTGCCATACCTATTACAGATATAATATGAATATTTTCACGCTGGCGGGAGTAAAAGTTAGTTTCTCTGGTAACAGAAGAGGGGCAGAAGTCTCGTATTATTCCCTGGGGAGATAATGTGACATATTTTCTCCCTAGGGAGTTTATACCAACTTTACATATTCCTCATAGCTCTGCGCTATATTTTCGGAACACCCTTCTCTGGAGCGAGTATAAGCTGCATCATACAGATTTCTAATCTCACTGGTAGCAAGTTGAGAATCACTGCAGAAGCAGTATCAATAGTTTCTTGGGGTTTTCCCTCGATTTCTTGTTCCATAACTGTTGACCATTTTCAAAGCTGTTTTCATAAATTTCAGTTTGTTATTTGCTGTCACCATCGGTTGTCAACAAGATGCATGTTGTGATGATACGAATTCCACAAACTATATATAGACCAAGAGCTCGCGTGAAAAATGGTTAAAGTAAATATTCCAAAGGTATGATGGTTTTGATTGAAGTACCCCACAATAGTAAGTATAACACCACCCGTCTGCCACCTTCAAGTGGGGGCATTAATTCAGGAGGGGGTGTTGAAAGGTCAATTTTTTTGTCAATAGATTAAAGTTGTTCTTCCAGACTGAAAATCTGACCAAATGTTCCCTTTGTCATTGTGAATAAAACTGTGCTTCCAGATTTTGAGCAGACGGGGGCGTTATCGTAGCAGACGCCGTCAAAAATATGTCAAAAATGTCAAATGACAAAAATGAATATTCCAACTTGCATTTCGCATCAAATGATAGACAATGGAAATATCTACAAGTTTTCTTGAGAGAAAAAAATCAGCAGACGGCGGTCCAGAGCCGGCAGACGCCCATTTGTCATGTGAAGTGGTTCCCTTATTTTTTTTCTGGACGATATCAGAATGATGTTATTCCAGGCTGAAATTCGGTACATTTGTTATGTTTTTGGTTGTGAATATCACTGTGATTTCAGATTTTGAGCAGACGAAGTCGTTATCGAAGCAGACGCCGTCAAAAGTATGTCAAAAATGTCAAATGACAAGAATAAATATTCCAACTTGCATTTCGTATCAAATGATAGACAATGGGAATATCTACAGGTTTTCTTGAGAGAAAAAATCAGCAGACGGCGGTCCAGAGCCAGCAGACGCCCATTTGTCATGTGAAGTGGTTCCCTGATTTTTTTCTGGACGATATCTGAATGATGTTATTCCAGGCTGAAATTCGGTACATCTGTTATGTTTTTGGTTGTGTATATCAATGTGATTTCAGATTTCTAGCAGACGAAGTCGTTATCGAAGCAGACGCCGTGAAAAATATGTCAAAAATGTCAAAAATATGTTAAATTTGTCTAATGACAAGAATAAATATTTCAACTTGTATTTTGCATCGAATGATAGAGAATTAAAGAATCCACAACTTGCCACTGTAGAAAAAATCATAAGACGGCGGCACAGAACCGGCAGATTCCCATTTGTCTTTGTTGAATATCTCTAATAATTTTTCGGACGATACGTAAGCGACGTCATTCCAAGCACAAACATGGAGCATATGGTATTTTTTTGTTTGAAACATTCACAATATTTTCAAATTTTGATGAAAGTAAAAGTCTTCCTCCTCTAATATGCAGAAAGGTTTCCAAATTATTGAAAATTGAAAAATAAATAGGATACACATCCAGACAAACAGAGTTCAATTAACTAGAACTAGATGAATATTATATATTTAATTAAAGATGAACATAACTTTTATAATGAAATGTAGAAAATTTAAGAAAAAAATATCAGAACAAACAGAACATAACGAATGAAACTCATGGAAATATGCCATTAACTACTACTCATCATCGTCGCTACTGTGAGCGTCTTCAGATTCAACTTCACTTGAATCATCGGCAGCTACTAGTACTTCATTTAGGTTTTGCGGAAATTCTTCGCTCTCGAACCAATTTATTTTATATTCGCCGCCTTCTTTAACCCATCCATTTCCTTCCGGTTTAAAGAAATTTGGTTTCTCACTAAAAGCAAATTTCCAAATAGCTGCAATTTTTGTACGTCATATATTGCAAATCAATGTATCCTTACAAGGAGGGATACGACTGGCCTCAAAATTCTTGATACCCGCGAAAGGAGATTGATTCGATTTTGGCTTGTATAGCAATCCAAGAAAATTTCGACCGAGCCTTATTGACGCTGGATAATTTTCGGTTCCCATAAATTTCGCAAACGTATTCTTCTATATCTGGAGAAATAGAACATTATTCAATTATCGAATTACTATTGAATATCGATGCATACCTTCAATTGTTTCATGAGACAGCGTTTCACTCTCTCCCATTCTACTGAAAGCTTCTTGGAACTTTTTGCTCTTCTCTAGTGATTTGAAAGGAGTCAGCTTTGCTTTGCTGGCAAATGAGGCTGTGTAGTCACAACCTGTGAAGGCGTGAAATGCTGGTAGAGCATTACACAAACTGGTACCCAGAGTGAATGCGATTTTATTGATGTCGACCAACCTCAACTTGTTCTTTGACAAAGTACCACATTCTGTTAGATGTTATGATGTTTATGTTATATAACCCTCTGTATAATATAATATATAATTATGATCATGTCTGTAGATGATAACAGTTGGAAAAGCTTGTTGATACTTCTGTCAGATTGAGAGAATTGTCAATAGAATATATTTTCGAATACCTACCGTTGTAATCGTTGTATAACTTATAACACATTCCATCCATATTTGAAGTGATAAAGCAATATTTTTGCTGCAAAATTAGGTAACATGATTGACCAGTACATTAAATTTAGAGTTATCAATTTGAACTCACCAAGAAGCTCTCTGAAACACACAAACACAAAATCGTCCAATAACAATCACTACAATGTTTTTGATGTCAAAGAAATTTGAGCAATATTACCACTATTTTGAATCAACGACCTTCACACGAGAAGTACAGGGCTAGTTTTATTAATGTGAAGCCCCCTTCATCTTCTTTGTTTTCTATTCATTCGAGAAGATTCAAAACTGATTTTTTTACGATATTTAATATTGATTTCGATCATATTGAGAGAATGTGGCAATATCTCTTCAAATATACAGGGTATGCAGAAATATATTGATTTTTGTATATGGAATGTATTGTATATTTTGATAGATGATGATCCTCCTATATATATATATATATATGTTTGAAATCAGGATGATTTGGGGAATTCAAATTTATCGAAATATACAGGGCATTTCATTTGAAAAATATATTTATTTTTGTATACCCTGTATATTTGAATAGATATTGCATCATTGTCAAAATGGGTGAAAACTGTTCGAAAAATTGTATAAAATCAATTTCAAAATTTTTCGAATGGGTGGAAAACAGAAAAGATAGAGGGGGGTTCACATTTATAAAACTAGCCCTGTACATTGAGTTTCTAGTGTCCGTTCGTGAAAACAAAAAACGAATGAAAAACACAATTCACACCCCACTCTCCAGAGCGTCGCACGTGCAGGGTCGTCTTCGAAGCACCGATGATTCAGTAATAAAGTTATCTACAGAAAATGTTTTGAATACGTCTTCCTCAAAACAGATAGAGTAGTAAGTGAATATTTCATTCCATTCGTATATAGATATAGATTGTAATAAGTCGTAGGTATATAGACAGAAGTTGAGAGATATTCAACAAGACAAATGGGCGGCTGCCGGTTCTGTGCCGCCGTCTTATGATTTTTTCTTCAGATTAAAGGTGTAGATTCTTTGATTCTCTATCATTTGATGCAAAATACAGGTTGGAATATTTATTCTTGTCATTTGACATTTTTGACATATTTTTGACGGCGTCTGCTTCGATAACGACTTCGTCTGCTCGAAATCTGAAAACACAGTGATATTCACAACCAAACACATAACAAATGTACCGAATTTCAGCCTGGAATAACATCATTCAGATATCGTCCAGAAAAAAAATAAGGGAACCAGTTCACATGACAAATGGGCGTCTGCCGGCTCTGGACCGCCGTTTGCTGATTTTTTCTCCCTAGAAAACTTGTAGATATTTCCATTGTCTATCATTTGATGCGAAATGCAAGTTGGAATATTCATTTTTGTCATTTGACATTTTTGACATATTTTTGACGGCGTCTGCTACGATAACGCCCCCGTCTGCTCAAAATCTGAAAGCACAGTTTTATTCACAATCACAAAGGGAACGTTTGTCCAGATTTTCAGTCTGGAAGAACTACTTTAATCTATTGACAAAAAAATTGACCTTTCAACACCCCCTCCTGAATTAATGCCCCCACTTGAAGGTGGCAGACGGGTGGTGTTAGACTTACTATTGTGGGGTACTTCAATCAAAACCATCATACCTTTGGAATATTTACTTTAACCATTTTTCACGCGAGCTCTTGGTCATGACAAAACACTATGACCAACTTTTTATTCTTTCTTAATTTTTGTGGTTTCGCCAGCGTAAAGAATAGCTTATACACTTCAGGACAGAATACTATTTTTCCCTCGGTGCTTTGTATCTCTTGGGCTTCGCCCTCGAGCTACAAATCGCACCTTGGAAAAAATCTTGTAATTCTGTCCCTTGATGTATAATGTACTATTGTATGAGAGCATGCACAGTTATTATGCTCTAATTTCTATTAACTGTATGTTCTTGTCATTCTAGTTCAAACGGTGGTCAAAAAACTTTGAAATGATGCATAATTAACATTTTAATCACTCTAGAGTGGTCCGCAAACATTAAATATGTCACTATATTGAAAAAATATAATTGAACACTCGTGTTGACACGGGCAAGAAAAGTTTGAAGTATTCTCATTCAAGGAAATCGATTGAGATGTTTTCTGGCGTTAAAAGTGTGTAGGTGAAGGTATCTTCACCATGTAAACTTGCTACAGAATCTGTTGTCATATGCCTTCCAACTGGGATATGCGTGTTTGGACCATAAACGCTGAAAAGACAGAGTCCAAGCATTGCTTGAACGATTGCTAATAGAGAAAGATGTGAAGTTTTACTCTCGTTTCTTGGCTCTCGAAAGTTTATTTAACTCATTCAACAATGTATAACGATAATCGATCACTTGGTGTGTGTGATATTGCTCCGAAACCCTTCCCATTGGTGATTGAGGTAATCCGATTCCTGGTACTTGTCCACGGAAAGTAAAATTGGTATACCGGCGCCAATAGTTGGAGTGAAGAAGCTGCGAGCAATCATACAAGATTAGTGGTGTGAAAACTGATCTGTATAATTTCTTTTTAATTTGTCATTCGATTGAATATACCGGTTGGCTACGGAAGTATTGCCTACGGAATATCTCAGTTATTGTATGAAGTAGGTTTGTGAAATTTGGAGCGTTGATATAATGACATAAGAGCTAGAATTTGAGCATATTGACATGTCGAAGTTAACTTCCGGTCTGACCGGAAGTAACATCAACTTTCTTATTTTAAATAGAAACCCTATTTTTTTTTTCTTTTCGCTTTATTCAGCATTCAATTCCCTTTCTAGTGACATATCACAAGTTGGTATCTAACCAGAAACTAGATCAGAAAAAAATTATCATTGAAATTCACCGAGTAGGCCGTGGAAGCAAAATGAAAGCCAAAAATTGACTTTCTATTATATCATTAGAAAGGAATGGTTATGCTGAATAGTCCAGGCAAGAAAAAGTTGTATGTTCCTATTTAAGTTATGGACCTACAGAGTAGGTATTGTTTTTTTCCCAATTTTTACAATATTTTTTTTGGCGGCTTTTTATAACGCCGACGAATGAAAATAAAATATCACAGTAGTAGCAACTGTTATCAAGTGACGTATGGTTTCCATAGCCGACTTTTCATTTTTTGGCTTTCATTTTGCTTCCACGGCCTACTCGGTGAATTTCAATGATAATTTTTTTCTGATCTAGTTTCTGGTTAGATACCAACTTGTGATATGTCATTAGAAAGGGAATTGAATGCTGAATAAAGCGAAGAGAAAAAAAAAATAGGGTTTCCATCTTCGATCATAAAACAGACTCAAAATAAGAAAGTTGATGTTACTTCCGGTCAGACCGGAAGTTAACTTCGACATGTCAATGTGCTCAAATTCTAGCTCTTATGTCATTATATCGACGCTCCAAGTTTCACAAACCTACTTCATACAATAACTGAGATATTCCGTAGGCAATACTTCCGTAGCCACCCGGTATACAGTCCACAAATTCGGACTAACTCGTTGGCGCAACAATTCCAGTAGATCAACGAGTTTCAGGAATTGCTTCTGTTTGCAGTGATCGTCTTCACGTCATTTAGGCCTTGTCAGGTTGCATTGTTTAGAAAAAGTAGTCTCCTTTTATGCAGCTAGACATTTGTAAAGTTTCTCAACTCACCGTATCGTATGGATTGACTATGGCGAAAATGAACCCGCCTCGGCGGCTCTTCGGCTTCGCACTGACCAGCACCGAAAACTCCTCGGTCAGCTTGTCGGGCAGTATCTGGCGATGGGCGATTTTGACGTCGGCGCCGAGACGGAAGCCGAACGCCGGGAAGCCGTCGTGACCAGCGTCGTCGATGTACTGCGTCTTGGAATCAGGAAAGGGGATGCTGACGGCAGCCAGCAGGTCGTATTCAGACACTGTGAAATGGGAAAAAGGAATTATTGAAAAGGAATATTCTCAGAAATAATTATGAACATGGAAAAATGGATATATAGATAAAGAGATACATTGAGAATTCGCATTCTCTATATGTGATGAAAATATCAATTCGTCGTGGTTAATTTAATGATCATATTATATCCTTGAAGTGTATACGAGTTTTATCGAGAAATAATAAGCTTACATTCGCCAACAGTAATAACATGTAATAATATTCCATGACATTGAGATATTAGAACAAATAAATAGTGGAAAACTGAAATGAAAATCTTCGAAATTCCATTTTAAACATATTTTGATAGCTCCTTCACCATTTATTGTAATATGACACAGTTATTCTAAGTTTTGGTGAAAGCGCTAGTCACAATCGCCAAAGATTTCGGTAATCACAATTATTATTAAAAATATTCTTAATAGTTTCACTCTACACTCTTCGTGGCATCATGTCTTATGATTTGATGAAATAAATGTAATTTCTCCCCTCGAAACATCCTTCTTGAATAATGCGATGAATGTTGTATAAAATTGCTTCATAAAAGCTCAGGAGTATCCAATCTTCTTGCTCATGAATTTTTCATGACGTTCTCTGCCTCATATAAAAAGAGGCAAGTTTAACATGAGCTTAGAGATTACTTTCTCGTATGAATGGAATATCAAATAACATTATCAATTTGTATGATATGATAATTGCTTCTTCCTCAGATATCCCTATGATTATAATACAATCATTATGCCTAACGATTTCTGATGCATTGGGTTTATTGTTCGGGCTGTTATATTGATATAGACATTACTCTGTATTCCATTCAAATCTATGATATAAGATTGCCAATTAATGAGTCTAATCCTTCTAATTAAACCGCAATTCCCCCAAAAAGAAGTTGCTCTCCAAACGGTATAGAAAGTGGCTTTTCTATGACACTCACAGGCAGAAAAAGTGTACTTTCTCTCCTAGGCAGGAAAAGTTTGTTGCTGTGCAACGTTCCGAGTAATCTGAATGAAATTGGTGAAAAAAATTGACACTGACATTGGGTGAACATAAAATGATAGGTTTTCATTAAAAAATTACACAAAATTGGTTCATCAGCAAGGGAATTCCAAGGGGATCAAAGGAATTCCAGAAAATTACAGGGAAATCCAAGTAATTCCAAGGAAATCTAAGGAATTCCAAGGAAATCCGAGGAATTTCAAGAAAATCCAACGAAACCCAAGGAAACCCAAAGAATTTCAAGAGATTCCAGTTGTTTGTACACCAGAATTATACCACCCTTCACATAAAGAATTCCAAGGGAATCCAAGGAATTCCAGTTGTTTGTTGACCAGGAATATACTTCATTCCACCCTAGAAATTTCAGAGAATTCCTAGAAAATCCAAGGGAATCCAAGAGAATCCAAGAAAATCCAAGAAATTACAAGGAAATCCAAGAAATTCCAAGGAATCCCATGGAATTCGAGGAATATCGAGAAAGCCCAAGAAATTTCAAGGAACTTCAAGAAAATCCAAGGAATAATTCTAAAGAAATCCAAGGAATTTTCAGAAAATTCAAGGAATATCAGGAAAATCCGAGGAAATCCAAGGAATTCCAAGGAAATCCAAGGAATGCCAGGGAGATCCAGGAAATGCCAGAGAATTTCAAGGAATTCTAGTTGTACACCAGAATTCCAGCGCGGATTACCCCTCGTTTTTTTTCATCGGATATGATTGCCCTAAATAGATGTTGTTAAAAGTCATCCGATCTTCATCCATCATTGATGGCGAACAAAAACAAGAAAAAAATCGACCCGGCCTCTCCAAGCCGAAAATAGTCGAATAATTTTTGTCATGCCACATTAACAAGTGATGGGTCTTCATGAAAGACTTCGTCGGGCTCCACCTTTTCATGAACTTGACGAAGACGAAGCGTATCACGGGATCCGCTCTTGATAATCACTTTAAAAATTGAAGCGTAAAATTGGGCTTAAATTTCCGGCATATAATCGGATTATGTCCGGAACCTCAATGGTATGATGACCAAGACCAATAACCGTACGCCGCCTTCAAACTTTAAATCTTTTGTATGTAGATCTCAATTATACGTATAGGAAAACAGAGATTTAATAGTTCTGTTATCGTTTCATTGTGCTCAGTTAAAATCTAAACTATTGACACTTAGTAAGTTTACTTAAATCAATAGTTATTTTACCAATTAGTGTATTCATCGCCTTATCAATATACTATTTAGTTGCTTACAAAATTTTTCCATCGACTATGACTATGTTTCTCCTGAAATGCAGAGAATGTAGTTAGCGAACTCATTATTCATCCCGAACCTATCACCTATCAACCTATCACCCATCAGTAGCCATGAAAGTCAAATTGACACTGTTATTAGTAACTATTGACTTTTTTTTCCAAATTATCGATATTGAATATAATAGTTATTCGTTTTACTAGGCACAATAACCTCATACGTTATACCATTTCGGAATCTGTGTTAAATAGCAACTTTTTCTGATAGTGGTCATCTACATACAACATACAAAAATGGATATATATTTATATAAAGCAATACATTGAGAATTCGCATTCTCTATGTGATGAGAATATTTACTCTTTTTCAGTTAATTCAATAGAAAACAACTACTTTCCTGGCTATATGCCACGACGAACATTGAATTATATCTATTGAACACACACGATAAGAGTTTGAAAATAAAATATAAAGATTTCTGAAATTGAGAATTTGCATTCTCCTTCAGACAAAAATATCTATATACACACATCATTCTGAATATTCAACAGAAAACAACTACTTTCCTGGCTATTTGCCACGTCGAACATTGAATTATATCTGATGAACATTCAAAAGGGAAACATGAAAAAGGCATTAAAAAAACCGAAAAAAAAAAACAACAAAACTTGAGGGAAACTACATTTTTCCTAATTGATACGGAGTAACACAGCGTCATAAAAAGTATTTCTTGGGAAAGAGAAAACCATGCGAATAAAATTTGTGAAAGAAAAAATTGATTATTTATCAAACACACTACTTGATTTTAGGATGATATTGAAAATTTTGAAAAACTTCTGAATCATCAACATTTAGATAACAACAATGACTTTAACGTCAATTTCCATAAATAGGGACTCTATAGCTGATAGTAATTCATTACATAAGTGACATTTGTCGAAATAATCAACATGAAATATGAAGTCCTCTTGTTAGAAAACAAGGATCAAAATCGTTTCAGAAACGTTAAAAGGCTCACACGTTAACGTATAATCTTCGATGGAATCCATATTTTTGATTTGAATACCGATTCCGTAAGTTATAGTGCAAACAGTGAATGGAAGCCATGTATGTTTTGTTGCCTTCATTACAATCATGCTTTGATAGACAAATTGATCATTAATAGGGGTCATTAACGATCAATTTGATGAAATATATTTGTGTTATATTGTTACGACTCACCTTCAGGATTACCTCCTAATGCAAAAGATGGTGGTAGGGCGAAAGGATCATCACTAGTCACAGCTTCTAAGAGGGGTGCCAAGACTACGAATACGATGACTTCTAGTCTGCAAAGAATAGTAAAGAATTAGAAATAAAGTAATCAAATAAAATGGAATGGATTTCTATAGTTCAGAAACGCCAGCTTATAGTTTCGACAGCTTTGTATCCGAAATTTTATCTGCAAATTTGAAAATAACATGTTCCATGATTCATCAACTCCTGTTCAAATTTTGTATAGATCTATTCATATTAGATTTTTATATCTCTTGGAGCACACGAAAAGGAATTCCTATAATGTCCGAAGAATAATTCCTTTCGAATAGAATTCCAGAGTTTTGCAGTTCTATAGAAAAACGAGTTTTGGTTCAGTGTTGTTGACAATGAAAGGATGTGATGATTGGGCTTGTTTCATTTGTCACAGCTCCTTCAGTTGAAGTATCAGAAGAAATAATAACATAGATAAAAAACTATTGTAATTTTCAATCAAAATTCAGCTTGAGGAATTCCTATGATTTGATAACCTGACAACACAAAATTCATTTCATTATTTGATGTACAAAACCTTTTTCCAAGTATATACCTCCTGGAGATACCATAATTTTAGCTGAGGAGTTATTTGATAAAAACCATGTTAATCCGATTACCAAACAAGAGATCTTAGACCTTATTCTGTCGATATGTCTCAAACAAAATTACTATCAATTTGACAACAAAATATATTCCGCGTCAAAAGGGTTGATTATGGGAAATCCACTGAGCCCTTTACTTGCTAAAATTTTCATGGATAACTTGGAGCGAATAATACGTAAACATTCATTAATAAAGCAATGTTTTTATATTGGTATAGATACGGAGATACGTAAAAGATGTTATAGTATGCTTTAAAAGAACCAATAGACAATTAGACACTTTCCACCAATATATGAATACTATTCATTCAAACATAAAATTCACAATAGAAATAGAAACAGAAAATTCAATCAATTTCCAATTTCTTAGATTTAACAATGAGTAATAAATGATTTTTCAATTTTCCATAAACCTTTCCACACGGATATCACTATTCACAATAATTCAACACACCCTTATGAACATAAAATTGCAGCATATAGTATGATACACAGGCTAGTCAATCTCCCTCTTTCGGAAGTAAATTTCAATAAAGAACTCAATATCATAAAACAGATTGCAGTCAACAACGGATACAACGTTAATTTGATAGACAGTATTCTTTCTAATCTACTTCATAATAAAGCTATTCATCATAAAGTTCATCTTACCAACAAGAATAATAATCAAAATTATAGAATTTTAATCTATTTTGGATCATCAACTGAAAAATTAGCTTCATTTCTACATAAACAGGACTTAAAAGTAGCATATAGATAGAACAAATAACACGTTGGGAAGGTTCATCAAGAATAATGAAGACAAAACTTCTAAATTCGAAAAATCAGGGGTATACAAACTCAACTGTGGATCTTGTCCTAAAAGGTATATATCGGTCAGACAGGTCGTACGTTTAATCAGCGAATTCATGAACATAAGATGAATTTTTTGAAAAGGAAGACAAATTCAATATACGCCAACCATATATTAGAAGAAAACCATAGTTTTGATGATGATTTCGAAATTCTGCACGTAGAAAATAAAGGAATGAAACTCAATCATTTTGAATCATTAGAAATCAACAAACTCAACAATTCTGACATTTTACTTGAAGACCAATTAGACCTCAATAGTGCACCATTGTTGAATTTGTTTTCTAAGTAAGTAATAATATGTATTTGATATCAACCCTTTCAAATTAATCCAGTACACCGTATTCTAATGTAGATATTGTGCCTAATTTCCGAAAATGGAGGTTTATCGGACCTGTCCACAGGTGATTAATCCTTCAGGTTGGGAAAGTAGGATATACAAAAGTTAAGAAAGCCAACGTTGGTTTAGTTCTTTGTACCAGTATATCACCTGACGAAGCTACTGTGTTAGCGAAACATGTTGTGTGTTAAAGAATGTTTTGATTGATTTTGATGGAAAATGGTGAAAATCGATGAACACTGATTTATAATGGTAGTATGATTCGAAAAAGACATCCTGTATAGATCCTTTGGTTGGCAAATAGCCATTGATAAAGATTGTTTAGAACCATAAGAGAGAATTATCCGGTGTATCTATGTTCAACACGAAAGTGGTTTTATAGTAACAAGTTTACAAATCACGATGCTTTCAATAACACGAGCTTGTATTATAGGTACAAAGATATCTCCTCACTTCAAATTAAAGTAACGGTCATTTGGTGTTTTGCTGATGTCGTAATCTAAGAGAAGTATTCAGTAATATGTGAGTAGACCATATTTCCATTCATTCTGGTAGACTATATACGGGTTCCCAATTGAATTTACCTGTAATATTCCTCATTATATCCGAGCTCGAAGAACGAAATTAGTAATGAAATAGTCAAATTGTATTTTTTTATTATCTGACACAATCGATCCATCAATATCAGCCTGGATACTGGACGTCGAACAATAACTTCAGTGCTATTCTTCACGTCGACAATTCTAACATAGCCATCTTTAGCTGGGTATAAGCTAACAACACCACCCTTTTGCCAAAGATTTCTTGGGCCTGACGGGTTCACCATCACCACTATATCATTTATTGAATTTTTACCTGTAAAATTCCTTATTATATCCGGCTCGAAGGACCATTTATTGAATTTACCTGTAATATTCCTTATTATATCCTAGCTCGAGGAACGAAATAGGTAATGAAATAGTCAAATTGTATTTTTTCATTATCTGACATAATCAATACATCAGTGTATTTTTTTTCAACAACTAAGTGTTCCTAGAATTTCTACCTCAACATACTGGGCGAAAAATCATCCACTAAATACACAATCGATAACATATAAATATAACATTCCCCAATAATAAAATGAAAGCGTCCGAACAATTTGCAACTGAAAACATCCAATCAAATTACCTAAAGCCTCAGGCTCCACGAATTCGTGTTGGTTTGTGATCACAGTGATCATTAGAAATGCCAATTTCTTATTGTTTTCTGATAATAAACTTATATTCATTATATCTATTAGTCGTCTATAACATCAGAATGGTTGATGAAGACATATTCTTTATTTCTAGTGTGAACAGAAAAAAAATCAATGTTCACCATTATCTTAATATGCATTCAATACCTAATTGGGTCAGAACAAATGAGATAATGACCAATGAGGAAAGAAATTATATCAATATAACAAGTTGTTGAGGATAACCTTCGGTGACATCGACTATGAATTGAATAATTTTTCAACACTTTTCTAATGTCGTGGAATAAATTGTTGAACATCAATTTGAGGAAAGCTTGAGTGGAAAACACATCTAGCATTACTGCAATAAAAACATTCATTCTTGACTTCCACTTCAGAATCGAGATTTTTTTCACAATATTAGATTATCCTACATATTGAAATCTTTTTGCAGGAAAACTAACTTCATATTGTTTTTCAAACCCCCTTATGTGATTATATTAAATTGTTATGTAGGATTTCAAAGACACAGGTACATCTAAACAACAGTTTTACGAATGTAAATAATTATTTATTTGGAAACGGTGAGTTCAACAAAATAAGTTTATTTTGTTTTTTCTTTCAAATCAGAATTTTCTACCTACAGGAGCTATTGAACGTTCCATAAATTTGCAGTTAATTTGAATACAATATTTTTTCGCGGCATAAAATTAACAGAATAAGGAAGCCGATTGTATAATTTCGAAATGACTCAATTTTTGCACATGGGAGGGTCGAAAGCATGAGGAATAATATTATGAAATAAGTTCTTCAAGTTCAAGAATAACGGAGATATTGATTTTTTTCAAAATTTATAACTTCACTTTCAAAGCCTATAACTCCTTATAGGGAAGCAACTTGGTATAGAGGTAAGTTGCGTTGAATTGCCATATTTTGGGACCCCCTACATGCCCCTGCTCTATGTCGGTTCTTATGTGAATCACCCTGTATATCTGATTCATCTGAAGAACAATTCTGATTATAAATATTTGTCTTTGACTTCTTTGTCGCACTGAAATTGTATTTTTTTAAATCCGACAACGGTCATTCAGGACAGACTTTTTATTGTGGGCAACCCTATATCGTTGTGTTCGCAATAAAACAATCGGTAGAAATTAAAAAAAAAATTCTGAATTTTTTATCATAAATAATAATTATAGCCTGGCCAGGATTTTTTCAGGCAACCCATTTTTTAAAAATATTCAACATGATAAATTACTTATAGAATGATTTCGAGCCAATAACAGATGGATAAAGGTCGACTTTACATCGGATATTCTACAGCCACTTATTCGCTATTTCACAATTTATATGAACTGTGGTAACCAGGGGCGGCGAGTGCATGGGGGCATCGGGGCCAATGCACCCATGTAGGCAGTGGGTATGGGTGCAATGCACCCATTGGCCGAAACAGACGTATAAAAAACAAATTAGATACGGGCGAAATGAGCACTTGTAGATATTGCACATTGTTGCTGGACAAGTATAGGTAAACAACCATGCGAACCGTATATATTCGATTCATGTGCATCCAGGGTTTGACACTGTGCACTGTGCAAAGATATTCCGATTTAAACTTTAGACATTATGACATCACAGGTCACAAGTGCCAGTTTGAAAAAAAAATTGAAGTGGCTAATGAATCCATCTTAATACAGTCAGTAGGAATACCTTTGCAATAAATTAACTGGGGTTACTTGCTAATTTTTGCGAATCCCAAAGTTTCTCTATTCCATTTTTTGAATACTGAATAGATATGAGAATTATTAAATCTTATTTTATTTTTGTAGAGATTGAATTTTTTAATATCGTTTCAAATTTTGAGTTATGTTCACTTTTTTCAATGGTGAAAAAAAAATTCTTCTATTTCTCATCCTCATCCTCATCCAACCATGAACTCGAAACCCGATTAGTCACAAAAGATTGTATTTTGGTGTTTCACACTTGATGCAAAATAAATAATGCTTTGATCTATCTTGAAATTTGAAG